GGTGCCTTCACGCACGCAATCTTCAGCTTGCCCTGAAGCTTGTTGAAGATCATCGTCGTCAGCGCCTCGCTCTCCACGTCGTCGGCAATGATCAGAAGCGGGCGGCCGGTGCGCACCACGTGATTCAGCGCCGGCAGGATCGTGTGGATGCTGCTCACCTTCTTCGCCGACACCAGCACAAACGCATCCTCCAGCTCGGCCTTCTGTGCCTTCGCGTCGGTCACAAAGTATGGGCTGATGTAGCCGCGGTCAATGCTCATGCCCTCCACCACCTCCAGCTCCGTCGTCATCGTCTTGCCGTCCTGCGTGGTGATCACTCCGTCCTTGCCCACCTTCTCCATCGCCTGACCAATCAGCCTGCCCAGCTCCTCGTCCCCGTTGGCGGAGATCGTGGCCACCTGCACAATGTTCTCGGTGCTCGTCACCTTGCGGCTCTGCTCCGCCACGCTCTGCAGGATGACGCCCACCGCACGGTCCATGCCACGCTTCATGTCAATTGGGTTCGTCCCGGTGGCAATGCACCTGAGGCTTTCACTGAACACGCTTGCCACCAGCACCGCCGAGGTCGTCGTGCCGTCGCCAGCAAGGTCGTTGGTCTTGTTGCACACCTGGCGCACAAGCTGTGCTCCCATGTTCTCGAACGGGTCCTTGAACTCAATCGCCTTGGCAACGGTCACGCCGTCCTTCGTGATCTTTGGCGCGCCGTACGACTGCTCAATGATCACATTGCGCCCCTTTGGCCCAAGGGTCGTTGCAACGGCGCTCACGGCACGCTGCACACCCTTCTGCATGGACTGGCGAGCCTCCGTGCCAAACCGGATTTCCTTGCCGGCAAAACGAGCAGCAGAGCGAAACATATCGTGTGTTGCACTTGTATGTTAGATTTTTGTTTTTTGTTTTTGTTTGATAGATCTTGTTTTCAAAGAATTTTATACAGTAGCGCGTTGTTTATTATTAAAAGCGTCTTTTGTCTTATAACCTTGTTTGGGAATATTTTTATTACGCGTCAAAAAGTTTTCTCTTTTACTGTATATAAGTTATTCTTGTGACTTGTCGTTTTTTTGTTGTTGTTTTTTTCGCTTTATTGGCTCTATTTATGGTGCCTTGCGTTTGGATTTCTTTCTTTCCGAAGCTCGTAGTTCAGTGAAAAAAAAAGGAGTATGCACGTAGTAGAGGACCCTGTCGCCTGTTCCCACAGAATGAGAAGTACATGAGTGGGAAATGCCGGTTTGCTTCACCGCACCCAACACCCTCCATAGCTCGGAGAATATTCATCTACCACTCACACGCCAGTAAAGACACTCACTCCAATGGCGTTCTATAATAACTGGGCTCATTGTGAAGTCATGGCGCGGCATTCTTTGGCGTCCCACAACCACCCGGCTCCTCCGCGTGAAAAGCAGCAGGAAGCGGACAAGATGGAAAAAGAAACCGCAGTCGCCGCATTCCAGCGCCCGGTATCATTGAAAAGAAGCATTATATAATCGATGAGAAAACAAGGGAGTCCACAAAGAGGCGTCATCATCTGCTGAGCCCCTTTTCTCGTGGAACATTCCTCCGGCAATATGGCAAGAAGACACACACACACACACACACAGAACGGCAACTGCAAAAAACTTTTAAAAAATGAAATGCAAAAAAGCTAAGCAAAAAAAAAAGGGATAATAAGCGAGTGTTAATAACGCGCCGCCCAAGCCCACCAGCAGAGTTTGGGCAAATAATTACGTATTTTACTCTTTGAGGGACCATCCTCTATGGATAAACGACAAAAGATAAAGAAGGGCCAAAGATGTGAAAAGGACTAGAAGCAACTATTAGGTCTTTTTTTTCCATGCCTCAATGATATTCTTTTATTTGTGTGTGTGTGCCTAATCCCAGTCCTTCCCCATTTGCTTTATTGACACCGTTGTCTGCCCGGATCTTTTTACTTCCATGCCATTTTTTTTTTTTATTATTTTCCTTGCAACATGTTTGTATTGGAAAATGACAACAACAACAACAATAATAATAATAATAATATGTTACGCATGAGGGCAAAGCGGCTCATACTCCTTTTGCTACAAACAAACAAATTTGGCACCGCCATTTTTTCCTTTTCCCCCGCCGCACCACCACACAACGATACCGCTGACGAGCCAGGGAGAAACACAGTGGGAACCTCACCACCCCACGATGAGACAACGTTTCTTTGGTAGAGCACGTTGAAAATTCTCTTCTTTTCCTTTTTTTTTTTTTCCACCGAGAAAACACCGGTATCATCGCCACGTACATCCACGACATCACATGGAACACAGGTGCTTCTCTCTTGCCTTTTCCTCTTTGACACCCACAGACACACACCACCAGAGTGGCAACTATACACCGGGTGCATTTTCTCAAGATGCCTCATGTGTTGGAGATTCGAAAGACAGAGTTACACAGAAACCAATATATAATAATTAAAACAGAAAATGAGCAAAAAAATCTTGCTTGTTTTCAAGGTTCTTCAGCCAAAGTTGGAATAAATCGTTGCCCCTGTGCCAAATACAACACATATCACACCCACAAACAAGGATGTGTACGTCATGATGTATTGGAACCAACCGACCCTCTTCAAAGTCCATCCACCAGAATACATATAAATCAACGCTGGGTAAATAAAGCCTATGAATCCGCCACAAAGCGCACCCGCGAGGTCAAATGCGGTGCTAATTCGTGGAACAAATAAACCAGCAACAAGAACAATAGTGGAGACAAGAGTTACGCATGCGATGTGCTTCCAGTACGATATGTTATTAATATCCCATCCAATGATGTAGTACAGTGTATTTCGGCACGGAATCATGTTCAACGCATAAGACACACACAACTTGATGATTAGTCCCACATACGCCACCATCATCAGAGGCTCACCAACAGGGTCAAACATGTACAGCACGGACTCCTTAACTTCCCTGCCAAATTCCATGTAGCCAAAGACACCAACCAGCCAATACAAGACAGAGCAGACCGTCATACTGAGAGTTGCACTGAGGAGTAGTTGCGTTGTACTACGAGCCTTCATTTCAAAATACACCTGAAATGCGACAGCATGACACAAGTACGCAAAGACGAAAGTACCAAGTCCCTCCATGCCAATATTTCCCGTCGAAACAATTTGAACCTCCGATCGCTTTGGAAGCCCATTTTGGCAGGCATGAATCACGACGAGAATGACAAAATACACCACAAAACCAACTCCAACCGCAGAAAAGTATCGCAATGTGTTCACTTCTTTCGGTATCACCAGCGGAAGCATCCCCAAAAGCCAAACTAGACATACCAGCAGTCGTATACCTTTTTTAAGCTTAAAAAACTCCGGCGTTGCTGTAGAGTGTTGTGCAATTGGAGTAATTAAGCTCCCCACCGCAATGACGTATGCAACTGCCGCACCAAAGCAACTCGTACCCATGACAGCGGCCATAAGATAATCGGCACCCTTCCCCAATGTGCCTCTTGACATTTGTTCAAAGGCCCGATAACCCGTTTTCTCCATCACATAGCCCAAAATTGTAATAGTGTACACCGTGAATACCGTCATTAAAATAAGATAAAGAGTGCCCATCAAAATTCCACAGGCGTGAAAAGCCCACGGCAACGTTATGACACCAGCGCCTAGTGAAGCCGAGGCAAGACTAAAACTGTTGGAAAGAAGTCCACCATGCGGTATCACTGCGCCAAGCAGCAGCGCCAAGCAGCCGGCAATGCTTTTTCCACACTCTTGCTGGGGTGATAAAGCGCCGTTAACAGCAGATGCCCTCTCCTTTTTTCTCTCGATAGAAACAACATACGCGGAGTCCGAACTCTGCTCTCCCTCGCGTGAGATTTGGGGTAAACCCTCCATTGCGTCTGTCTGCTCTTCATTTTACCAAAGGCGGAGAAATAGAAAGAAGAGAATAACGCACACACAGGTTTCATTTATGTCGGTTTTTAGAAGAGAATCAAAAAAAAAAAAAAAGGTAAAATAATAAAGAGAGATCAAGATGTCGATTCTGGTGGCGGTGGTAGGGTCCTCTCTCAATTGCCGTTGTTTTTCTACTGGCATGTATATTCATCGCTCGGCGCGACGCAATGAATTTATGACGGACATTTTCTCTCCTGTATGTACATAAATACGAGAAACAAAAGGAAAAGGGGGTAAAAAAGCAAAACAAAAAAAAAAGAGAGAAATCAACTTCGATGAGTTTCTCAGCTGCCATTCACTCCCGCTCACTTCGGCGGGAACCCATTGGCTCGTATGTATAGCGGCTCAGTCGCGCGATATACTCTTCATTTTGTAGTCTATCTGATTCCCACTTTTCAACGGAGTACGCCGGCTTCGTTTTCTGTAACCGCTTCAGAATCCTTAAGTTTTCCTCTTCAATGCGTTGCTGCTCCCTCCTCCGGCGGCGCTCCGCATCACGCGCCGCATTGGCGCTGCGCCAGGGCTCCTTGTTATCAATTCCACCGCCTCTCTTCATAATAATTGTCATGTTGTGGACAATTCTTCTGTTTTCCTCTTCGATCCGTTTGCATCGTTCCTGCTCCATCAGCGCCCTTTTGTTGCTCAGACTCAACGCGTGAGGCGGTTTGTTATCAATGCAAGACGTTTGTTCCTCCACTCGCCGGCGATGCTGCATGTATTCCCTCTGGCGCTGTTGCTCAAGCCACAACGTTGTGGCTGTCGGCTTCGGCTGCACGGGCATCAGTGGACTGCTGTTGCTTTGCCTCTTCTTGATCCTCGTTCCTTTTTCCCCGCCCCCAGTAATTGGTGTCTGCGTTCTCCTTCCTTGGCCTCTTCTATTGCTCACCGCGCAAACACCGCCTCTCACCCTCCCCTTTTCCAACGGAAAGAAAATAACAAAACCAAAAGGAAGAAAGAAAAAAAAAGAAAAAAGGTTGCATTGTTGTTGTTGGTTGTTTTTATTTTTCTTCTTTTTTGGAAGGAAAGGCGAATCCCCTCAAGTAGAAAAAGTGGAGACAAGAAGGAATGACGGGGGGCAAACACACCGCGTCATTCAGCAGAAAAAAAAAAGGCCCTCACTCACTCACTCACAGTCACACAAAAACGCACACACAGAGACACGCTCTCTCTCCTACGTCTCAACCCCCACCGCCTCCATAAGAAAAAAAAAAAAAAAAAAAATGCGGCAAAAAAAAAAAAAAAGGAAAAGGCAACAATGGATGCATCAAATGGGGAAAAGGTCAATTTATTGGTGGTAAACATAAAAGCAAACACTGATTTGCCGTGGGCACAGACCCACCTGCACCGAAGTGTTAGTGATTTGAAACCAAAGACAAGATAAATGAAATGCAACTCGATATAATTTCTTATGAAACATACATAAATACGTTTGATGTGCAGCTTGTATACCAAGTAATATGGGGTAATAGGCATGTAGCACAGAAATAGTAGTCCAACCAGAGGGATGAGAGCAGAAAGTGAGACCGCAGCGGTACAAACAAAAGAAATTTATTTACATGCGACATTCATAGACAAACAAATAAATAAACAAAAAAACAACGTTTGCCTCTTGTCGCCATTACATGTACGGTTTGTTTTCGTGTGTATATTTGATGCACCACACCTTATTAAAGGCGAGCCCGATAGGATTCAATGAGATCTTGACGATCGCCTGGTAGCAAGAGCGTGTAACCCTGAAGTAAGATTGACAAAGGCACTAGAACAAATCCTGTCGGCTCAGGTCTGTTTTTATCCACCGGCTGAAGCGATCTGTCCTTCACGACATAAAAATCCGGCTGGCATACCATCTGCATGAAGAGCCTAACCTGCTGCATTAGCGTATCCGAGGCGGTGATTGAGTTTTGCGCCTCGGCGAGCTCCCTGTTGACTCCTTGAAGTTGTGCCTGTGTGCGCATGAGGTCCAACTCCAATTGCTGTTTAACTTTTAGAAAACTAAATTCATCCTTATCTTTTTCTTCCTGCAGTCTTTTACACAATTCCTCCAACCCTACCTTTGCTCTCTGCGCTTCCTCAAGTTGCTGTCGAAGAACTTTGTTTTCTGCCTGAAGGATACTTACTCTTTTTTGCACCTCTTCTTGACCGAGCCTCGCTTCTTGTTCCTCCCTCAGTTTTATAACAGTCTTATCGTGCTCCTCCGCAGCCTGTTGAAGAAGACGGCGAAGCTCGGCGTTGGTCCCACGCATGAAGTCCGTATGAATTTGCATTAATTCTAGGAGATCATCTATCGTCGATATTCGTCGCTCCACTTCCTCCCCCAGCTTAAGTTCTGCCACTGCCGCCTTCCGTCGCAATTTCCTTTCCTCCTTGTTTTTCACCCGCAACTTTTCCAGCGCGCGCTGTAGCTCTAAACTAAGCTGCTGAACCCTTTTCTGCTCAGTCGCAACGTCCTCCTCCTGGCTCCTTCGTATTCCCCTAGAATCCGACAACCGCACCTCACCCGTGCGATTACCCTCCACGACAGTGCTAAAAGGGACAAAATTGGGCGCACGGCGGGGCGACCCAAATGTTATCACAGAGTGTTGCAAGGGCAATAGAGTAAGTCTTTTCATTTTATTGCATGCAACACTATCCCTCCTCGTGGAGTTGAGCAAAGGTACGAAATTAAGATCGGTACGGTTCATTGACTATGCCCGCAATGATACCCCCTCAGCCTCTTCCAAGGAAGAGGTACAGTAAAGAAAAAAAAAAAGAGAGGGAGAAAGAACATGAAAATCATGCAAAGAAAAAAAACAAAAAACGCTCCACTCCACTCAGCATACAAGAAATACATGGCAAAAAAAGAAAAATAATAATAATAATCGTATGGTGTTTTAATTTTCTTCATTTAAACGAATGAAAATAAGGGCATTCACCAGCAGAGCCCTCTCAAGATGATGCCGTCACGGCGTCAAGCAAATCGGACAAATTCTTGAGTTCCGACCGTGAGAAACAAACGGATGCGGCAGGACCGTAATTTGTGACCAGGGGATAAATCTTTTGTAGAAGGTATCGCAATTCGTGCGACACCTCCCCTGTAACAGCGTCCTGTTCCACCACCTTGTTCTCCTGATCCTCTTCCGGTTCGTTTTCGCCCTCCTCCTCGCTTACTTCCATCTCCTCCTCGTTTTCTTCTCCCTCTTCGTAGTCCAAAGAGGCCGGCGTGGCAAGATTAAGCAGACCTTTTCCAACAGCAACAAAAAGCGCCACATCCAGAGGCAAGGTACCCCTTTTGCAATCCTCCTCAATCCATGCCAGCAATTGGCCACAGAGTCTTTCATCCAATGGGCATTGCATCAAGAGATCTAGCAATGCATCACATGAGTGAAAAAGAGCCCCTTTCACAGTGAACACACTCATCTTTGGCAACCATACGGAAAACATTTCAATCAGAATCCCGGATGACCACAAAACATTAATAAAAGCATGCATATGGAGTTTCATTAATACAGCCAGAGGAAATACAAGTTCCTGCGTCACCGTATCGGTGCGAACCCTCATAAGACGACGTACAATGGTTGTAATAAGTATTTCAATTTCATCATCATGAAAAACACTCGTATTCTGTGCAATGGCAACCAAAACTCCTCCCACATTCATCAACAAGGCTTCTTTTATTTCCTCCCCCAACATTTTCATCGCAATCGTGACAAGCACGGAAGAAAGGGGATGCGGTTTGAGTTCATCCCTCTGCAAGGTAGGGATTTCAACAAGATCACTACAGGATAACTTTTCCCCATTCAATACCGAAAATGGCTTCTCCATTGAGGGAATGGCTACAAGAACCGTCATTGCTCCCACTTGTGGAGAACGCTGCAAGAGAGCAGCAAGACAATTCGACGCAGACGATATGATAGAAGACTCTTCAGTCCCAAGCAACAGTCTACAGAGGGCGCCAGTAAAAAACTCGGCCCCCTTCCTTGCCACCTCATCAGATCCCTTCTCAAAAATGCATGTCAAAATTTGCACAACAAAAGGTACAACACAATACTCTGCCGTGCCACAACAACTATTCAGTACATCAGCTAGCCATGAAAAATGACCCGTGAGAAACTCATCCCCACTGTACTCTGTGATTAATTCACCAAAAAGAGATACAACCAACTCTCCCATATTTGGATCCCGAATATGATTCCTCCAGCAAAGAAACAGGTTATTGTAAGATTCCGAAGAAGCAACATCTCTTCTCTTACTGTGACATCGAGCAATCCACTCTGTGTGAACTTCAAGACACACGTACAACAATTCACCCGAAGTAGACTCGTTTAGAAGAAGCGAAAACAGGGCCTCTTGACCCTTAGCAAAAAAGGTTAAAGCATCATCCACATGGGCCAAAGGAATAAGGCGATGAAAAAGTTTGCATGCTGCAGCACGAAGTAAGGGAACAGAACTTGACAACGAAACAACCGCCTGAGGAATAAGCGAGGCACAAAGGGATTCTGCACCTATCCGCTCCCGCTTCATCATTGACAATAATATACCCAACAATGAGAGTGCTCGAGAGGAAAGAATAGCCGGCCCTTGTATATCTTTTTCAAGAAGTACTTGCAAAAGTTGAGAATGACAACCTACTCCTCTAAGAATGGTCTCCCTGGGACATCGGCGTAAAAGAACTTCCAATACAAATAAGATACTTTCCCTCTTCTTCCATGACTCTTCAGCAGAAATTAAAAAATCCAGAAGTGCCCGCACAATTTTTCCCCCGTCTCCAAGAAGTGATACACAGATCCTACAAAAATCTGCTGCAGTATCACGAACATTCCATAAGACTTCATCCTCACGTTCTTCTTCCTTACGAAGAAAGTCATTTGCTTCAATAAGCCATTCTTCGGCTTCCTTATCACACAACATCGTGTGCGACAAAACGACATTTAAGAATGATGACAAATTATTAATAATGGCCTTCCCTAAATCACTCCTCAGGGTCTTCAAATGTACCATAAATCCCAATAGTTCCCAACGTTTCGCAGCAATCTGTTGAATAACAAGACTTGCATCATCATCATTCTCATCATTTTCTAAACTTTCCAGGTAGACATTGCTATCCGCTTCAATACGCGTCAGTAAACCACAAAAAATGTTAGCTGTCATTCTTTTTCTTGTCCATTTGTCAACTTGCAACATATCATTGAAAAGCGCCGTAATTCCCAAAGTCAGCCTGTTTCGGACAAGATATTCTGGTTCCCCTTTTGAAGAAAAAAAGGGCGTCAGTAGAGCACCCGATAAGGCCGGAAAAAAATCCTCCCATGTTTTTTTTATCAGTCCCGATAAAAAAAATTCTCGTATTGATATTGCAGGAAGAATGAGCTCTCTCAGCAGATTAACAGCCAAATAACTAGCCTCTCTCGGGGTATTAGAAACAACAAGTTGAAATAAAAGTGGTGTGAGAGAAAAAATCTCGTTGCGAGTGATGGAGCCGATAGGAAGATTGTTTATCAACTCGGAAAGTAGTATCATAAAGTTCAATTCATGTCGATTTGAATTGAATTTAAAAAATTCATCAGACAGCCACTTTAAAAAGAAATGAAGAGATCCAGATACCACCATGTTTTCTGTTTTAATGGATTCCATTCTTGACACAATAATACTTATAACGGCAGCAGAAAGATTTGCTACAGGGCGATCCTCTTCCAAAGGAAACAAATCCATAAGAATTTTACTCACCTCAAAACATTCTTCTATTGCGATAAGACTGACTTTCCGTCTTAGAACAGTCAAAACCAAAAGACGATGACTTCGAGGAACAGTCTCCAAATTCAAATAAGCATAGTGACTTAGCTGTGACAAAAATCCCTGAAAGAGAGTAAGACGATCAATTTCTTGTTCCGCCTGAAATCGTACGGAATTTTCCGAACTAAGTGCGCGTTCCAAAAGCGCAGGTAGCTCCTTCAAATCGGTCATGGAAAGAGCTACAATGGCCATAAACCACAGTACAGGCCTTACTACTTACTTGGACAAGGCAATCAATCAAAAAAAAAAAAAAAAAAAAGTGAAATACAGAATGGGTGCAGAAAACACCAATACAATGCAATCGTAATCATATAATAGAGCATAATCCATGTATTAACAACATCTTAAAGAAAATACGCCAATACCCCAAGATAAAAGTATACAAATATTTCTTTTTTTTTTTTTTTTTCTTTCTGTCCTCTCGTCTCCTTCGTTGCGTTTTTGACGTTGCTGTCTCCTTTGCGTATTCTTTGTTCCGCTCTCATTTTCAAATGTCCATAATATCATGGAGTTTAATCATTTGCATCCCTTATTTAGGAGTGAGTCAAATACATCATGAAGACATTCCATCAAAAAAGGAAAAGACCAATGAAATCCGTTTAGATGGTTTGGAAGAATATAGGGATGGGGAGAAGAAAAAAACTGCGTCACATCCACCTTTTTACCTTCAATACGAAGCACAGCTCCTTTGTTATCAAATGTATCGCAATAATTAGGGGCTGAGAACACTGACATCATACATGGGAAGTTGGAAATACTATTAAATCGATAGAGTTTGTACCCTTCATCCTGCAACTCATGGCTCCGAATGATGCAAAGAAGACTATTTGCCATAAGAAAGTGTTTTAGACTCGAAAAGTTAAACAAATAACTACACCCTCGTTGCTCATTAACAAGAAAAACGGGTTTGGATCCATAGGATGGACCAGCACTAGGGGTATAATAATCGCTTTTTGATCCTCCACTAACCGATGATGGATTTTCAACATCCCAAAGTGGATCCGACCAAAGCAAATCACACATGGCACCTCGTGAAGGAGGCTCTCTAAAACGATGAATAAGTTCAATATGATTTAATTTGATTACATCCGGTGAAAGGCCGCCGTGAACGCAGAAAAAACGCTTATTTACTAATGCTGCTAACGGCAAACAGTCAAACGCTTCCATGATCGCGCGGTAAACTTGTTCATTATACTTACAAATGCATTCCTCCTGAAATTCAAAAAAATCCGTCATTAAACGCGATTCGTGATTTCCACGAAGCAAAAAGACAGATTTGGGGAAATTAAGTTTAGCTGCAAGTAAAACCAATATGCATTCACAGCCACAAAAGCTGCGATCGGTGTAGTTTCCAAGAAAAAGGTATTTTTTTTTATCGTCAAACATCCCTCCTATTCGAAGTATTTTCGTTAGGTCATATAGTTGCCCACGAATATCACCTACCACAGTAATTGAATCATCATCAATAGTTAACACATTTGGTTCTGCACGTAAAATTCCCGACGCATTTTGAATTATGCTCAAAGCATCATGTTTTCCAAGACGCCCCTGGCGAAGAAAGTGGGCAATCATCACATTTAGGTTAATTTTGCCTTTTCTATCAATCAAAACCGCTCGTTTTATTTCATCCCAGCATGGTGGAGGAACAGATGTCTTTCCCCTATTCACTTTAAGAGAATCTGATGTAGACAACATTATTATTGCTATACCAAAATAAACTCACTACTGTGCGATAATATGTATATATAATTATAACTAATAAATAAAGTAAAGTAAAATGAAAAAAAAAAAAAAAAAATCCAACAATATCAATTTAAAAAAAGGCATATACACATAAAAATCAAAAAATATAGTATTAGTAACGCATATAATAGAGATAAATTTTAAAAGCAAAAAAAAAAAAAAAAATGTAGTCAATTTGTTACCTTGTATTCGCAAGTCAAATGCTACTTATTTACACAAATGTATAGGTAATTTTTATTACATTCTGAATAATTTCCCGATCGATATCCAAATCATTAGAAAATTCTCTAAACGTGAAAGATATGCGACGATGTTTAATATTTTCCAAACGTATACCATGCAACCAATCATAGCGACTCCCATTTGATAGTAAAAAAAATGCGCCACGAGGTAAAAAAACGTCAACAGCCGTCCCCTCATTATTCACAAAGGTCATCACTGTGTCCTCTAGCAAATTTAGGCCACCAACACGATTGCCCCAAACCCAAGTATCATCAATGTGAGGATCAATACTACTGCTATTTTCACTTGTGTACTCAAGCGCTGAAACCTCCACGATATGGTATTCTTTTGAAGTTATATCTCGGACAAATGATTTGACTTTTTCCATAACACTCTCCAGCTGCTTAGGCATACCGCGTATACCAGAAGTATTAAGTTTCCTTTTCTTAAAATTGGCTCTAGGACCAAAATCTTGTTTCCTCCTTCCACTCTGAGAATGCTTCCAACCAGAAAGTGACGACGGCTCATCAAGGAAACTAACCAATTTTTCTTCATCCAGTAGAGATAAAAAATCCGGAATAACAAAAAGACCCTCAATTCTAATATCGAGGTTGGGTGTTGTGCCTTCATGGTCTGCGCAGCTTTTGAAAACCCCGTGATGCATTAAAAAAATTCTGTTGCATTGCCAACAGAGCCCATAATGGCTTAATTCCACACAGGTAAAGGAGCAGGAAGAAGTTCTCCCCGCACCATATTGTTGGGATATGACGTCTGAAGACTTTACAAGAAGTACGTTCTGATGAGTGATACCTTGAGCGCGCTCAGACTCTATACAACGCCCACAAAATCGTATTCCTGAGCAACAACAACCCTCTTCTTTCTCCATTTGCGGCATACAGGGCATTCCCTATCTCTCTATTAGAAGATGTAGTATAACTACTAATGACAAAGCAAAAGAAAAAAAAAAAAAAAAAAAAAAAAAAAAAGGAGTGGTAAGAATAAAAGAAAAAGCGTCAAAATTCGGAGCAGATGGAAAATAATAGGGAAAAAGAACTATTTAAAAGCTGAGGAGAAATAAAACGCAAAGTGATCTTTAAAAACATTGTGTATGCAAACGAATTACCTAATTTCATTCAACCCGCTTTTTGTTATTTAGAAGAAATCAACTTGTTGACTTCATCAACAGTGTCTTTGTATGACTTTACGGCGTGTCCAATGATTCTTTTGTCAGTGTAAATTTCATAATCATTGCCACCAGCATGTGTTTTATCACCAAAAAAATGAATTTCGTCAAAATCATTTTCCACAAAACGCAGACAATAGCTTTTGTCCCATCCAACTGGAAAGACATCAAAGCTAATCTGGCCTCCAATTGAATACTTTAAGCCGTAATCAGGAAAAGAGTTCTGAAGTTCCTTGATGAGTTTTTCACGGACGTGATGCTCTTTGTCATATACCTCAAATTCATCTCTTTCCGATTGCGTGCAGTTGCGACCAATTGGACAGACATTTATCATTCCATTCCTGTATTCAATGAATGTGCCCCTTTGAACAGGAATATCAAGCTCAGAAAGGAGACGCAGGGCTCTTCTCACAAACTTCACGATGCGCTCGTTTCCAAGTTCTTTAAGGAGGTTTTGACGATGAATTTCTTTCCCATGCTTATATGCCAATAAACCATTTTCAGCAAACACGTAGTCAAACTGTTGAAAAACATCCTCTCCGAGTTGTTCAATCTGCTTAGCCAAATCCGATCCACCCACTGTCCCAACTGTAAATCCCGCACTTTTTGCACGCCGAATCACTTCCCGAACCTCATCTGGCTGAGAGAGCCTCGGCGGGGTCAGCGTCCCGTCAATATCAAAGAGCAAAAGAACCTTTTTCATACGTCTTGAAACAAAGGCCCAAAATCACCTTTAAAAAGGCAAGAAATTGATGAATTATTTTTTAAAAGCAAGAGTGAAACAAATGCATAAGAAAAAAACACAAAAAAAAACACCAAAAGCTAGAGAGAATTTCAAAAAAACACCAAAAGAAAAAAAGCACAAAAAAAAGCGGAAGAGCGCGCGGAAAACCACTGGCCCCGCCAAAAAGAAAAACACGAGACAACAACGCAGCCCTGCTAGAAGCCCCCTCCCTCGCCCCGTTCTCCTTTTTTGTGCCCCTTTTCCTCCGCCCGAGACCGGCCCAAAAATTCCGGGCCCTGAAGCTCCGCGCGGCCAAAAGGGCGGACGTCCTTCCGAGACATGTCCTGGATTTCATTCGCGCTCGCGCCTGCCGCGCCCTCCTTTAAATTTTTCTTGCCGCTGTTGTTCCGGTTCTTCTTTCTAGTAAAGCATGTTATTTGAATATAGCTCTAATATTCTTGTTTTTCCTTTTTTTGGCGATGAGAAGGGCGAGCGGGTTTTCCGCATTGCTGCCGCGTATTGGTTTATCCCCCTGTTTAGGACGGCGCTCGTCTTGTGATGGAAAAAAAACGGACGGAAACCCACAGGATCCTGAACCTCCTAGTGAATCGAAAGAGCTCGATCCTTTCCGTATTGGATACAATATGGGAATGCAAAGTGTTCATTTAGAAGCCATTCGAATGAAGCTAACAGATCATTTGGAGGTTTTTAAGTCGCATTTTCATGCACTCACCGATGTGTTGAAATCGAACCATGATCAAGTCAAACAGATACATGATCAATGTAACAAGGCGATTCTTCATGAGCTGAAAGAATCCAATAGCCAAATTTTTTCTCAACGTTCTGAGCTTTTACGACAAATAAAGGAACTGGAGGAAAATTTAAAAAGCAGCATTGACGATAGGGTGACCGGGCTTCAGAGACACATTGATGATTGTTTTGAGAATCTGAAGGATATGATAAAATTGGGGATTGCAGTACTTATTTTTCTAAATTTATGGATGTTTTACACAATTTCGCAAAACCATCGTCAGTACATGAACGCCCAAACGACACACACGTTGAATGGTTTGTCCTCTCGAAATAGAAAATAAAGAAAAACATTTCCCGAAGCGAAAAGTGAACTGGTATTATTATTATTATTATTATTATTATTATTATTATTATTATTATTATTATTATTATTATTATTATTATTATTATATTTATTTATTATATCATTACTAGTGCCCTTATTATTATTATTATTTGTTTGATTTACGCTGTTATATTTGTACTGGAGAATAATCTTCTACTTGTTTTTGCTTTATTCTGTTGTTGAATTGGATTATAATCGAATTTAAGTTTTTTTGCAGGTAAATTTAATGGTTTTGGATTGGTGCTTTTATTTTAGTTATTATTTATTTGTCACTGCTCTTTTTTTTTTTTTTTTTGGTTTGTTTTGAGCTTTATTAGATGAATGAACGTTCCGATCGCATCATGCTTCCAGCAAAGGGTCGCGGGAATACAAAACATTTTGTGCTTATGCACAGTAGATTTTACTCGTGTATTGGTGTCCTGTTTGGGCACCACGGATCTATTTCTATTGGATGTTGGTAGCAACGCCATCGAAATGGATTATATTTATGTGGTCAATTTAGGAGCGCCAGCAACCAAATTAAGGCATGTTTTGTCAATGGATGTGACGTTTGTTTTAAGTAATGGTGTGCTTTATTCGGCTACCTTGAGGAAAAAAGCAATGAATTCTCCTCAAGAAATATTTACATTGAGCGAGGGAATAGTTACAGACTTTGATATTGTTATTTTGAAGGAAGGTGCGTGTATTTCCATATTGGAAGCACCTGAAATATCCGTGTTTTTTTACACGAGAAATGGCAAATTTTTGCTTAGCCGATTTAACGCAGGAAATATTAGTTCATGTAACTGGGTAACAACGGATTGTTTGTGTTGCTCAGGAGAAGGTATTTTACATATTTACGGTGCTGATGGTTCATACATGCATCGTTTGGGTTCACAGACAGCACCAGCACGCTGTGCGATTCCCCTATTTGAGTGTTTTTCTTCAAATGATAAGTCATCGTGCGCCAATAAAAAGAACGCTTTTGCTGTTCTTTTTGAAAACAGTGAGTTGTACTTTGCGTATTATTTTACTTTGTTTTCTCAGGTTGGCGATGTCTTTACGGGAACTTTTAGATTTCCAATTTTTAGTAGCTCATTGCCCACGTGTATTTTTTCTGTTGGACCATGGATTTGTGTTAGCAGTTCATTTGGCTTGGAGTTCTATGATCATAAAACTGGTTCTTATGCTCAATCAGCATTGGAGAATGAATCTTCTGCTAGTTACTCTTTTGCAAATATTTCTTTTGATGCTACCCTTGTTCCAAGCGATATTCTTTACTCAAGATCGCGAATTGGTGTAGTTGTTACGAAAAATGCTCTTTATGTATTGTGTTTGCGATCAATTTTAGACATTGTTGATGAATTGAAAGATGATGCCGCGTTTCACACAGTTTTGTTGGAAAGTTTAAAGAGTTTTGGTGAATCCGTTCGGGCGACAAACATTACGCGGTCCTACTGTCGATGTGATACCATATCGAGTTTAAGTATTTTGTTTTCGGATTACGGTTCAATTTTGGCAAAATTTCGTATTTCCCTATGGGAATTTAAATCTCAAAACAGTGATGTGGGTGAAAGTAAGAAACAGGGTTTATCATGTGCCATTTGTGGTTTGGAAAGCTTTTTTGGTTTGAACTTTTATAACTGTGCGTTGTGTCACCTGGTTGTGTGTCGAAAATGCTCATTTTTGCGAAATTTGCGTCTGTATGGGTATTTCACTATGAGCGGAAAAGGTGTTCTTTGCGCTCACTGCGATGGAGGATGCGATCTTAACTTGTATCGATTGTTTATGTCTCGTCGATATAATCAAATTCTTCATTACATGGAAGAGTATCCGGAAAGATGTTACAAACTATCTCTTTCTGAAGTCATTCCTTCCGTTCTTCTTCAATGTTTTGGGGAGAGAAAATTTGATCTTTGCGCGGAATTGATTGAAAAATACATTCCCAAAAATGATAGTCTTTGGGACCAATGGGTAGTTCGATTCAGTGTACAGAACCAGATTGAGTGTCTAGCTCGTGTTCATAACCCTAACCGTACCGATCAAGCTATAAATACAGGTCTTTTACTCCAACTTGTGAAAAGTGTCAGTTATGAGTTGTATGTGCTTTTACAACAGTGGCCTGGTAATTCATATAGTGCGGAAATGGTTTTACATGGTATTCTCTCGCGTCTTTCATACAAGAAGCAGGAAGCTTATGATTTGCAGGAATCGTGCCAATGTGGTCCTTTAAATTCATTAGAATGGCAGAATGCTGTAAGCGAGATTTATTTCGATGATGATATATATCAATTGCTCCGGGCTTATCTTTACATTTGTTTTCAAAATGAAAAACATTTGGATGCTGCAAAGGGTTATATGGAGTATTTTGTCATGATGCTTCCTTTGACAAAAGAACAACGTCAGCGAAGTTATGAAGTTTTTGAAGACAGTATCTTGCGTGGAGAATCTTTAAGTGAATTTCCACCATCAGATCTCATTAATTTATGGGATTTATTGACAAGCCATGGTATTCTTGAAGAATTTATTTGGTTGAAAGATTCTGGTGGTAAGACTCTTTTTTTGATTCCGCTTCTTACTCATTATCGTGAAGAATTTGTTCGATATTTGATTGATTCTGTTCATACCGATCTTCTTGAAGATATATTACAGTCTACCGTTTATGAGTTGAAAGATCAGCCTGTATTACTTTTAAATGTACTGGATTCCATTACGAGAATTTCTCCTTTGGCAACACGTTCTTATCATTCGCTTATGACGGAGCTTTACTTGGAGCATGCCCCAGAGAAATTATTATCTTTTATTCAACATCCTCAGGTGGGTGGATTAAATTTGAAAAAACTTGCCAGAATTGTTGAAAATCGAAAGATGTTTCGAGAACTTGTTTATCTTGTTGGAAAAACTGGTAATGATATGGAGGCCATTCGCATGGCTATTCGATGTATGAAGAGTGTTCCACTTGCGATGGAATACATTAAGGATCACCCTGATGATACTCGGCTTTGGGACTTGGTTATGACGAATGTGGTTCAATCTCCTGTTCTTATAGCTGATTTTTTGGAAGCGGCTGGTGACCTTGTGGATATGAAGGCATTTTTGCAGTCCATTCCCACTCCAAATCGTCTCAATATTTTTCATGGAGGGCCGCGTTTAAAGAAAGTGCTTCAGGGTAAATCGTGCTTTGAACGCATTGCGAGGTCCTCTGTAGATTCTATCTCCGTAGATAATTACGTTTCACTTGTCCGATTGAGACAGCAAAATTGCAGGGGGGCGCGTTGTATACCAGGGGATTTATGCAGTTTATGTGGTCAATTAATTTTGGGGGAATACATGGTAACTAGCTCTGGAGCAGCGTTTCACTCTGGTTGTACTCCTCCTTTGTCTTTGCAATACAAAAAACATGAAAACAAGATAAATCATCAGTATGGAAGGCCCAGCAAGAATCGTCGAGATGTCTCCAAAATGGATTACATTGAGTATCATACTAATAGGTCTCTATGCACCTCTAATCCAGTTAAATTATTACCAGAAAAGGAAGTTTATCGAATTCTTTCATTTTTGTCTCCAAATGAACGAGAGGTTTTTCGGGACGTGAGTCGTGAATTCCGAAAGGTCGTTAAATCTTTTCATATCTTTGCCAAGAGAGAAGACGATAATCTATTTGGTCGTTATTATGCTCGATTGGAAACTGTTGGGGAGAATAATTGCCGGTGTACTTTGCAGTTGGGAAGGGTGCCCATATTTAAGTCCCTAAGAGGCGCACAACGTTATCGTGTCGATACTGTTAAATTATAGGAACCTTTATGTATGATTTCTATTTTAGTCTAAATTTGACTGCAAGCAGACTGAGAAAGTAAATCAAGACGAATAATATGTACACAGGAAGATGTGGCGTTTTGTTATTCCTGTTTTCTTCTCTTTTACTCTCCACTTCTCCATGTATTTTTGATTTCGTTGTAGAGGCTATTGCTTTTTCATCCAGTGGTCAAAAAAAAAATATATATATATAGGTGTCTTACTCACATCCAAGTCTGGTTTAAAATTATTTGTGAGGTTTTGGTCCTAATGTTATTTTCCGGTGCGTTGTTTCATTTTGGGCAGATGAAGATGCTATTGTAGATGGAGCCACTGTGTGTGTGTGTGTGTGTGTGTGTGTGTGAGGGGGAACTCCTGAGGACGGTAGTACCACAAGCTCGTTTCTAAATTTTGCCCGCTCGGCTGGTGACTTTGCTAGTTTTTTTGTTTTTCATCTCTTCTCAAGTGAGGGATAACGCTTTAGGGTCCACAAGGGTGCCTTTTAGCCGGGAGCGTCATGTTTCTCTTGGCTCCCCCACAAGTATGATTTGGTTAGAAATCAGAAAATCATGGATTCTAAAATAAATCAAAAAAAAGCACGGAATAAGGTGCTTTCCTCTGTTGGGAAATGCAACTCGCTCATTATACGTGTGGCATATACAATTGAAGTTTTGTCCTTTTTTTAGACGTTTCTTGCACTTCAGGCTTTTGCTGTTTTGCGCAAGATTCCTTATGAAGAGTTAGAAATTGATATTGAGTGGGCATCGATGTGGCACTTTAAAGTTGACCACTATCATCATGGAGCGACATTGATGCCATCCGCATCGTTAAAAGTGATAAATCTCCTTATCAAAAGGGTGGATAACAAAAAGAAATTTTTTGTTGAGTGGAAATCAATTAAACGAATTACTGGCTCTGATTGTTCATCAAGCAGTGGCCGTGACGCGCCAATAGTCAGAATTTGCCGAACAATGACTCAATCTGTCGCAAATACATAAAGAATGTGATGCAATTGTTAGTGGTCTCAATCAATCAAATGGCCTGAGGCAAACCCAGAAGAAAGGGGCCACGCATATATCACGAACAGCCAAAATAATGATGAGTCAGAGGAGCTTGAAGGGCGATTCTCACTTGGACGAAAAGAAGTAGAAAATATCCCCAATGAGCCAAAAACAAAACACTTTGCGCATAACATAGATGTGAGTGTAATAACGGGACGGTTGGATCAAATGGAAGCGAGACCAGGAAATGTGGAGTCTCAAATTGACGAATAATTTCGTAACGACAAGGTTTTTTTTGCATTGACTCAAGGAACACTATGCATAATTTTTCTGAGCTGGACACACAGTTGACTTCCCCTGAAAAGACTTTTCAAAAGAATCCTTGTTGGAGCACTTGTTTCTCAATTATTGGAGGCGCCAGAAAAGATTCGGGGAGAATTGGAGGTTGTGACGGCGCAGCTCATGCGACTTTTTAAGGTTTTGGAAGGCATTCGACGTCGTTTTTTTTTTTTTTTTTGTTTGTTTGTTTTTTGTTTTTTTGTGTGATGTTTACGTCTGTTAGGAGGGGGGGAAAGTCAGTTAATTTGAAGTTTTTCGATTGCAACTGCGCTTCTTTTATGGGTCAACGGCAACCTGTGGAAGGGCAGGGAGAAAAAGCTGAGGTTCACGGGGAGGAAAATGAGGAAATGCCCACGATTATACATGCATTCTCCTCTTCAATTGTCTCTAATGACAGGTGTTCGCCCGTAAATAGCACGGCTTGTGTTGCCCCGCGTATTTTAGGCTTTGCCCATGGCGAGGAATTACATCGTATTTTACCAGAATCACTTAGTCTGATCATTTTTAATGCCCTTCCAACGAGCTGCTGGCCTGTTTCCCCTCAACAACCCCAGTGGTATTTACTTTACAGTAGTAAGATTCATGGGCGCTCATTTCAAAAACTCGTTCAAGGCCTAGTGGACAAGGGTCCAACGTTGATTGTGATCAAAGCGTGTGAGTCATCGAATGTTTTTGGTGGATTTTGTGGGGATCCATGGCAGACTGTTGCCGCAAGAGAAAAACAAGACAGGAGTCGTTCTGCAGCTGCTAGACGCGCGGCGCGGGAAGGACAGGGAGCCCAGGGTATCACTTGTCGACCTGCAAACCAAAATAATGCCTTCTTTGGTGGCGAAAACTGCTTCTTATTCACTAACAGGGATGGTGGCCTGATTTATCAGTCCAAACCCTCCATAAATTCAAATTTCATGTACTTGTTTGATTCGCATCCACTTGTTGACAAAAATGGGGTTGGCATGGGTGGACAACCCGGTCATTTTGGTTGGTTTATAGACCGTTGGCTAGAGAAGGGAAAATGCTGCGGTGTGCGCTGCGCCACTTTCTGCAACCCCCGCCTCACTGACACGGAAGAATGGACAATTGACGGCGTGGAGGCGTACGCGTTGCATCCGGAAACTGTGGAGTCGCTTTCCAAGGCACCCCGAAAAGGTACTGAGAGGAATTCGTGTTTGCAGAATCCCGCAAACGATGCAGACAAGCTGTTACTTGGGCTTCATGGAATTTACGATTTTGATAGTCAGGAGCAACCAGAGTGCTGAAGAGAATTTATGTTTTTGTGTGTGGGATGTTGGGCACATTAAACTAAATTGTTATACCCCCTTTTTTTTTTTTTTTTTCTTTTTTTTTTTTTTTTTTTTGGGTGGGGGAACACGAGACAATTTCTCTTCCCACGTGCAGGATCATTTATTTATTTAATATCCATTTTGTTGTTGTTGTTGTTTGATTGTTTTTCATTGTAGTTTGGGCTGCTGCCATCTGCGTTTTGATTCGCTTTCTTATTTAATGGTTGCCTATCAATTCATGCAGGAAGGCTTACACATACACTTACACAAAAATCAAATATAAAAAAAGCAGAAGATCAATTTATTACTTCACCTAGGCGTCCATCTTTGGTGCCTGTTGTTGTCTTTTTTTTCCCTCCCTCTTTCGGTCTATTTTCCTTATCTAATATATATATATATATATATCATATAAACACAGAGTGAACGACAGGACGAGGGGAAAAAAAAAAAAAAAAGGGGGGGGGGAGGGGGTAATTCTTTATTTTTATTTTTTTACTTGGATAAAAAGGAGAAGGAGGGAGGGCCAAGTTCGATTTCTGTTGTGTGCGTGTGTGTATCTTGTGGCTTCTTCCTTTGTTTATACATTGTCTTTACTAAAAGCTTCTGCACAATGAGTAAAAGTGTTCTGCAGGTAATTGCCCGTATTGCTTCATTGTGCAAGGGCCGTCACGCATACCTTCGCGAGGTCTGTCTGTATACTCCGGGGGCACTGGAGCAAACAGGCGGTGCGGGCGCCGCTGTAAACCTTCTTTTTTATCCCCTGCTGATTGCGAGTTGTGTGAGTAACGAAGAACAAATGTTTCTTCCCTTGGCGTTGGAAGGCATCCTGTGCCTCTTGCGGCTTCACATTGTTTCGGAACGTACAATGTACGGCCCGCCCGAGGTGCCTCTGCCTGAGAAGAAAAGGAAGGGTCTTTTTGCAACTACTGATGTCACTGCGCCCGGTGAGGGTTTATCGTTTAACAGCGCGTCTGCCACGAAATCAACTCCGCTTACCGATGTGATCCTTGACACGGTGAAGCGGCACAGGCATTCCGTGTTGGAGGGGGTTTCTTTCCTTGTCCTTCAGTGTCTCACGGAGCTCATGCTTAACTGTGAATGGATTAAAGGGTCAAAACTAGTAGACTGTTTTCAGAGTGCGTTTGAGGCACAACTGGAGGTGAGGCCAATGTCAGGATCAGGCGTTTCTAATTCTCTTCTTCCGCATGTGTTGTCTCGCATATTAGCAGGACACAGAGGTGCCAACTCTGTGGAGCAAAAAAAACCATCAATGGATACCACATTGTCATGCAGTGTTGACTCCACGATGGGAAGTAACGAGAAACAATTCAATTTGGATAAATGCAACACTCTTATAAACTCAATGAATATTACAATAGCTGCCTCTTCAACAGATATTGTAGCAAACCGGCAACACTCAGCGGGTGAAGAAGAGGATGAAGAGGATCAGCAACAAAAACAACAACTAACATTAAGTGATCATCAGGACTGCTATGCGCTTCTTGTACGAATTTGTGATCTTTCCATCAAAGTGGTTGAGAGCCGCACCCCTGCGGATTCAATGGAGTGGCGTCGTAAAAGACTGAGCACTAGACTTCTTGCTCATCTTATCAATGCAGTGAACGATGAGTTTGCAAGGAGTGATTTTTTTCGATCCGCCTTGCATGAAAAGGTAACCCTCAGTTTGCTTCACAACTGTGCATTAGAGGATCCAGTGCTGCATGGTGTGGCACTCAAAACACTTTATCAGCTGGTGATGCGTTACCGCAACCTCCTCAAATCAAAAGTGGTGATATTCATCCTTGGATTGCTTCTTCCCATCGTAAATTCTAAAAACACATCCTACGAGCAAAAAGCCACAATCTTAACGTTTTTTGAACACACCCTGCGTGACCCCCAGCTGCTGATGGATTGGTTCACGAACTTTGACTGTGTTCAAGGCATGCCGAACCTTTGTGAGCAACTTGTGTCAGGGTTATCAAAAATGTCAAAGATGTCACACATGTCATCTTGGGTGAACGCCAAACAGGATGCTTTACTTCGTCTTCAGTGCATAAAGGCACTTGGAACCTTTGTTCGGTCTCTGGAGGGCATTGCGAAGGAGTTTCCCATGGGTGGCGGCATCACCCCTCGCAGTCAAGAGAGGGAATTGGAGTCAAGGGAAAATCAAGAGATGAAGTCGGTGGCAGCGGAGAACGAGAAGGGGGAGACGGGGGCGCATAGTAAAAACAATGTTAACTCTGGTTCTTTGTCAGAATGTGGTGTGGAACAACTTCTTCGTGGGAAAAAGGCGTTTGATGCGGTTGTAGATAAGTTTAACTTGGGTGATCATGCCGCTGCCATCGCGATGGCCCTCAATGTTCACCTTTTGAGTAGTGCAGCACCAGAAGCGGTGGCCCGTTTTCTCCTGCAGAAAGAACTTGACCCTGTGGGAGTTGGGGAATATCTTGGGAAAGACAATGAGGAACGGAAAGCTATTCTCCGCGCCTTTATAGGGCTGAACGATTTTTCGGGTTTGCCTATTGACGACGCGATGCGTTTATTTTTGGGTAAATTTAAACTCCCCGGTGAGGCGCAGGTTGTGGATCGCGCCATGGAGTTGTTTGCAAGGGAATACTGCGCGCAGAACCCTTCCAGCTTCTCTGGTCCTGGTCCGGCCTTTATTCTGGCGTTTTCCATCATGCTTCTAAACACAGATGCCCATTCCTCTCATGTCACGGATAAAATGACTTTAGAGCAGTTTGTTCGGAATAACAGTGGCATTGATGATGGGAAGGATCTTCCACGCTCGCTCCTTGAGGGGGTTTATCAGCGTATTACAGCAAGGGAGATTGTACTTGAGGCTCGTGGGGCGGTGCCATCGAATGGGTTAAGAAAGTGCTCCTATGGAACAAAGGATATGCGTCCTTTATCATCGCCGTCATCATTATCATCGTTAGGGGCTCGCAGGAGGAATCATCGCTCCTCTCGTCATATGGAGCAAGCGTATCTTCTGGAGACATCCGTGGAGCAGATAACGCGGGATGTATCTTCAGAGCCGTATACATCCATAAATTCCTCAGAACTTGTGGGTGCACTGATGGAAAGTACATGGACCGCCCTGTTAGCAGCCTTCTCCATCCCTATGGAAGAAATGGAAAACATTGAACTTATCGACACCTCTCTTGAGGGTATTGAATCGGCTATTAAGGTGTGTTGTAAATTTTCATGTCGAACACAACGAAAAGCGTTTATTTCTGCTCTTTTGACTTTTACGCACCTGACGAACCTTCGGGAAATTGAGTACAAGAGTCTCAAATCCATTATTGCTCTTACTCGCGTTGCCCTTGAGGAGGGTGATCACCTCGAGACTTCCTGGTATGAAGTTCTTCGTTGCATCTCCCTTCTTTCCAAGTTGCAAATATTGGCTGAGTCTCCATGGACGTCATTGCTCAATGATCGGAATGGTAACCATGCGGCCCCAAAAGCCCCCAACACGTCCCTGGAAGGCCAGGGCCGGTCCTCATTGCAACCACAATGGGAGCGAGCCAAGCTGGAACGGCAAAATGCCGAAATAATAGCGAAATATATAGATGAGGTTGAGGTGCACCGTCTTTTCTCTCGCAGCAATTATCTGAAGGATGCAGCGGTAGTTAGTCTTGTTGAAGCCCTTTGTTTAGTGAGTGCTGAGGAGCTGGCGGAAAATCCACCGCGGATATTTTCTCTGCAGAAACTAGTGGAAGTAACGGATACAAATATAGGGCGTCTGCGGTATGTTTGGTCCAAAATGTGGACCAACGTCTCTCGTCATTTTGTCAAAGTTGCTCTGAGCTCCAATGAACTGGAGCCCATGTATGTGGTGGATCACCTGCGGCAGTTGGCAACGAAATTCCTTGCTCGGGGCGAACTTGGGGACTTTAACTTTCAGAAGGGGGTGCTGCAACCATTTGAAGCGATTGCCTCACGGACGCAGTCGACGAAGTTAAAGGAACTTCTTGTGGCCTCTTTGGGTCAAATGGTGGAGGCGCAGGCGCAGAATCTGAGGAGTGGTTGGGGTACTCTGATAGAGGCACTCGCACACTGTGTGCAACACGACACAAATCCCGATGTGGTTTCTTCTTCTGCCATTGTGCTGCAAAACATCACTTTGTGTCATCTGCATCTCCTTACCACGTCTGATTTGGTGAAAATTGTACGGGCATGGGCTGTTGTTGCCCGTTCTGCTTTTAGTGATGATTTTGCCCATTCAGCCGTGTGGTTCGTGCGTTATGTGACTATTGCCTTAGCACTTCAGGCGGATTCCAATAGTTCCTGCGAGGGCGTGCAACACTCACATGCGTCACAATGTGGGACATCATCCAACGGCGAAAAAGAAATACATGTCGACGAATCACATAGCCATGCTATTAAGGAAAATAACAAAAGTCATTCTCTCCTTTTGAAAGAAGAAATTAAAGCTTTGGCTTTGCGTGCTGCATTTCCTGTCGATGGCGATGATAACAACAAAGTTGAGAGGGGGCGAGCTAGAACAAAAGAAAATATGCAACTTTTTCCTGTGGCCGTAGGAGCCCTCGCTTCTCTTTTGGTTCACCGCTCAATAAGTGGTGAGGCCATGGAGGCTATGCTATTTGTCATGACGGATCACCGCGCAGTCTTCACACCGGAGGAGTGGTGGCACACAGTGGGTAGTGGAGTTGCCCCCGCGTTGGATTTCCTGTTGCAGCAATGCAGGTTTTCAAATGAAACGGAACGTGACGTCTGGCTATCACTCTTTAAACGCGCCGTAACGAATGTCGTGCAGTTTGTTGGGTACAACTTGGATGGAAATCCTCTACCAGTGGATCATGTGCTCTTTTTGTTTCGGGTCTTTGTCGGAAGGGCGTGTTGTGGTTCCCACGACGAGGCGACAGAGCTTGGACTTCAGGGTGCTCGCCAGATGTTGGACCTTTTTAAAGAGCACGCCGTCGTGGATGAATTACTCTGGAATGGCATGGTAGAATACATCCAGGAGATTGGGGACATTCTTTTGGGTGCCTTGGACTCCATTTGGCGCCACCCAATGGACCCCACACAACAAGACACATTGAAGCCCACGTTGTTGGCGTTACTGCAGTACGTCAAGTGGAATCGTGACGCGGCGTTGACGCCACAGTTAACAACACTGTGCCGAACGAAGGCGGTAAAGGTTCTACTGAAAACCCTTCAGCGATTCATGTGTCTTATGCGAACCTCCGTCTCCTTTAGAGACAGCGTCACGGAGAAAAGAGATGTTTTTGACTTAGCTCTGTTCATTGCCTTGGAGTGTTCTTTGTGTAACGCAATTCTTGATGCGGAGAGGCGGTACGGTGAAATTTTGGAGAATGAGAGCAACACCCTTTGGATGCTTATAATAGGGCAATTTTTAGCGGTTACAGGGAAGACTTCAAATGTTAGTCGTGAAGAGGCGAGCAGTTTAAGGGGGATTATTCGGGAGTTGTTAGATGCAATGCTTGAGGCTCCACAGCGCGTAATGATGGCGCGTTGCAGGATCTGCATGCCGTTTCTTTGCCAACTTATTGCGCTAAGCGACGATGTCTTTGCTGAATCACTTGCCAATTTGTTTTTAAGATACCATACAGCCACTGTTCAAAACATTTGATGGACCCCTCCTTTTTTTTTTTTTTTTTTTTTTGCGTTACTATCACTATGATTCTTCCCACACCTTTTATTATTATTATTATTTTTTTTTTTGTGTGTGTCTGTGAATGTATTTTCTGCCCGATAAATATCGCTATCGTTTTATAATTTAATTTGTGCTACAAGGTCCCGGGCATTTTATTGCAGAATTGAGGCAGATTGTGCTGTTAATCGTCAGGATATAAATATAAATATATATATACTTATACATGGGGGAACCTTTTTTTTTTTTTTTTGTGTGTGTGTGTACTTCACCAGAATCATCATTCTTTTGGTTGTTTTTATTGTTGTCGTTGTTTTTTGTGTGGTTATTGCTGCTGTGGTTCTCTTCAGCCCCTCACCCCACATGGCGGCGAAAAAAGGAAAAGGAGTGGCGAGGGCGTCGCGGTTCACCAGGGCACTTTTGGTTTGTATTGCCGCATTTCTTTTGGTGACATTGTTTTTGCTGCGAAGCCTGGAGAGCTGGGATGGCCACGCATCCTCGTCATCGGCAGCGGCAGCAGAAGGTGGACTCTCACAACCGACGCCACATGCGCGACCACCAGGAAGTGTGACGAGCGGAGAAAATGCACCCGACCACGCGAAGATGTCAAGGCCGGCCGGTACTGAGGCCATGGATGACGATGGTACGCTGGTGCCGCTAAGAGACATCCCACCGTCGCCGTATTATGCGTTTGGCCCACGCATCATGCCTCGAGCATTTCTGCGTATTTTACAAAATTCTTCACGACGCATTAACAAAAATTGGATTCGCTCCAAATTCAATCGGTATGACACGGCCAACATCTCAGACTGTGATGTCGTAACACCAGAGTGCGGCTTGCACAAATACCTCATTAAGCGTACTGGGGATGATCTCAATGCGCGACCCTATCGAAAGTGTTGTGTGGAGCACAAGGCTCTTCTTGAGACAAACGTATGGGTGGTAAGGAAATTGAATTCGGCGAACATAACGTACTTTCTCTCAACAGGTACTGCCCTTGGAGTGCGGAGACACGCAGGCTCTATTATCCCGTGGGACACAGACGTCGATATCTCCGTTTATCCAGGCAATGAGAAAAAGGTGGAGCAGCTTTTTCAGAATAACGGAGAGCATTATTTTCGGAGAGATTGGAAGGGAAGATTCATGTTTTGGGTTTATCATTCGAAAGATGGGAAGCCTCAAACTGGACCACATGTGGAGATTTTCTACGACCCCGTTTACACGCGTTTTCCACACCTGTTGCTTCCACTGGAGGATTGTGTCTTTTACAGTGAACCCGTGAAGTGCCCAAACATAAAACAATTCCAGGAGTGGTTCCCGAGTGGCTGGACCGTTTACAGCGGAGCTCATTATCACGGCCCCGAGAAGTGCATTATTTATGTGAATGGCATGAGAAGAGTAACTAAGCGGTGTTGATGACGGGAATGGGGAAAAGGTTTGCTGTATTTCCTGCTATCAACGTCAACAACCAACTGCAGCAAATCAAGAGGAATGAAAGGGGAGAAGGGAACTTTATGGGCATCAAATTTGAGGTTATTATTATTATTTATGCATGTGCGTGTATGATATTTTCTAGTTTTATCCCCCTTTTTTTTTTTATTGTTTTATTTTTTGTTCTGTTTTGTGGGAATATGCCTCAGTGTGGACAGGCAAGGTGCGGCCGCCAGTTGTTTATTGAAGCAAAGGGGGGAATGGATGTGTAAAAATTTTTTCTTTTGGTGAATGAGAGCTCTTTTCCCCCTTTGCGGTGTCTGCAGGTGCAGAGTGTTTCGGATTGGTGATTGGTGGTAGCGTTCTCTTTTACACCGCGCTCTCTCTACTCGGCTGATGCTTCACGTGGAGAAAACTGCATTTATGCATATATGCATCCTATTTGCTGGTATGCATTTAATCATATGTTTGTTTCTGTATGAGGCATTTCACTCTCAGGCTCTGTGCGTGTGCGCTTGTTTTCTCACGGTTGTAGATTTGTTTGTTTGTTTGTTTACCTTTTCTCCATACACTCACTTAAACAGGAAACGCATTGCATTCTTACGTATACGCCGGTTTCCATAAACGACGAAGACACCTCTTATCTGAGAAGGCATTGATTTGGTTGGGCTCTTCCTACGGGAATGGATGACGCTCTAGTTGACTGTGCGGACGTTTACCGCATGGAATACACCTATTCTTTCTTGGCGGGAATAGATCCTATGCGGCCGCCCTCGTCGATTACGATCCCCGCCAAGGAACTGGACGCCATGGCGGGCATGGAGCGGCAGTACTGGGAGATCAAGGCAAAGTACTTTGATGTGTTAATTCTCTTTAAAAAGGGAAAGTTTTATGAGCTGTACGATCAAGACGCCGCCATCGCACACCGCGAATTTGGCCTCAAGCTTGTTTTTAGCGCCACCAACCGTGGCAAGATGCGTCTTGCGGGGGTTCCAGAGCAAAGCTTCAGCGAGTGGGCACGCCTTTTTGTCTTCCGCGGCTACAAGGTGGGCAGAGTAGAACAAATGAAGGAGGAAACGGATACCTCCCCTATCAAGACTGCACGCACGAAGGTGCTACAACGTGAGTTGGTTGAAGTGCTCACACCAGGCACATTGACAGATCCTGCAATGCTTAGCGGTTCCGGTCCTGTCTTTATTCTGGCCCTCTGTCCCTTGCAGGAAAATGTTGTGGACGGTTTGGCGGTGGATCTCTCACGTCATGTGGTTTATCACTGTCCATGTGGCGTCGGGAGAAATGACGTGTTGCGTGAGGAGGAGACGCTGCTCATGGTGTGTGCCCTCTTGCAGCAGCTCCGCCCGCGTGAAATCATATTTCCACTTTGTTTTATTCCTAATGCTGCGCAGGCCGATAGGAAGGCATCATTTGCCAAGCGTTTGGTGGATTGGATAGAGGGCGAGGGGTTTCGGGTGGAGTTGGTGGATGTGTCTTCTCTCTCGTTTTCAAAAGGCAACTCCGATGGGGTGGACAAAATTTTGGACGCGCACAAGTTCTTGGCACACTACTTTCAGACGTTGAAACTTTACCATGCCGTGCCCATACTCTCAGAGGCAGAACCCTACACCTTCCATCTTCCTTACGCATCCTCCAATACCACCATTGCTCGCAAGCATGAGGGTGAAGTTTCAAATTCTTCATCGATATTATGGCATGAACGAAGAGTGGACCGTGGACTCGTGCTGGATGCCACAACCGTGAGCAACTTGGAGCTAGTCAGCAACTTGCGGGATGGCGGGGAACGGGGCTCACTGAATCAACTTTTCAATCGCTGCTGTACAAATGGAGGAAAGCGTCTCATGCGATCATGGATTTTACGGCCTTCTGCTTCCTCCCGTGTCATTCTGGCTCGACAGGAGGCGATTCGCTTCATTATTGAGCACAAGCTTGACGAGCTTTGGGGCGAGGGTGGAGAGCCGGAGACGACGTTGGGGATTGCAGCGGCGTCCCCCACACTGAGAGCAGAAACCCCTCGTGAGCATGAACCAATTTGTGTTGTGAAACGAGAGCGGCCGGTGGGTAGTAAATTTGAAACACGTTTCTCCAGTTTGGTGGATGTGGATTTTGAGCGTAATCTTTCTCGCTTGACGGACTTGAAGAACAACAGTGACGCACAAGTGGCGTTTGTTGATCCCCTTGTTCAGTACAAGAAGCAACTTCAAATCATTGTTACAACGGTCCAGGCTCTTGAGGACATGGTGGCATGGTCACACGACATACAAAAGGGGATAACCTCGTCACCGCCTCTTTTGAAGGAGCTCTGGGCGCAAATTGATGCTGCCGCTCCCGCGGTAACCTCCATTGGAAACTGTTTTGACCGCCATGCTGCCCTTGCGTCGGGCGTGATTGTTCCCTCTCAGGGAGCATCCTCCGTGTATGATGAGGCATCCGGTACTCTCGACGCCATTGAGGGAAAATTACAGGGGGAACTACGCCGATTACAAGAGGAGGTTTTTGATGGTACAGCGATCAACTACAGCGTCGTTGGTCACGAGCAATTTCTTGTAGAAGTGCCAATTTCTGCTGTACCGAAAACGCCTTTGCGTGGATTTGTGGAAAGATCCCGCAGTGGCAAGAGTGTGAAGTATGTTGTGGCCTCCCTGGAGCCACTGGTGGAGTCTCATAAGAAAGCAAAGAAGGAAAAATCAAACGCTCTTCTTTTGGTGCTGCAAAATGTTGCATCGCACATGTGTCACTACTTCCCTCTCCTGTATGGTGCCACGGAGGCACTCTCATACTTTGATTGCCTCTTGAGTCTTGCGTCACTGCGAAAATGTGGGGTCACAACCGCTTGGCCTATTGTGAAGGATGACGCTGTGGGGGCGAGTCTGGAGGCCGAGCAACTAACTCATCCTTTTCTAAATGGAGACTCTGTGCCGAACGATATTTCCTTGGACGCGGCGCACGGGCGTATTTTGCTCTTGACGGGGCCGAACATGGCGGGGAAAAGTACACTTATGCGTACGGTTGCTGTGAACGTCATCATTGCGCAAATGGGAGGACCAATTTTTGGTGCATTTATGCGTCTTGCTACGGTGTCCCGCATCTTCACACGTATCGGAGCCCGCGATGCTTCTCACAAGGGACAGAGTACACTGTATGTTGAGCTGAGCGAAACAGCTGACATCCTTCGTCATGCAGACCCATGGAGTTTATGTCTGGTAGATGAATTGGGGCGTGGTACCTCTACACATGACGGTTACGCCATTGCACATGCCACATTACACTCGTTGAAGGAACGCCTTCCTGTTTCCCCGCTTCTCCTGTTTTCCACCCACTATCACGCTCTTGCACAGGAACAGCTTGGTGGGGATGCCGTGAACGTATCGTCTTTGGCGCGAGATCATGGCTCGGTGGTGCAGCTGGGATACATGGACTTTGCTATATCGGATACAAAAAAAGATGGTGTTTCGGCAATTACATTTCTTTACCGTCTTGTCTCTGGCGTATGCACACGTAGCTATGGCGTTGAGGTGGCTTTACTGGCTGGCATTCCTTCTTCACTCGTGCACATGGCAGCCATCAAGTCACATGAGCTTGCCTCATGGAATGACCGGCAAAAGGACATTCATACCATACGACAGTTCCTTCATGAGCCTAACGCTGCCACACTTTTCAAGAAAAAGAAGTCGTAGTGCACACAGCTTCGTTTAAATGACGGACAACAAAATTATAATTATGTGAAACACAAAACGCGTTGGGAAACAGACTATAGAGAAAAAGATACAAGTAAAAGAAAGAGAGTGATAAGGAGTTAGATATGCATTCCCATCGATCAGTAGTTAAAGGCGGATGAAATAATGACTGCAATGGCGGGTCCTTAAAGGAACCATGCCCAGCAATTTTAACGAGAAGAGCAGCATTGTGTCTGTTTTTATTTTTTTTTTTTCTTTTTTTCCTTTACTGTTTTTGCCCCATTTTGCAGTTTTCGCTGCTGCGGTTGCCAGCTATTTTTCTGGCTTATCCAGCATCCCCTGGAAAGGAAGAGAAATCGCAAAGACACAAAAAAAAAAAAAAGAAAAGGGGACACCCGGAGGTGAAAACCCCATTAAATATGGTGTTTGCTTAAATTGAACCGTCACGATGCGGAAGGTTCATGCATAGACGACAGTAATAACAGGCAAAAACATTAAGACTGCAACGAATCACACTAAATGATACAACTCACACTTCTTCACCTTGAAAGCAATGCTCTTAAATAAATTTCTTCATTTTTATTTCTAAATCTTATACACACAATCTCACCCAAAAAAAATCATTTTTTTTCTCATTTACTTGTTAAGTTACTAGCTTTTTGGTAATCTAACATACAAGTGCAACACACGATATGTTTCGCTCTGCTGCTCGTTTTGCCGGCAAGGAAATCCGGTTTGGCACGGAGGCTCGCCAGTCCATGCAGAAGGGTGTGCAGCGTGCCGTGAGCGCCGTTGCAACGACCCTTGGGCCAAAGGGGCGCAATGTGATCATTGAGCAGTCGTACGGCGCGCCAAAGATCACGAAGGACGGCGTGACCGTTGCCAAGGCGATTGAGTTCAGGACCCGTTCGAGAACATGGGAGCACAGCTTGTGCGCCAGGTGTGCAACAAGACCAACGACCTTGCTGGCGACGGCACGACGACCGCGGCGGTGCTTGTGGCAAGCGTGTTCAGTGAAAGCCTCAGGTGCATTGCCACCGGGACGAACCCAATTGACATGAAGCGTGGCATGGACCGTGCGGTGGGCGTCATCCTGCAGAGCGTGGCGGAGCAGAGCCGCAAGGTGACGAGCACCGAGAACATTGTGCAGGTGGCCACGATCTCCGCCAACGGGGACGAGGAGCTGGGCAGGCTGATTGGTCAGGCGATGGAGAAGGTGGGCAAGGACGGAGTGATCACCACGCAGGACGGCAAGACGATGACGACGGAGCTGGAGGTGGTGGAGGGCATGAGCATTGACCGCGGTTACACCAGCCCATACTTTGTGACCGACGCGAAGGCGCAGAAGGCCGAGCTGGAGGATGCGTTTGTGCTGGTGTCGGCGAAGAAGGTGAGCAGCATCCACACAATCCTGCCGGCGCTGAACCACGTGGTGCGCACCGGACGCCCGCTTCTGATCATTGCCGACGACGTGGAGAGCGAGGCGCTGACGACGATGATCTTTCAACAAGCTTCAGGGCAAGCTGAAGATCGCGTGCGTAAAGGCACCCGGCTTTGGCGACAACAAGACTGCCATGATGCAGGACATTGCCATCTTTGCGGGCGCGCGGCTTGTCGGCGAGGAGGGCAGTGGCCTGGAGCTGGACGCGGAGAACTTTGACCCCGCAATCCTCGGCACAGTGAAGAAGGCGACGATCACGAAGGACGACACCGTGCTGCTGAATGGCGGTGGGGAGAGCAGCATGGTGAAGGAGCGCGTGGAGCTGCTGCGCGGGCTGATTGACGGCGAGACAAGCGACTACAACCGCGAGAAGCTGCAGGAGCGTCTGGCGAAGCTGAGCGGTGGCGTGGCGGTGATCAAGGTGGGTGGCGGCTCGGAGGTGGAGGTGAACGAGAAGAAGGACCGCATCACGGACGCCCTGTGCTCGACCCGCGCCGCCGTGCAGGAGGGCATTGTTCCCGGTGGTGGTGTGGCGCTGCTGCGCGCGAGCAAGGCGCTGGACAGTTTGCTTGGCGACTCGTCACTCACAGCGGACCAGCGCACCGGTGTGCAGATCATCCGCAACGCCGTCCGTCTGCCCGCGCACACGATCGTGCTGAACGCTGGGAAGGAGGGCGCCGTCGTGGTGGAGAAGGTGCTGGAAAACAATGACGTCACCGTTGGCTACGATGCGCAGCGCGACCGTTACGTGAAAATGTTTGAGGCGGGCATCATTGACCCCGCGCGTGTTGTCCGTGTGGCGATCACCGACGCCGTTTCCGTCGCCAGCCTGATGATGACCGCCGAGGCTGCCATTGTGGACTTGCCGAAGGAAGAGACCCCTGCGGCCGGCGGCATGGGCGGCATGGGTGGTATGGGTGGTATGGGCGGCGTGTACTAGGACCTGCTGCTTGAATTTTCTTTAATTGAAAGTTAGGGCTTTTATTTGATGGTTGTTGTTTTTTTTGAGTGGGTTGGGTTTAGATGAAATACTTTTTGTTGAGGAGTACTTTTTTTTGTAACAATATTAATTGTTATTATTATTATTTCTATGATTATTATTTGGTTATTATTTATTTGTGTGTGTTCATAGGAATTGATAGCAGCGGGCTTTTACTTGCGTCCATGGCGTCTTTTACTTTTTATTAGCTGGGGTGAGGATTGGTGTTGCCTTATTGTTGTTGTGTTCATGGTTGTGAGGCCCTGTATGTTTAAGTGGAGTTTTGCCTTTGTTTTTGTTGTTGTTGCTGTTGCTTTGTTCTGTGTCTTGTGAGGATTTCGTCCTTGCCGGGTCGGCGTGGTCGTTGCGAAGATCAAGGGATTTTAGAGAAGCGAGATGTCTGGTGGGGATATCTGGGTTCGCAGGGCGCCTATTGGTCATCCGAGGGAGATGACTGTGAGTACATCCGTCAACAACGGACCGGGGCCGCAGGGGCGTCATTTGTTTGCGGAGCTGCCGATAAATGCTGGTGGAGGTGAAGTTGTGCTGGGGGAATGCGGTACGAGTGGCCCAAGTCGTAGTTGCAATGCGATGTTTTCTTTCAAGCCTCCACGGCATGAACCCTTGTGGCAACCAACGCGTCTGACGTCACCGTATTGTGTCTTGAGTGCGAATGGAGTTCAGGACGACTTTTACACTTCGTGCCTCTCATGGGGTAAGGGAAATATTGCGCTGGCACTGCGAGATGAGGTGCTTCTCTTTCAGCCGTCACGTCCTCTTGTGCGTTTGGCCGTGCTGAATGTTCAGGAGCGTCCCCGTAGCATAATTTCTAGAGTGACTTCTGTGGCCGTGAGCCGTTTTTCCGATTCTTCTTGTTTTATGGGGGAGCTGGACGGCTCTGTTGGTGTCTATGCATCTCGTGGTGATGGTCGACTTTCACAAACTAGTGTCTTTTCAAAACCGCCCCCACCTCTTGAGAACACACCTCTTGCAGGTGAGGCTGCGATGACCGCGACGGCAAGTGTTCGTTGTTTGGCAACGACGGACGTCCATCCATGGTTGGTGGCAGCTGGTACAGCCGCACAGGGTCTTTTTATTTTTGACAGTCGCTGTGAAAAGCCTTCCGCGCAGATGGTGGAGTGTGACACATTTATTGCACTTGATAGCAAGAGGGCAAGAAAACCCTTATCCCCGGAGGATTGTTTATCGTTACTTTCTTCTGCAGAAGGCATATGTGGTGTCTCTTGGAACGCATCGGGTTCACTTGTGGCTACAGGTGGGAGTGGCGGTGTTGTGAACATATGGTCCCTCTCCCAGACACGTGCGCCAGTGCAGCAGATTAAGCTCCCCAATGCACACACAACCGTTAAAGCGATCGCGTTTAATCCGACACTCCCGTACGAACTTGCCGTAGGTGGGGGGACAAATGATGGCATGTTGAGGTTGTACGATGTTTCATCCTCGGTATCGTATCTTGCGTGGTGTGTCTCCACCGGCTGTCAGGTGACGCAGGCGCTCTACTCCCCTGATGGTGCATTCATTATTTCCGCTCAGGGTTTGCGACACGACAAATTCACCGCAGATGGTAGGGCGCATTCCACTGCATTGCGCATGCCTAACTCCAATGGAGCTGGTGTTGATGTGCACCGGGATAGCATGGATGCCTTAGAGCGTCTGACGGAGGAGTTTGAGCGCGGAATGACACGTAACGGTCGTACGCAAGAAGAATTGCAGGAACCCGCCCCAAGCCACAGTGGAACAGCGATGAATTGGGCAGGTGATACGCCCCGCACGGACGATTCCCCCGCGTTCTCACTGGTTATGTGGCGAAGAGGGACGCAGCATCGGCATTCCGTGCCTTTGGGCTTCAGCAACACCAAACCCAGGGACCGCCCAAGAAGCCAGTACATTCAGGAGACAGAGCGTACGCCACTCCCACTTTTTTCCATGTACATGATGACGGGACATCGTTCTCGTCCGCTTCATTTGGCCTCCCCATTCTCAAGTACGGCGGATCGCGGCTCTGTCGCCTCCTTTGCAGGTGGTGTTGACAACACGATCCGCTTCTGGAAGTGCTTTTGCCCGAGGAGCGAGGCGGTCAATTGGGAGCACCGGACCCGTGCGTCGATGAGAGCCGCCGTCACCGAAGAGGATGTGGAGGGAATGATGGCAATGCCTCTGCGATGATCGTGTGGATGTCGCAACAAGAAGAAAAGGGGGGAAAAAAAAACGGAAGAGATTTTTATTTATCCCGTTGCACTCAGTTAACTTACTTTACATACATGCACATGCTTGCGGCGTCAGTGTTGGTGTTCCAAGCCATTACTTATAGAGAAGTGAATAAATTTTTTGCGGCCCGGTTATTTGTATTATTTATAATGACTGATTACTATCGCTGGCGTTTTTTCTTATTTTTATGAGTATTTTCTTAAACATATTTTTCTAATCCTTTTTACTTTCTGCAACGCACTTCTCTTTCGAAGAGGGGAGAAGGGAGGGGTCTGTGTGGCTCCCGTCAAATCTTTTACAACGTTGCAGTTTTTCACGGTGTGACGGAAGAAAATTAACCCCAGCAAATAAAAAAAAAAAAAAAAAAAAAGAAACAGGCATATGTATCCATAATTAACTATTTACTATATATATATATATATGCTGTGGCAGATGAGCTTATATTCTTTTATGGAAGTTGTTATCCTTTTATTTACTTATTTGCTTATTTGTGTGTGTGTGGCTGCTGTATGGGGGATACATGGGACATTTCTGTAGCACATAAATTCCAAGCAGTGAGAACAAAAACAGCAGCGGGAAAGCCAAAAAAAAAAAAAAAAGAGAAAGAGAAAGGATGGGATACAGATGGGTCAATGCCCTTCTTGCTGCAGAAGTTTTGATTTCCCTGATCGTTGTTTTATTTGTGCCGTATACTGAAATTGACTGGAATGCCTATATGCAGGAGGTCAAGGGATTCCTTGAGGGTGAGCTGGATTACAGGAAGCTCAGGGGCGATACGGGGCCTCTTGTTTACCCAGCGGGCTTTGTATGGATATACAGTGCCCTCTATTTTATCACAAAAGAGGGAAAAGACATTGAAATGGCGCAATGGTTGTACGCGGGAATTTATATTATGCTTTTTGCCTGTGTCATTCAGCTGTATGTTCGTTGTAAAATTCGTGGGCGTCTGCTTATTCGTCTCCTGCTTTCAAAACGTATCCGATCACTTTTTATGCTGCGTCTTTTTAACGACTGCGTGGCTATGTTACTTTTGTATTTTGCGGTTGTGGTACTTGCAAAAGGGCGCCGGTGGAAACTTGGATGTTTACTTTACAGCATGGCTGTATCTGTTAAGATGAATATCCTTCTCTTTGCTCCCGGACTACTGTTGATCCTTTGCCGATCTCTCCCGTGGTACCGTGTGATTTTATGCCTTGTAGTTTGCGCCTTGTGGCAGGTGGGGGTAGCACTCCCATTTCTTCTACATGAGCTGCAAGCATACATGCTAAAGGCCTTTGAATTGGGGCGCGTATTTACGTACCGTTGGACCGTAAACTTTAAATGTATCCCTGAAGAGATTTTTATCTCGAAAGAGTTTGGCCAGGTGTTGTTGCTGTTCACTGTAGTGAGCTGGTTTCTGCTCTGGCGCCGGCGGTGGTCAAGGCGCCTCTTCCGGCGTGCCCAAGTGGCAACCATAAAAAGTGTTGAGTATGGCGCGGTCCGAGGGGCTGACGTATTTGACACTGACAGCGAGGTTTACCGCAATGTTGTTTTAACAATGATGGAGTCCAATCTGATTGGTGTCATATTTGCGCGTTCACTCCACTACCAGTTCTTGGTATGGTTCTTTCATTCAATGCCAATGGTGCTGTCCGTGACGCGGTTGCCTTTTCCACTTCAGATTGCCTCCGTAGTGGCGGTGCAGTACGGCTTTGAGGCATATCCGAGCACGGCACAGTCTTCTTTTGTGCTGATTTGCGGCTTCGCCCTTGCATGGGTTGGTATTGTGTGCATGGACCATGACAGTGGCGGTGCTGCTCCACGGCGGCACAAGCGAGAAGCTGCGCAGGATGCAGCGAAAAGATTGGCCCCGGCCGCTCCTCCCGTGAAGCAGTGAGGCAATACACAGGCATAGATTACTGGTTTAGGACCCTGAGAACAATTAATTTGTTGTGTTGCCTGGGAAGAATTTCCTAGATGTAATCACGAGGAATTAAAGAAGAGGTTGAGGTTTTTTTGCTTGGCCTATCATGGAACATTAATGACGACTCTTCTCTTCTTTTCGGTGTACGTCTTTAAGTGTGTCTGTTTATGGGTGTGTGTGTGTAATATATATATGTACGGCAGAGAGGAAGAGAAAAAAAAAGGAGAGTGAAACAGGGAGAAATAAATATATCCTTCATATGTGATATTTTCACAATCCGATTTTTTTTTATTGTTTTTTTTGCCGTTTTCTACGCGTCTCCCTTCCTGCCCTTTTGTATTTCTTTTTGTTGTTGTCTTCCTTCTTTGTTGTTGTTTCTTCTGTCTTTTGAATTTATATGTTGTTAGTAAGGTTGCCTTGTGCTTCGAGCAAATTGGGGGGGGGAAGAAAGGCAAGGAGGAGGGGCGAGGAGTCCACACATACACGTGTACAGTGGAAAAAAGAGTCACTTCATTTACTCCCTGTATACATAACATACATACCTGCATTGCCAGTGGGTTCCAGGAGGAGGCCGGCCGTGCGTAAAAAGAGAAAGAAAGGGGGTTCCCGCCCCCCACAAATACGTTTGCAGCTTTTGTATCCCCCCCCATCGCGATGAACTGCTTTCCAAAGTGGGACAAGAAGAAAAAGCGAAAGGACGAGAAGACTTCGTATTGCGAGGAGCCAGCAAAGAAAAACGGCGGCGGGAAGGGGGACATGGAGAATGCAATTAGCGTGCATATTCCTTTTGAAAATAATGAATTGAAAAATGAATGCGCCATAGGAGAAGTCACAGAGTTGCCATTAAGTGATATTATCACGCTGAGCCGTGAATTCCGTGGGTTGCTCCGCGAATGTTCCGACTTCCAGTCTAAAAAGCACCTTGTTACCACGCTGAAGTCCCTTGCCTCGGAGATCATGCAGAAGAATTTTTCCGCGAATAGTGTCGATTCTGCAATTGGAGAGTTGGTGTTTGTACAAAATTTGTTGAGCAAAATACCACCAGTACGGATGCGATTGGCTCTCGCCGTTTTGCGTTTCTGTGGGGTTGTGGAATTGGAGATGGAGAACGAGGAATTAATGCGGAGTACAGGGTTTTTGGAGGCACTCCGTGGTCGAGGGGCCACCCAGGAGTCTCAGCCACCCCCGACAGTTGGCAATTCAGAGTTAATAAATCCGATTTCTCCCACTGCCGGCCTTAATGTGGCAAAAATATATCATCAGCTGATCACGAAGAATGAGTTGCCTACAGTGGAAGAGATGTCTGAACTTATCTCTCGTGCCACCCGATTGCTTAGGGAAGAAAGTAACATCGTGACAATATCTATACCATGTATTGTGGTTGGCGATATACACGGACAGTGGCGGGACCTTGTCGATAGCATTATTGCTGCCGGAGGTTCACTGGACGTTGGCAATCACACCTCTACACACCCCGAAGAAGATGATATGGAAGTAGTTGGAAGACGAAACTACTTGTTTCTGGGCGATTATGTCGATCGTGGTCCACACAGTCTTCACTGTTTAGCGCTTCTTTTTGCCTCCAAACTGTTGGCACCGGACCGTGTTTTTCTTATACGTGGCAACCATGAAAGCAGTGAGACAAATAGAAAATACGGCTTTCTGCAAGAGTGCCTGGATCAATACCCTTTACCCTCCGGCAGCAATAGGGGTGATGAGGAACCAGTTGACATTGGGTGGGGTCTACCAGAGCATCCTCTGTGGATCTTAGCAAATGAAGCCTTTATTAGTTTGCCGCTCTGTGCAATTGTGACCGGCCCTAACTCCGTTCGAGTTCAGGAGATGGATTCTTTGCGTGGGAGTGGTAAAGAAAGAGTTGCGATCTGCGCCATGCATGGTGGCCTTTCACCCTTCATATCAAATAGTTTAGATGGTATTCTGGCGATTGACCGATTCCATGAAATTGAAGACGGACCTCTTGCCGATCTTACATGGGCCGATCCCATCGTCACGGTGCCCTCCGATGTATCTTTGGAAAAGAACGGCGAGAATGGCAGTTCAAAGTCAGAGAGGCAGGCTCAGAGGTTAGTGCGTCACCGTGTGGCCTTTAACTACGATGCCCCTGTTCCAGATCCATCCTCAACGAAAGGGTACATCTTCAGTTCGCGGGGTCGAGGGCATAACTTTGGAGAAGACGTGACCCTGCGGTTCCTGAAGGAGAATGGACTGAGCTTCATTATTCGAGCACACCAGTGTGTTTGGGAGGGGTATCAATGGCAGCACCAAAATCGTCTTTTGACAGTATTCTCTGCCCCTAATTACTGTGGTTTGGGAAACAAGGGGGCCATTCTCATTATACACGCGAGTGGAGAACCAGAACTCGTGCAGTTTGAAGCGGTGGGCAGCGAGGTTTCTCCAGCTAATATACCAGAGCCTTCGCCCCCAAAGACGTTTTAGTCGAAGAGTCCGTTAAATGTGGGTAGAATAAAGAATTCCGACTCCTTTATATATATATATATCAGTCAAATGCATTTTTGAGAGGTATGTTTATCAACGAGCATGCGCAAAGGCACGCTTTTGACGTATCTTTCTTTTTCCCTTTCTTTCTCCCTTTCTCTCTCTCTCTATACATATATACACATATATATGAACAGACCGAGGCTGAAAAGAAGGAAGGAGAAGGTGCGGGGAGGTAAGGGAGTGGTAGAGTGCGCATAAAAAATAAAGTAAAAGGATCAAATGCAAATTATCAAGCAAACAACAACAAAAAAAAAAAGTTGATTATCGTCCAATTCCTTTGATCTTTATTCTTGGCCTCGACGTGAAGTGCGTTTGATTGCTTTTTCCGTGGAGGGAGCCCCCGAATTAACACAAGGTTTTTCCTTCTCATGCATCTTTTTTTTTTGTGTGTGTGTGTGTGGCATTGGTGATCGGGTGTATTTCTCTCTGTGTGTGGTGGGGTATGTTTTTGAAATGTAGGAAGAAACAAACAAAAGAAGGGGAGTTGAAGTGAAGGGCGTGGGTGCAGCGGGCATCTACACCGAGCCTGTTGCTTATTGTTGTGTTTTTCTGTCAGGTTGCCTTTTTGTTTTTCTTTTTTTTTTGTGTGTGTGTGCGTGTGTGTTCTTTTCTCTACATTGTAGCGTTTCATGCCTGTCTTTGTTTGTTCCTCTTCTCGTGGCGGGAGGAGGAAACAAATTCTCGCAGATTGGTCTTGTTTGTATCTTTGGATTTATTGTTTGGTTACACTTTTTTTTTTTTTTTTTGGCTGTTGCTTTTGTTGTATATACACACACATACATACACATATATATATTTGCCTTTCATTTTTTTGTTTGTTTGTTTGTTAGTCTTCTTTGCGGACACTGGGCGACGTCCACAGGGTGCCTTTGCAAACTCATACGGTCGCTGCATCCCGCGTCTTTTGCGTCCCTTTTTATTGTTGTGCGTGCGGTATGTGGTGTGTGGTGTGTGGTGTGTGGTGTTTTTTTTTTTTTTTTGGCGTGGTTTTCTGTTTGGTCTCATATTTACTATTTCATGTATCTTTGATGCACCCACCCACACCTCTTTTTGTTGTTGTTGTTATTCCATGACTGCAGTTGCACGTGTCGCGGTCGTCCATATTTTACCACACGGGAAGATGTACGTACGATCCCCATACTCTCATGTAATACAAGTGTAATGAGGCGGCTGCACATCGGTACGGACCCCCTCCCACCCCCGCATGCGGACACGTGGCATCCCGAAATTTTTTTTTTTTCTCCCCCCTCCAATGAAATCATTTGTAGGGTTGCGTATTGAGAGCTGTACGAGAGTATTTATTGGTGTATAAAATGCCGAAACTGCGTGTGGAGTATGCGAAGTCTGGACGCGGCAAGTGCTCTTCGTCTGGCTGCTCGCAGGAAATTGTCAAAAATGAGGTGCGCATTGGAACGGCGTTTTTGTTCCCAGCGCCCGGCGGCGAACAAAATGAGGCGGGCAATGAACGCCTCTGTTACAAGTGGCGCCACCTCTGCTGCTTTACAGACATACAGTTGGAGAATGCGAGGGCATCTGGTGAAATTAACGACATTGATGGATACAGTGACCTTGCCCCAGCGGATCAGGAGCTTGTTGAAAAATTGAAACGGGGTGAGTTGGTTCAAAAGAAAAGTTTGAAGGGAAGAATTGGGGATTTTGCAAATTCACCCCTGGCAGCGGGGCTCCTGCAGAAGGGAAAGGGATTCGCGAAGGGGTCCACTAATGCATCATCGTCATCCCCAAGAAAGGCTGCAGTGAAGCGTGGGCAAATCGCGAAGAGGCCACGCGAGGAGAAAGAAGTGGCGGTAAAGGAAGAAGACGATTCTGATGCCACGGAGGAGTACGAAGTGGTTGTGGAGAAATCGAAGCCACACTGTCCGTATGGCAGTAATTGTTTTCGCACCGGCGCCGAACACATTGCAGAGTATTTTCACGGCACAGAGGCTGACAAGGCGTCGCCTCCGCGGCTCCGTGCTGTGATAAAGGGAAAGAAACGTGCGACATAATGTGACGCAAAAAGAAAAGCACCGGCAGCGGGAGGCGTGTCGATGGTGTTGGTGAGCTCACAGGCGTGTGTAGGAGCTGAGCCTCATAAAAATAACAAAAGGACGGTCTTTCTTTCTTTTTCTTTTTTTTTTTTTCTTACAATTATTGATCCGTGGCGACTGTCCAGGGTCTGCAGCTAAACACGCATGCGTGGAGTTGGTGTCGTGGCTTTTTTGAGCCCTATTTTTTGCTCTGGACTGCATGCGGAGGGAATCTCCTTTTTTCATACCCTCTTCCTTTTTATTATTTTCCCTCCCTCTCTCTCTCCTATGTTAGATTGCTTTGTGTGTGTGTGTGTGTGTGTGTTTTGTTGGAGTGAATTAAGCGGAGGTGGCCGCGGGTTAGGGAGGAAAGAGAAGGTAGAAAAAGAGGTAAGCCGAATTTGGAAAATACACACAAAAAAAAAAACCAAAAAAAAAAAAGAAGAATTGACCGAAAAGGAATGCCCAATGTTTGATGCTGTTGTGCTCGAGTACGACAGAAGTGCGGGGGAGGCCGTTGTGGAAACAACAGATGCCGCCTCCAGACGGTATCGTGTGCCCATGTCATCATTGTCATGGTCGTTCCGAAGCAAAGTAGTCACGAGCGACGCCGCTGTTGGGGAAGGTAAGCAAGAGCCACCGAGTGATAAAATGAAGAAACGAAGGATGAATTATCTTGACAACCTTTTCCACTCCACACCGGTGGGTCGATGCGTTACTATCGGTCCCGTTGAAGAGATGAACACCGGATCAGGTGAAGATAATAGAAGCTCTGCGCTGCCCTTGGCACGTCTTGTGCACCTCCATGAGGCTGGATCCCTAACTTCTAGAAGCATGTTGCCAGGCACCATCACACGAGTGTCGGGACGTTTTGTGTTTATTTTTTGTTCCTTTCTTCCCTATGAAGCGGTGGCAACACGTGATATGTTTTCGATGGGGGGGTTTTTTCTCGATACCACATCGGCACCGAATACATTATTGAAGGATTGGGAAGAGACACCACGTCCTGTGAACGACGAAGACGAGTGGGTGGGACGCTCCGTACACTTCGCCCTGCACCCCATGAGTTTTCTCGTGATGGAGGCCTTTTTCACGCGCAACGAGGGAATACAGGAGCGGAGGGGGGCACCAAAGACACTTGCCGCCTGCAGGAAAAACAATAACAATAGATGGTCTCATCCAACGCGTGATCAGCGTAGGGATGTGAACGACTTGGCATCCGTACAGCATGAAGCGGCAGATGAGCTCAATGATGGTCGTTTGGGCGCATGGAAATTTACTGGAGTGAATCCCTGTAGGTTCTTTCACCCCGAGTTGTCGGTGCAGTTTGTGCATGGTTCCTCCTCGCTACCGTGGAACGCTATGCCTCCAATGATGCACCAAAAATCAGTGTTCACACTGAAGTTGTTCTCTTTTTGGATGCTGCCAGGCACACGGATATCGCTGCGCGCACTGGATGAGGATCGTTCTGATGTAACAGATCGTGTATTGTGTGTTGAGCAGGAAGAGTTGGGGGGAATGACCGCCGTTACGCTTGATCATCTGGAGAGCCGAGAGGTCGTTTTGTTTAAGTGCCGAATAAAGTCTTTTAAGATGCAGGATGTGGTGTGTGAGATTACACTTCTTTTTTGCATGGAACACATGGGCTATGAAACGCAGCTGGAGTCCAGGCCGATACTTATACGACAAGGTCTTAAGGGTCGCGCGGTGGTAGAACTTATGGGCAGAAGTCAACCGTGTTCAAAGAAGGACAATCTCTCACGCAAGTTCTGGACTTCAGATGTATTGGGTCCCGAGGACAAAATTACTACTGGGTTCACAGACCCTGGGCGCAGCAATCAGTTACTCACGGAGGATCGTTACGAGGAATTACCGATGGTTCAGCGGGAGATCATTGTGGTGGACCCCGAGCACGCACGATTGCAAATGTTTGCCGCGTTGGCAAGACGTGTAGTCAAGGGTATTGTCGACACGGTTGTATGTGCTCAGGTGCTGGCGTGGTTGGTGGCCAGTGCGTATGGCGGGGAGAGCGGTGGAATCAATGCGGAGGATGAAATTGTCTCCTTGCGGCTTCGAAGCGGTTTGAGTAAACGACGCCGTGGAAGGCCCAAGTCGAAGGAAGGGGCTAACGTTGTGCGTCTGGGGGATGTTCGCAGCGGTGTTTGTAGGCACCGGGTGTTGCTCTTTAAATATCTCTGTGACGTGGTAAAGCTTCCGTGTTACCTAGTGCGGGGTGAACACCAAGGGCCAGATGACGCCATCGCAGAGCGTCACTCGTGGAATATTGTCCCACTTGAAGGAAACCGAAACCTGCTTGTCGATACAACACTGAGTCCGCACAAGGTAGAGATGTGGCCAGCCCCTGCCTACAGGTGTGTCCCAGTGAAACTGAGCTCCAATTGGTCCGATTGCCATTGCTTGCTTTCTAACCGCTCCGCTTCAAATATACATCTTTTGGAGGAATGTGGCCGGGGTGTCACAGCTGTGGTACGGCGTGGGGTGTTGGCTGGAGGTCTTACATGTGCGGTGAAGGTCCCGCGAACAAACACCGACCTTGGGAGCCTTGTGCACGAGTACGAGGTCTTGAGAAATTTTTGTGTTTCCTCGCACGTGGTGCGGTGCCTGGGATGGAGCGGGGGAATTGTGATGGAATATTTTCCTTCCAATCTGTTGAGCTTTATGAATCATCTCATTATTTGTGGGAATCGCATGAGCCTTTCGCAACAAAAAGAAGTTCTTATCGGTCTTCTCTTGGCATTAAAAGAGGTACACGATTGTGGCTATGTGCACAGAGACATTAAAGCTGAAAATGTACTTTTGGTGGTCATTCGCTGCAACACATGTCACTCAGTTGGAACCGTTTGCCATTTGTGTGACGTTCGAGTGAAGTTGGGGGACTTTGCCGACAGTGTCGCCGTGGACCCGACCACGCATATGCACAAGGCATCTCCGCGTGTTGGCACACCGCCGTACACGGCGCCCGAAATTGATTCAGAGGCCTCATTTTCCTTCGCGGCAGATATTTGGTCTTGCGGAATACTTGCAATTGAAATGGCATCGATGCAGCTGCCTGAAACCGGCGTGCAGGAGGGCTGCGTAAAGGAAAGTTATGAAAGGAGCATGGATCGCAGAAATAATGAAGAAGAAGTTAACTACCAAGAAGATGGCGATGAGGCGGGGAATGTGGTGTCCGCTGTTGTGGATGACGGAGTCTTGGTGGGGCCTGTTCGTTTACCCCGTTTGCCGCGGAACCCACCGCCTCCAAGGTGGCAACAGAAGTTTGTTGACGGAGCGCTGCAGGTAAACTGGAAGCGGCGGTGTCGTACCGGGGAGCTGTTAAACATACTAGGCGGAGCGTCATGCTGAAGCAATCCGTGATTCCTGTTTCTCTTGTTTCTTTTTTTTTTTTTTTTTAAATGATTACATCCTTTTTTCTTTTTGATTCCGTTTTTTTTTTGTCTGCGGTTGATGTTGTTGTTTTTTTGCTTTTGGTGGGGGAGGGGCGCGGTCGCTGGAGTCTCAGAGAGTGGGAAGAGGAGGAAGAAATGAATTTTTGTTCTTTTGACCCTCGTTTTTTTGTTTTTTTGTCTGGCGTCTGGCGTTAGACTCCGCTTGAGGCGCACATCCTCGTGGGCACACATATACGTCTGCCCACTCCGTGTGGAAGAGTGTGGGGGCTGCTGCTGCTGCTGCTGCTGTAGTGGTGGTTGCGTGTGGGTGTGGCATGTGGGGATGAAGCGGTCGCGATTTGATGGAAAAGCGCCGTCTTTTGCGCCCGCCGTCACCATGCATCCGCAGCAGCAGCAAAGGATTGAGGAGCGTGGCGCCAACAATCGTGTGGTTGTGAATTCACCGTATGGTTGTAGTCGCGCTCGGTATGGCTGGGGGATGCCTTTTCACACCCCGCTTTTGGCCTACGTGCCGGGGTGTCCCGCGATTCACATTGGCATCAGCTCATTGAGCGGCGTGCCCGGGAGGGATCGACGCATGAAGACACTTTTCGCACAGTACGCCAAGAAGTTTAACTCTCTAGAGCACTGCTACACATTCCACAATATGGGTGAAGAGACGATGTGGAAAAACTGGAGAGACATGTGTGCATCCCAGTTGGTGGCGTCCTCTTCACATTCTCCAGCATCTCTTGGATGCGTGCAGACGAGCGACAATGGCAATCAAAAGTCCCCACCGTTTATCTTCAGTATCAAGGCGAATCAGTACTTAACGCATACCCGTATGCTGGCTATTGATGACAAGTCAGAGGAACATATAATGCACTTCTTTGTGAATCGATGTTCTATACTAGGGCGACACCTTGGACCCGTGCTCCTACAGCTTCCCCCGCAGTTCCAGAAGAACCATGTGAATATGGAACGCATTGAGGCTGTCGCCGCACGAATTCCGAAAGCTTTTTCTGTCGCTGTAGAGTTTCGCCACCGATCATGGTATGATGAGGGAGTTTATGCACTTCTTCGTCGTCTGGGGTGGGCACTCGTCGTAGCGCATCACCACGACGATCCCACTGCGTCAGTGCACGTCGACACCGGGGTGGATTTTATGTACGTTCGTCTACACGGCCCTATTGGATTGCATATTGGGGACTACGGGCCGGTAATTCTGTCGCAGTGGGCAGAGCGTGTTGTTGACTATATTTGTGGCGGGGTGGTATCAGCTGCTGCTGCAGACCAATCCCAACCCATGGCAGTAAACGCACATGGGCGGGAGGTGTATTTCTTTTTTAACAACAGCGACTCACACGTTGGTGGAACCACAAGTTCGACTGTGGATGCCACTTTTTTAGCCCAGCGGGTGGGGGAGCTATTGGCCGAAAAGAGCCGAAGCTGCATGGTGGCCGACAGTCAGAGCAACAGCTGTAGCGATGTGGATGTTGTGACGATTATCAGTGAATAGAGCGTAAAATGCTCCCAGGGAGGGTGTCTGCATGAACGAAAGGAATCAAAGAAGAAGTAATTTCATAAATGGCGAAAGGAAAGGCAAACATAACAGCGGTGAGTCTCCCTTTATTTGCGTTGGCACCGGTTATTTTGCGTTGTTGTGCCTATCTAGTGCTGCTGATATTGATGGTGCTGATGGTAGCAGCTCTTCTTGTGCGGTAGCTCAGCTCTGTTTTGCTCCCGCGAGGGCGTACGGGGTGCATGTTTTCTTTTGTTTTTTGCCATTAAAACCGCAATGATGGAAAGTCGGCAAGAAGAAAAAAACAGGGAGAGGAACGAAAGAAGGAGGAGTAAAGAGGAGAAATAGAAGGGAAAGGGAGGTACAACAGTGTAGTTTTGTTGTTGTTGTTAGTTGGTTCGTCATGTCTAGATCCAAAGAACCGCCTTTGCCCGAGGAGCTGCGCACCCGCCTGGGGCAGATGGATGGCTGTGCCACCGCCGAGTCGTGGGAGTCCGTCGGCAACGAGTGTTTCTCGCACGGCTGCCACCTGAGCGCCATCCGCTGCTACACGAAGGCGCTGGAGAAGGGAAGCGACACGGCCAACCTCCGCAGCAGCAGGAGCGCGGCGTATATGAAGTCCTCCATGTTCGCCGGGCCATCGCTTGCTCTGAAGGACGCCGAGCGTGCGGCGGAGCTGGAGCCGGGGCGGTGCGAGGCCCATCTCCGTGTCGGCGATGCGCAGCTTGCGCGGAAGAAGTACGCGGAGGCAAAGGCGGCCTATCAAAAGGCGATTGAGTTAGACGGCAGCTGCACGGCGGCGACGCACGCACTGCGAATTGTGGAGCGGGAACTTTTTCTCCGCTCTCTTGACGAACAGAAGAAGTTCTCGCCAGTGACGGAGAAGCCGTCAGGAGAAAACACCGGCACGACATCGACGGGGTCAAACGCCGAGGGGCCGCTCAATATGGAGGAGGAGATAAAAAAACGCATCCAGCTGTGGGCCGAGGACACCACCGTGCGGGAGGATCGAACCGCCATGCGGGCCTTCAATGCACGCTTGGACGAGGCGGATCGACAGGCCGGGACGAAGTACAAGAGTGAGCTGCTCTTGAAGTTTCGAGGGAAGATGGCGGCGCAGGAGCCATTTCGACGCATGGTGGAGGAGCGGCGGGATCAAGAGATGCGAATGGGCGAGGGCATTGACTATCGAAACGCCGACAGCTATCGCGCAATACTGACGAAAGGGACGGATGGCGTGGGACTTGGCATCTCCACCGACGCCTACAAGTCCTACAAGTACGAGAGTAAGATGTGGTAAGAGCATCCTCTTTTCTAATAAGTTTTTTTTTTTTTTTTTTTTTTGTGTGTGTGTGCGTTTTTCTGTTTGCTTTGTCACTTCCTTTGCGAGCTGGACGGTTGTGCATCTTCTCCTCCTTTATTGTTCATGTTGGCTGTTGACATTTCCAACGGCCATCTCCGCTTCTTGCATGCTTGCGGACTGCGCTAGTCGTAACTGCGTCTCTCTCCCTCGCCCACACCATGTATACGTATATAATGTATATTTGTGTACAGTAGGAAATATTTGTCATTCCCTCCAATGCAACTGCAATTTATGTTTTATTTACGAGCATTATTGCGTTATTTTTGGTGTTCTTGAAGAACTCAACTTTACTTTGTTTGTTTGTTTGCTTGTTTGACCGTCCTTCTGCTTGTCCTTTTTTCCGTAGCTGTCTTTGGTAGTAGTCTAGCTGCCACCTCCAGTCTGGCTACCAGAGAAATACGCACACACGGTGGGGAAAGAAGCAAAAAAAAAAATAAATAAATAAATAAATGAAAATGAATAAAATTGCCTCCATGTAGCTATATTATCCGTCGTTTTTCCTACGAAAAGAAATAGTAAGAAACGAAAAAAAAAAAAAAAAAAAAAAAAACAGTGGTGTGCGTTTCTATTGTAGAGATGTTTGTTTGGGGGAGGTTGGGTGGGAATTGCTTCAGGTGGACTTCACCGGTGCGTGTAAGATACGGGTACGCATATTTGTGTCTGCGTGGGTAAAGATGTGGTTCATGTTGCTGGATGAAATTAGAGGGAGAGAGAGTGCGAGTATATGTTGGCCGTCCAATGCATGCACGCCACCCCCCCTTTTTTTTTTTTTTGCTTGTTGTTGTTGTTCACAGTGTATGTATATTATTGGTAACTGTGTGAGGGCATTCTTTTATTTCGTTTACCCCTCATCCCCCTACTTGTGTGATGTGATGTGATTTGATGTGATGTGACTTCCCATTTATATTTGTGTTGTTGTTGTTGTTTGTTTGTTTGTTTCTTCGCTGCTGTATGCCACACGCGCCACGTGGGTTTTCACGCGTCTTTTGGTTGGATTCTGCCGAAATGGCCCACCCCAGAGAGAGAGAGAGAGAAAAGGAGGATAGGAACGCCAAAAGGCAAGAGAACCATAAATACACAGGCGAGCCGCCACGAAGTCGTTGTGTTGGGTTGGCGCAAAAGGCGTGAAGGCAGAAAAAAAAAAACCCTGCGGGAATCTTTTTGGATTCTGCCAGCTCTATTTGTGTGTGCAAGATTGTTCATGTTGCTCGATGAATTAGAGGGAGAGAGAGTGCGAGTATATGTTGGCCGTCCAATGCATGCACGCTACCCCCTTTTTTTTTCTGTTGTTGTTTTTGTTCCCAGTGTATGTATATTATTGGTAACTGTGTGAAGGCATTCTTTTATTTCGTTTACCCCTCATCCCCCTTCTTGTGTGGTGTGATGTGACGTGGCTTCTCATTTATATTCGTGTTTTTGTTGTTGTTTTTGCGCTCTCTTTTTGTTGTTGTTTGTTTGTTTGTTTCTTCGCTGGTGTATGCCACACGCGCCACGTGTGTTTTCATGGGTCTTTTGATTGGATTCTGCCGAAATGGCCCACCATAGAGAGAGAGAGAGAGAGATAAATTGCGTGTGGCATCAGGCAGACACACAAACGAATAATTAAAAAAGGAAGGGAGAAGAAGAAATTGAGCGGATGGGGGAAAAAAGAGGAAAGTGAGGAGGAGATTGAGTAGTGCTTAACTCCGCACATCAATTTGAAGGTGGGCGTGAACAGTGCGAATAAAGGAAACTCTTTTATTTTTTTATTCTCTTTTCTCCCTCACACACACGCACGCTCCCTTTCCGTGTGCGCTTGAGGCTCACGTCTTTGCGCCATCTCCGTTTTTCTCTTGTCCTGCTGCTGTTTTTGTCGTTTTTCTGATAATCTCTACGCATCGGGCTGCCTCTTTGCTGTTTTTTTCCCCTGCAATGAGAGGAAAAGAAGGGGTCTAATAGGCGGCCACACACACACACAGAGAGAGAGAGAAAAGGAGGATAGGAACGCCAAAAGGCAAGAGAACCATAAATACACAGGCGAGCCGCCACGAAGTCGTTGTGTTGGGTGGGCGCAAAAGGCGTGAAGGCAGAAGAAAAAAACCTGCGGGAATCTTTTTGGATTCCGCCAGCTCCTTTTTTTTCTCTCTCTTTTTTTTTTTTTTTTGTTTAGCGGGCGGCGGGATGTCATCATCCGCGTGGGTCATTTGTTTTATCTCCATCCGCTTTGATCTGGACCTTGGCCCGCTTGTGGAGTGCGTTGCGCCCCCGGACGCACTGGACGACGAGGGGAAGAGGGCCATCACGCGGATGGCTTTTCCCGACTGCAACCCGAAGGGCAATCACGACCTCATATTTTTTTTCCAGATGAAGGACTGCACCACGGCATCGGGGTGTCACCGTGCCGAGACTGTTGCTGCCCCAGGCAAAGAGAAATCCGGCTCAACCATTTACGGTGCGACGCACTACCGCCAGAAGAAGGACGTCTCTGTTCCACGGGGCTATGTGCAGCAGGCTATTGTTCTACTTTCACAGCTGCCCTACTTGGCTGTTCATGAGCTTATCCTGCGTGTCGTTGTACCACGGTTCTGCCAGTGTTGTTCCCTTTCTCCGGACATTGAGAAGGTGCCTGTGTTAAGTGCACTCTCTCCACAGCCGACGACATTCTTTGAGGTGGATTCATCATTCAACCCCAGTCAGTATTCCCAGAAGGAAGTGCTGGAGCGGGCTTTGGAGGAAATTGAGGGGTGGCCATCTCCTCACCCTCATGTTCAATATAACCTGACGCTTCTTCATCAACCCATTACATTTGTCACGCCGAAACGATTTTTGTTTCCGACAAATATGGAGGGTACTAATAAACGTCGAACCTTGAATCGGTTAGATGAGCGTGTTGCATTCTTGGGTAGTAAACGCCAATCGTCTAGTGTACATGATGTGATTCCTCTTTACGCGCTTTTGAATGAACACCTTCGACATTTGACCCAGTTATGGGAACTAATATTATGCCATGAATCCTTGTTCATATGGAGCAACACCCCTTCTATGGCGTCGGCAGCAGCCTTTGCCGTGGCATCCCTGGTGCAACCTTTGAATTTTAACGGCGTTCTACGTTCATATCTCACGGTTCAGGATGAGTCCTTTTGTCGTTATTCCCGTATGGGCAAGGCAATACCTTTTTCAGAATTGGAATGTATTATTGCGGCGGGTACGAACCCGTTTTTTCTCCGCGCCTTTGACGGCTGGCCGAATCTTCTTACAGTCATTGATCGACAGGGCCTCAGCCCTGAAAGACCAGCAACTCCGAGTGAGTGTTGCGCCGCCAATGTTTCTGATGGCACGCCTTTTGTGTCTGCGCATGGCCTTTCTTCAATGCCGAATAGTTTTTCGCGCAGGGACTCTGATAGCGCAACCTCTTTGAATGGCAATGGGATAGCGCCGACCAGCCCCCGTCTTTTTACATACAGCAGTTTTTTTTTTGCTCTTGCTGCTGCAAAGAAAACGACGCCGCTTCAACCTGATGTTGCCTCCGCTGGGCCAGGCGGAGACAGTCCTCTTTATTCCCAGGAACCCTTCAACACCCTTAAGTCATCTTTTCCTTTTTTGGTGGATCACAAGGAGCAGACGTCAATTCTTCTTCACCAGCTAGAGCAAGCGTCTCATCTGAATGCGGAAGCCCAATTGGCCTCATTGAGTGCACATGTTTGGAACAGTTGTGGGAAATTGGAGGAGACGTCTGTCGATAGGACAGATGCCACGGAACGCAGCGGAACATCGAGCGGCACCCAACCGTTTTTTCAATTTAGCATAGCTGACGACATTGTCAGGAAATTTTTTGCCACATTAACAATGGAGTTCCTCATGCCTCTTAGTGCCTGGTTTCAAAGCATGGTAAGTACATTGACTTTGTTTCACCTTTGTGACCCGGCGGTTATGACTGCACTTACTCCGGATTCTTTTTTGAACTTTCTCAAAGATAACCGGGAGTCGGTTCCATCGTTTCTCTCTCGACGTCCGCACAAGGCTTATAGTGTTATGTACAGGCGTTTTGCTAGGGGACCCTTGTTCAACGCCGTTGTGTGGCAGTTAATAGACAAAAGGATTCGACAGGGTTTAGAAAACATGCGAGTGGATGAGTGGGCTGCTGCACATCCCACAGAAGTAGAACGGGTGGAAATGTTTTTCAAACTTTACAAGCTTGTAGAGCGGGAAGCAGTACAGTCTATTGATCCGGATGTGGTCTTTGTCACAATGGCCATATCCATCCTGGCAGAAATGGTAGTGTACATCCGTGAGCCCTTACGGGATGAACTCCTGCTGAAGATAAGAGATCTAAGGATCTGATCGCATCGCAGTCTTCCTGACAGAAGAAATGGAAGGGCGGCTTTTTTGAGAGGAATTTTTACATTTTGGTGTGCGATGGTGTTGGCGTGTATGATTGACTTTTGCCTGAATAATAATTATTACTCTCATTATCATTGTTATTATTATTATTATTATTATTATTATTGCTTTTTATTATTTACGGATGGTAGACGCTAGATTTTGTTGTTGTTGTTGTTGTTTTCACGGCCCTTTGCCCGGCCTGCAGTTGTGGCGCCAAAAATATGGTACTGGCTCATTATGATGAAGCAATAATAGAGGAAAAAAGTGTGGAGAAGGGGGAAAAAAAAGAAAAAAAAAATGGGACGAAACACCCGAATGGAAGAAAGCGTGAGGAGCAAAGCGGTAGTTGCGGGGAACTATTTTTTTTTTTTTTTTTTGGGAGGTGACGGAGGAAGTCAATGCTCTCCTGGCGTGAAGGGAGGGCCTCCCGTTGGTGTTAGTTGGTTTTGATGCCTGCACGTGTTGTTTTGGCGGTGATGTGCAGCCGCCGCGAAATTTGACATCGGAAGACTTTTATTGTGCCGTTGGATTAAAAGTCGTCTTCTCTTTTCTTTTTTTGTTTGTTTGTTTTGTTTTGTTCTGCCTGTTTGTGTGTATTGTTTCTTTTTTTTCCCACACCTCTCGCTTGCGTAGAGGCGGACGGCAATGCTGCTCAGTGACGAGCATGCGGCGTTGCTGGCGAAGTACTACCGAACGGTCCAGCTCAGCGGGGAGCAGAAGGATCTTCTTATAGAGAAGTACTGGGAGGCCAATAAGGAGGAGCGGAGCGAGATTGCGCGCGCGTACTCCGCCCTTTTTGCGACCGACGCGACGTTTATGCAGCGGCTGATGGCGTACTACGACACGCACGTTGCCCCTTTAAATCGGGGGAAGACAAGCGGTCGTCACAGCGGCGGAGGGGAGGTGGGGAGGGGTGAAGTGAACCCCCGCCTGAGTCCACCTCCTGCTGATGACGAGGGCCAGCCGCCACCACCCCACCACCACCACCCACAGGGGCGACCATCGCGGGCCACCAAGTCAGGGGGTGGGGCAACCCTTTCGCACGCACAGTTGTTGCTTCGCACAGCGATTCAGGATCAATACCAGAAACTTACCGGAGACGGCCCGTTTTCGATCTCTTTTGGGCTCGTGCAGACGGAGGAGGAACGCCGCGAGGCGGTTGATTTGTATTCAACGCAGTTTCAGTACCCGGACCCACCGGAGCTGCAGCGGTTAGTGATCCTTCCGCAATCCCACTCGACGCGTACGCGGCGATGTGCAAAGGGGGGATACACGTGGTATATTCGCTCGCACACAACCAAAGAGATGGTCTGCGTGGCCACCATAAAGGCCCACCACTACGACACTCACCGTTTTGTGGAGGTGCCGCTTTTTGCGACGGGTGTTGGGTACAAAAAAAATGGTTTTGGACGGCTGTTGAATGCTGCCCTCCAAAAGTGGTGTGCCGAAGCAGGATTTGAGTTTATGATGATTTCCGCCGATGTGCAAGCCATTCCCTTCTGGTCACATCTGGGGTATGCAACCATGTCGAAGAGCGAGCTCACACGTATTGCCTTTTATTACGAGCACAACTGCTACAAGTTTAAGGGTGCTGAAGCAATGATTCGGTACTGTAAGAAACAACCCACGCACAGCGTGCAAGCTGCCCTTGAGCGAATGTCAAAGATCGTCGTTGTAGGTCCCCTCGCTCTACCGAACCCATGAGTCATAAATAAAAGTGTTTGTTGGTGGGTTGAGGCTTCTGTTTGAGAGAATCTTTCATTTCTCCTATTCCACTTTATTGACGGTGTGCATTTTTGTGCCGAAATAAAAGTGTAAACGCCACTGGGTGCTTCAATTAGGCCTTTTAAACTACGAACTGCACAATACCCCCTTTGCTTGTCTCTCTATCTATCTCTCTCTCTCTCTCTCTGTGTGTGTGTGTATTACTCCTGTCATCATTTCATACTGTCTTTCATGTCTCTTTTGTCATCGCTAGTGGTGTGACTCTTTGACTCTGCCGCACCGTATTCCTTGCACGCCTTTTCTCCTATTCCCCGTTTTTGTTTTGTTCTTCTTCTATTGCGGGTGAAAGCACCAAATACACGTGTCTTAGGCAGGAGAAGGGGGGAGGGAGAAAACAATAAAGAGGGAAGAGCAGCAGCAGAGGCGCGAGACGGAGGAACCGTCTGTGGAAATAACGCATCAAAAAAAAAAAATAAATAAATAAAAAAATAAATAAATAAATAAAATAAAAAGGAAACAAAATAAAGGGATAAAAGTTGCTGGTAGTCGCCGAATAAAAAAGAAGAAAAGCATTTTAAAAAATGGACATCATGGACGATGCGGCAATTGTGAGGCATGTGTTGAATAACCGCTCCAACTACTACCGGATCCTTTTTTTAGAACGAGCCGCCACCACGGAGCAGATTAGGGTTGCATACAAGAAGATGGCCCTTAAATGCCATCCGGATAAAAACAAACACGCTGGTGCCAGCGAGGCATTTAAACTAGTGGGTACTGCCAACGCCACGTTGTCAGACGCGACAAAACGCCACATTTATGACACGAGGGGCGTTCAGGGCGTTCAACAGCACGAAAGCGCGGAAGGTAACCGCGGTGGCGCTGCCGCTGCGCGACGTGCATATCATCGACCAAATGACATATTTGAGGAATTATTTGGCCGACATGCCGGTATGCATGCCGCGGGGGGACATGTGTACGAGACCGAGTTTCATCCCAATATTCTGATGGCAGCGCCATTGCTGATATTTTTGTTCTTAGCAATTCTTTTGCAGTCTTCTTTAACAGAAATAAGCGAGTATCATGATCCTCGCGCGGGTCGCCGTGATAACGGCGCAAACACGTTCAGTCTTACACCGGATCCGTTGCACGGGCATGTGGTGGAGCGTATGACCTCCCAAAATGGGTTACGAGTAAAATACTATGTGCATCGGGCGTGGGCGGATCGAGCGGAACGCGGCTACGCGGATGTGCGCCGCATGGAACGAGAGGTCCTGAAGCAGCAACAAGAATCCTTGGCACGTCGCTGTGAGGCAGAGTCACTATCGTACAGAGCACGTGGAAAGAAAGACACGCCTCCCATCTGTGTGGACTACGAGACGTTTCGTCGAGCGGCGCGTTGAGCATCCACCGCATACATGCATGGATGAAATGGGAGAGAAGAATTGGCAGGAAACGAAAGAAATAAGAAAGTAAAAGGAGTAAATAATAAAGGGGAGCAAAGAAAGAGGGCAGGTGAAGGAGGGATTACATGTTCTTATGAGAGGCTCTATATTTCCCTTTCTCCTGCTGAACATTCACCAGGGCGTCCCGTTATTGGTTGTTGTCTTCCGTCCCTGCATTTATTTTTTTCCCTTCTGTCCTTTTTTTCTTTTTATTTATGCATCCGTATTTATGTATGCATGCATGCGTGTGTGTCTTCTGCGCCTCTCTCTTTTCTTTCTTTTTGTTGTTGTTGTTGTTGTCCCTCTCCTCTTCATTGCCGAGTGAAGAAAAAAAAAAAGGTTTGGAGTGAGATGGAAACCAATAAACATAAAAATTTGTGTTTATGCTTCTTTTTGGTGCATTGAGAACGAGTGGGTGTCTGTCTGTCTGTCTCTGTCTTTTTGTGCGTGTTCCACTTTGCCCTGGGAACTCATGTCTGCACAAATGCCACACGCGTGACTCTCTGGTGAGCGGGGTAGCGACCAAGCATGCCCCCACTTCTAACAGTTTGGAGGAAATGTTTCCATCATCATCACCTCCATTCTTCTTTTTTTTCTTCCTTTTCTTTTCTTTTTTACAGCATGAACGGCAACTCAGACCATTTGTTTCGTCCATGTATGCATTTCTCTCCCTTGAGTGTTTGCTACACCCCTTGTTGTCGTTTTTGTTTGCTTCTTTTTTTTTCTCCCTTTTTTTGTTTGTTTGTTTTTGTTGTTTTGTCTTCGGCTATGGTGGGTGTATTTCTATTCTTCTTCCTCTCTTTCACTTCCCTTTTCAGCTGGATTTCATCCACCACGATTAGTTTTTTACTGTGAGGCGGCAATAAAAGCAGGAAAGGGAGAGAAGGGAATGAAAGATGTGGACACCGCCAGGGTGCTCTCGGAGCTGGTGAATGCCCTGCAGCGAGTGACCGCACAGCCCGCGTGGAACACGGTGCAAGAGCCAAAGGCGATCACGTTCAGACTGGAGGATTTATTCAGCACTCCCAATTCGGTTTTGGCTTCCGCGGCGACGGAGGGTGACTCTCCAGAGCACGGTGGAAATGCATCGGAGATGAATAGTCCGGATATGGCCGCTGCCTCTTTTGTCAATTCAGGCGTTGGTGACGGCCTCGGTGAAACAGCAACACCTTTGGCGCCATTGCGGGAAATGTCGGACCACTTTAGCAGCAATAAGAAATATGCCGAGGAGGGATTACAAGACGTGTTTACAATGTTGCAAAGGCTTATTGACGGCACTTACTCTACGGCAGGATGTGCCGCTCTTGCATGTATGGGGCAGGAGATTGATAAAATGATAACACTTATGAGGCCCGTTGCGCTTATAGATATGAGAGCGGCTGTATACATGAATTCCCTATGCAGCAACATTGCCGCTGCGAAAGAGTCGAGAATGCAGTTAAATGCACCCTTGGTGTGGGACTTTGTCACGAATACGGTCCAAACGTATATAACTGACCATCCTGTACTTTACACAGCACTTGTGGCAATATCAAATCTCTCGTACCTGAAAGATTTGAAACTCACACGCGAAGACTGTGGGGTGCTTAGTCGACTTATATATCCCGTCTACACGGAAGTTCATATTGTCGAGGTATGGGCCGCGATGATCTGTAATCTTACAGCACACCACCCCGAGACAGTGCAGGTGTTTCTGGAACTTGGTGTGGTGGAAGTTCTAGAGCGTCTCGTGCTTTACTTTGGCGAGGAGGGCAGAACCGTTATTCGCTGTTTGCAGTGCCTTTCCAATCTTTCTATGGGCTTCATAACAGGGCATTCCCCTGCCTTGGCGGAGTGACCCATGAAATTCCCGCTGAGGCTGCAGCCTGCGCATTGCATGCAGCGACATTATACCCTTTTTATCGTTGTTGTACTTTCCTTTCTAATTGTTTTTGGTTTTTTGTCGGTGTGTGTTTGTGTCGTTGTTTTCACAACTTATTTCTTCTCTCCGTTCTCTCTACTTTTTTTGCTGCCGGGATGGGCGGGAAGATTTTCGATGTGGAAATGTGTGCGTTTTTTTTTTTTTTCTGCTCTTTTCATCAGTTTGCTTTTGTTTTTACTCGTTTTCTCTCTTTCTTTCTCTCTCTCTCTCTCTATGAGGGGAACAGCGCTGCGGCGGCCCCAACGAGACCGCGTAAAAAAAAAAAAAAAAAAAGAGGGAGGAGACGTCAATATTTAACTTGACACCCGCATAACAGTTGTATCGTTTGGCGTTGTTTAAGTTGCGTGCATCTCCTGCACACACACATACATAAATACATAAATACATAGGTGTGCGGTCACCCTTTGATAAATACATTGGCAGTGCCGTCGTGTGGCATGCCACCGCGTCCCCATAGTCCTTTGTGCACGCACTCAGCCCCACCGTTACCGGAGCCGATGCAGTTGGACATTTTGTATTCGCCCCTCGCAGGGTATGGGGGATGCACGCAAACAACGAAGAGACGCGCCCGTTCTCAGGACTCCTGCAGAGCACACGGGCAATGGGAGAACGCATGTCCCCTCGAACTCATAGCACCATTGCATCCACGGCAGAAAAATGCACTGCAGTTGTCGAAGCCTTTTTCACAAGGACCGAATTTCATGCAGCAGTGTGCAACAAAGGGGGAAGCTTCTGTCCGGAGGAATGTCATTTTGTCCCCTGTCACAGCGGTGGCGGTCCCAGAGAAGGAAAAAAGATCCTCCTCGGTCGAGGCGGCTCTAGCGACAAAAGCAACATTCACCACAGCCCCGGGATCTGGGTCGCCCGTAAAGAAAAAGAAGAATATCAGAGAGTGCGTGGCCTCACTATCTAATGTGCCAACTGCATATGAAGCCGCCCTTGCCATGTACGGAAAAATGCTGCTGAGCATGACTCACAGAAGAAAAATTGCGGAGCAACGGCAGAGTCGCAAACTTTTGAGCCGTCGAAGGGCCGTGAACGAGAAGTACAGCGAGTTGAGTCGACCACCAGTGGCGCTTGGTTCGGGGCGGCGTGTGTCATCGACTCGCCAGAAAGACAGCGGCGCAGCAGCGCAATGTCGGGAAAATGGTGTTAGTTTCTCTGCGCCTAGTGTTAAGACAGGGAAAGTGGGCTCTGATAGCGCTGCAGTGCGAATTGAACCTGATAAGGAGCTGTTCGTCAAGCGGGCAGCAGCGAGTGATCATCGATGCTGCTCCCGCAAAACGGGTGTGGGTACTGCTGTATCACATGATCGGGGAAGTGGCCAAAACGGATATCTGACGGGTGCTTTGACAGCCAGTGATTCGGTGAGTGCCAACCTTGAGGTGGAGGTGGAGAACGGAGGAGCAGCTGCGGAGCATAACAGCTGCTGCCATTGGAATGCCTCCGCGCAAATTAGAATGAAACAAGACCGGTGGGTACAGACTGAGTTTTTTTCTTCTTGCATGCACCCCCTTGTGAACTTGTTTCCGGGGCGGAAGGAAACCACAACGGAGGGCGAAGCGATGCTTCTGGGGGACACGTTTTATGGGATACTCCCTTTCACAACGCGGTCTCTTACCCCACCGCGGCCTCTGCGGCGTGCATTTAATCCCAATCTCCGTTCCTGTTTCATGTGTGAGGAACCAAGAAGGAACAAAAGTGTCTTTTTCCGAGTCCTCCCCGAGTCGAAGCCTTCTTATGAGTCGTGGGCGTGTGCATCGGCGGAAGACAAATGGCACGGTACTGAGCGTTTTGGTCGTTCTCTGCAAGCCCCTCAAGAGAAGAAATGCATTGCAGAGCAAAAGGCTCTTGTGTTCATTCGACCACAGCCAAAGCCACGCCCTTTGCCTCGTTACCAACAATCGATGCCCCACGGTGATGATAATTTGTGGCACACGCGAGAGATTTTGTTTGGTGCGCCTGTGTGGAATAATGACGAAAAAGGAAACGCAATTGAATTTGGTTCTTTTGAGTCTTGTGGATCTCAAAGGAACGGGGGTGGTGAATTACAGCGAAGCACCTTCAGGAATGTCGTACCGCTATATGTACTTGATGGGTTCGCACGTAGAGGCCTGCTGCGGATGGCGTGGCGACGTTGGCGAGAGCGTCTCGGGGCTTATCGAGTGTTGCCTCCAGCGTGTTTCAAGGATGTGGGGCTTGCGGGAGTGGAAGATGACACGACCCGTTGGCCACGGCTGAGGAAATGGTTGGATGAGGCTGCACTTCTGTCGACACTGCCGTGAGCGACGCGGGATTTAATTTGTGTTAACCACAACATAGAGAGCGATCGAAAAGTTTTGTATACTCCCAGGCCACATCGTATGAATGTTTTTGTTTTTTGTCGCAATTTATGAGTCGTGCGAAGCGACACGTCGTTACTGGCATATGGCAAAAGGAAGGAAAGGAAAGAAGTTAAAAAGTAGGGAAGTCTTTCTCACTGCAGGCATTAAGATTGCTTTTTTTTTTCCTCTTTTATGGTTCTACTGTGCCATTTGGGATTTCGCTTTTGTAATATTTTGTTTGTGTTTTGTGTTTTGCCCGTATATTTGTGGTCGGCTCTCTCTCTGTTTGTGTGTATGTGTGTGTTTGTTTGTTTAATTGTGCGCTGCCGTCTGTCCTTCACTTCTTTGCGCACGTATTTGCACATAAGCGTGAGGGATTCACGGTTTTATAAGGAATAGTTTGGCTCCGTCTGCCTGGGTGTTGCCGGGCCAGGTTGGGGATGACAACAGAGCGCCCGTGTGGCGAACGGAACGGCCACACGCATTCAAGCAGCGCTGCCGACGGTACGTTTGACCAGCCAGACACCGCCGTATTGCTCTACGGCGGTCTGCCACCGATGCCGAAGCCGTCAGTGCAGCGAGGCGAAGGCTCCATGGAGCGAGAATTTGACCAGGCCGCGGTGTCACCGAGCCCGGTGGCGGCGGTTGCCGCTTCCAGTGTGGTAGGCGGAGATACATCACCTGGGAGTTCCCCACACATTGGGGTGCATGAAGCAGATGACCCCACGAAAAATTTTGATAACAGCACCGAAGAAGAGCATATGGATCTTTTCATTTCCGCGATGAGTCCGCAAAATTGTGTAGATCGTCCACAACGAAGGGCACGAGGTGCTCTCATGCCGCCTCTCCCCTCCCCTGGTGAGGCAGACGCGGGTGCCATGATGCAGTCGGAGATGCACACGACCCCAATGACCAAAACGCATACGCCAGACTTGCGAGTTACGATGTACGAAAACCAAGAGCTGCGAAGGGAGCTTGCTACCGTGAGAGCATCTCTGCGGCAGGCGCTACAAACAATAGAGACTCGTGAGTTGGAGTGTGTTGAGCTTCACCGACTTGTAGATGAGATGCAGGCCCAACTGAATGGTCTAAAGCCAGAAGCCAATCTCAGGCCAACGCAGACGGATGCGCAGGGGAATGGAGAAGGAAGTACCCGGCCTGAAAAGTCCGCATTCAAACTTCAAGCGACAAAAGACACAACGGGGCCTCAAATAATTGGGAAGTATGAGAGCAAAGAAGAGTGGAGGATGACACCCAGCAGAGAGCTTTTTGCCGCGGAGGTAAAGCATGACGCTCACACAGAGGCATCTACCACCACTGCCATTGCCGCTGTCAAGATGAATGCGACGGATGCCCCCACCACTGTGGAGGAGACGATCTCAATGGGGCAGTTATGTGAGGAACGGGATCGGTTGGCAAAGGAGCTCGCGCAAACAAAGATTGTCGTTGCAGAGCAGGAGACCGTTTTAGACCGCCTTGGGCTGCGATTCCCGTACCCGGGCGCGCTGGTGGCCGCAGCGCGTCGCACCATCCCCGCGTTTGAGCCGCTGCGGAAGTCACGCAAACAAAAGCCGGGGCCTCTTGTGGTTGATCGCACGACGCAAATGAGGGGAGAGCGAGCCGAACGAAGGGAGTGATGAAGAGCGAAACAAGAGACGGACGGGTGCGGCATCAACGGCTGGCTGTTTCCACCTTTTCTTTTCTTTTATTTCTATGTGTTTATTCTCCGTTTGGTGCGGCTATTCCGTTGGACTCCTCCGACTCAACGTTTCTCCGCATTCGACGACGGCTCCACCACTTTTGGCCCAAATGTCACAACAACGAACGAAGAGGTAACATCTACATCTTGATATTGTACATTCCACGGTGGCGGAGAGAAAAAGAGAGAACGGGGAAGTTTGGATCCTCTCTTTTTCTCCCTTTTCTTATTTCTCTCTGTGTGCGTGTTTGATTTTATTCCGCCTGATTCCTCCCCGCCAGCAGTCCAGCATGCCACCAGCGTTTATGGCAGCAACGGGAAGTAAATTGCGTGTCTGTATCGTTTCACTCTTTTGCTACGTTTATTTGTTTTCTTTTTTCTATCATGGCAGCAAGGAGAGGAAGAAGAGGAAGAGGAAGTACAGTTGAGCAAAGTAATTGGAGAGGGAACATTATAAAAAAAAGGAAAAAAAGAAAATTTTAAGAAAGTGACACAGAAACAGTGAATTATTCAGTGGAGAGTATACTCACAGTGCACACACACACACACACACAAATATATCTAAATATACACGAATAATATTTACGGTGTCGGTAAAAAAAAACACTTAATTGAAATAATTTGTACTCACAGGGAGTGCCTCTCTTAACTTTTGATTCCTTGACGACAGTTGTGGTATTGTTCTCCCGCAGAGTATGATGGAAGAAAGGTACAATCCATTCACTGGCTACCAGACGCCGCGGCATCAACAACAGAGTTATCGCCACAACGGCGGTGCTATGAGCCGTGGGGGCTGGGGAGAGAGAGTCGATGCTCCAGCTGACAAGATGAAGCCAGTCGATTGGACAAGGGTAAAACTCGTGCCAGGCAGCTGGAAGGTGCTGGACACAAAAGCTATTCATCGTGCGGCACACGCAAAGGCGGAGGTTGTTCCAGCCAAACAACTCACAGAAGAGGAGTCCAACGAGTGGCGAGAAACGCACACGATCTCCATCTTTGGAGAAGGATGCCCGCCACCCCTGTCCAACTTTGATCAGCTCTCCGCATTTGTACCGGCATATCTGCAAAAGAAACTTACTGCACAGGGATTTACTTCCCCTACGGCGGTGCAGGCGCAAGCATGGCCCATTTTGCTGCGTGGCCGCGATATGGTGGGGGTGGCAAAAACAGGTTCTGGCAAAACACTTGCATTTATGGTTCCTGCGCTCGCTCATATTGCGATGCAGGAACCACTGCGGACCGGTGATGGCCCAATGGTGGTTGTTCTTGCTCCCACCCGCGAGCTCGCCCAGCAAATTGAACAGGAGACGAAAAAAGTTCTTCCCCACGATTTGCGGTGCGGTTGTGTGTACGGTGGAGCACCAAAGGGGCCACAGCTGGGGATTCTGCGCAACGGTGTGCACATCCTTGTTGCGACGCCGGGACGACTAATTGATTTCTTAGAGATCAAGCGGGTCAATTTTTTCCGTGTGACGTATCTTGTACTAGACGAGGCCGATCGTATGCTCGATATGGGGTTTGAGCCGCAGGTGCGCGCTATATGTGGCCAAATACGCCCCGATCGTCAGACGCTGATGTTTTCGGCAACATGGCCGAAAGAAATTCAAAGACTGGCGGCGGAATTTCAAAAAGATTGGATTCGCATCAACGTGGGAAGCACGGAGCTTTTGGCGAACAAAGATGTGACACAGCACTTTATTCTCACCCAGGAACACGCGAAGATGGAGGAACTGAAAAAACTCCTGGCAAATCATCGCAACCAGCGTGTGTTGATATTCTGCAAGACGAAGCGAACCGCCGATGATTTGGAGTGGCAACTGAAGCGATGGGGATATGATGCCATGGCTATCCACGGCGACAAGGAGCAGCGACAGCGCGAGTTTATTCTGGAGCGTTTCAGAAAGGACCCAAGACTCTGCCTCGTGGCGACAGATGTTGCCGCGCGGGGACTCGATATAAAAGAGCTGGAGACTGTCATAAACTATGACTTTCCAATGCAGATTGACGATTACGTGCATCGCATTGGCCGCACAGGACGCGCAGGGGCAAAAGGAGAGGCGTTCACACTCATCACGAAGAGGGAGCAGCAGATTACACCGGCGGTAGTCACAGAACTTATTGCGATTGTTGACCGAGCGCAGCAGCAGGTTCCCGACTGGCTCCGTGAATGGGGTGAGCAAAGGCCGCGCTATCAGGTGATGAAGCGCAACCGCAACATGATGGGGTTTGGCAGCAGCCGGCACATGCCGGCTCTGTACAACGGCAACCGCGCCTCGTTTGACGCAGCGGGTGGTGGTCATCCGGGGAATAATAATGGAACTGCCGGCAACAAGCGAGGTGGGGAGGGCGGTGTGTTTGGCCTCGCACGCCACGGCAGCAATGGCGCCGCCCCCTTCTCATCCTCCCGGATTGAGTACAAGCGGTTTGACGACAGCGACGATGACGATGGTGCCGCCCCACCAGCGAAGAAACGTTCAAAGTAAAAAAAAGTAATTTAAAGAAAAAGTGAGGAGAAACAAACACACACACACAAAAAAAAAAATGACAGGAGATGTGAAGTGGGGGGGCTGTGGGGAACGGGGAAGGGGCAGAGCAAAGAGACTGATCGCTTAAGAAGGCAGTAATTCTTTTTTTTTCTTAGTAATTTTTTTGTTTGTTTGTTTGTTTTGAATTTATTTATTTCCCGCTTAACGCCCATCTTACTCCCGTGTAAAATGAAATCTCGTGGCCGCACGCTCGGCACATGTCTGTCTGCCGGCCCCCTCTTATAATTTACTCCACACCGCCTTGTCTTGAGATGTCGGTGGACGTTTTGTGGAAAGAAGGCGACGACAACAACAAAAAAAAAAAAAGGGAAGACACGAACGGAGGAAGAAGAAACAGAAGAAGGGGGTGGAGGTGTCATGTGGTGTCGAACACGTCTTACACAAACGCTGCGTTGCCTTTGTCACTTACCTGTCCTTTCCCTCATTTTATTCCTTCACCCACTTACTTTTTCCTTTTGTATGCCTTTTGGTGTTGTTGTTGTTTTTTGCCTTTTTTTCCATCTCTCTCTGCCGCCGATTGCGCCCGTTCTTTTTGTTGTTGTTCTTGTTGGCTGGCACAAGTTATTCCTGCCGTGTCCGTGTTTTATTTATTTTATTTTTTTCTTTTCTCTTATGTATTTTTTTGATTATAATTTGTTGTTGTTTGTTGTTGTTGCTGTTTTCTGTGTGTGAGAATTGCAGGTAGATATGAATCAGCTGGTGGTTTTTTTGGACATTGACAACACGCTGTACAGCGGGGAGGAGTACCATTCCTTGGCGGAGCAGATACGAGACGGCCTTGTAGAGTACGTTGGGAATTGGCTGCAGCTCACACCACAAGAGTCAGAGGCGTATGTTGTGCATTGCTTTGAGAAGTATGGTCTGACCATCGCTGGGCTGATGCATGAACAAAAAGGGTTTGACGCCGAAGCTGCCACGGATTTTTTGTACAGTCACTGTGACTTTAGCCATCTGCAGGAGAACCCCCGGCTCCGGGAGATGTTGTCTCGCCTCAGGAGGAATCATCACCTCTACTTCTTCACAAACGCCTCACGAAGGCACGCCACAACAGTGTTGCAAGCACTCGGCCTCAGCAGTGATGAGTTTCGTATGAGTGGCTTCACTTATGAGGATCAGTGGGCGCAAACAGCGCCGGTGCCATGTAATAAGCCCATGCGAAATGCATACATTGCTGTCATAAAAGTTCTGAAGAAATGGCTGCAGGACGCCGAGTGGGTAACCGCAGAATGCATGGTAATGGTTGATGATAGCGCCTGCAACCTCATTGAGCCACTGGCGCTGGGATTGAACGCCGTGTGGGTCTCTCATGGTCATCCCATCTCTGATGTTCTTGCGGAGAAAATGAATACTGGGAGACTTTTCTGCATTACTGACATTATAGAGCTTGAGGATATCATTAAACAAATCACAATTAACCGAGAAAATTGAATACTTTCTTTATACATGAACTTATTTAACAAATGACATTTGATTTCGTTTGTGAGAATTGCTTCTTTTGTTTGCGTTTTTCGGTCTGTAATGAAAATGGGATCTTTTGGGTCTTTTATCTCCTCTTCTCCCTTTTTGCCTTTTTTTGTTTGTTTGTGTGCGTGTGTGCATGGGAGGGCACGAGGTTGGTTGAGTGGCGGCCTCATCCATTTTTTTCACGGGTTTCTTTTTTTTTTTTTTTTTCTCTCTCTCTCTTTTCTTTGTGCTCCTGCTGATGTTGTTGACATCTCTTTTCTCTTCCTGAATGTGACTTCCTGCATTGGGGGGTTGTTTGGAAAGCAAGTATGCTTTGTTGTTGTTGTTGTTGTTGTGCGCCTGTGAGGAGGGGCGGCCGCTCCGCCTCACCACACCACATGTGTGGGCCGCGAAGCAACAACACGCATTCACAATGCTGCAATGCTAAGACACGACTGCATGCAAACATGTACGCGAGGAAAAAAAAAAAAGATAATAACATTGCGGGGAAAAATGAGACGGCAGAAAAAAGGGGACTGAAGTGAATTTGTGACGTTACACACACACACACACACACAGTGAGACGCATCGATACATGTAGGTTGGCGTCCATACTACTCTGAGTCGTCCCCAATGTAGTTACGGTTATTATTTACTGCGTTTTCCGTTTGGATTTGTGTCTGTTCCTTTTTACTTCTCCTTGAAGTTTGTTTGTTGTTGTTGTTTTTCTCTGTGTACGCAAGAAAAGTTGGAAAAGCAAAATCCCAACGATAACAATAAATAAATAAATAAATAAAAGGAAAAAAGCAAGGAAAACAAAGGAGGGGGTTAAAGGGATAAGCTCGACCATGCGCTCATCAGGGAGGAAGATGTGTCGTACTCTTCTTTTTAACTCGTTATTTATGTTATTACTGCTGCTTGGCGCCGCGACTCCGGCGAGTGCCTCGGTTCACTTTGTGCTGAAGGACACGCACCCTGTCTGCTTCGTGGAGGAGGTAGACGAGAGCACGCGGGTCGTTTCCGGCGAGTACACGCGTGCTCCGGGGGCTGCGGCCAACGTCCCTGCCCGCATCGTTGTGAGGGACCCCAACGGCGAGGAAGTGTCAAGCAACGGGCTAATGGTGGGGGCGCACGCATTCACAGCACCCGTGGGCGAGGACACATCTGGCCAGTACATGTTGTGTGTGCATGTGACGGAGAGGGGTTGGGAGGCACAATCCGAGGCGCAAGGCATCCTCGTGGAGTTCAGAACGGATCAGAAGTCCAGCATTATTCCAGAGACGGAGATGCCAATGCTTAAGCGTCAGAAGGTGGACGGCCTGGAGGTTTTTACATTCCGCGACTTTGGTGGGGAGCAGAAGGACATTCTGCGGCCAGCAGAGTACATTCGACGCGTTGAGGGGGCGTTATCGACACTGATCACGCTTGTTTCAGACACGCACGGTGAGATCGAACACCTTGTGGGTCGCTTCAAACGCATGCGACGCACCTCCGAGAGCACCTACACGAGAATATGGGCCTTTGGTATAATCACCGTCCTAGTCATGGTGGTGGTCACGTGGCTGCAGTTCACGTTCCTCAAATCCACCCTGCGGCAGAAAAAATTGGTGTAGAGGAGAGCACGCAGCAGCGCACCGTTTTATTTTATCCCCACCACCGCCACCATCGCCGTCGCACACACACACACACACACACACACACATACGAGGACTTCAATAAAGAGACGCCTTGCTGTTAAGGAAGAGACAGGGGGATTGCAACAGAAACAAACGCAAACAAGACCCAGACGGAATCAGGTATGAAAAGAGGAGAGGAAAGAAGAAAAGGCAAGAGGAAACGAAAAAGAAGAAGAAAGAAACAACAACACGAAGAGTATATATATATATATATATATATACATTTTACGTGGGACGGTGAAAAGGCACCTGCGTGCTTGCAATGTTAAGTGGGGATGGCGAGTGTGCGTCTGCACGTTTTGCATCCCGCTTCGCTAAATGTGCCGCACAAAAATTGCCTCTTGTATCACAAGCAACGTCCCACAAAAAATGTATCATCGCCACAGTCACGAAGTAGCTGATGGAAGGTACAAACAAACGAAGAGTACACTTTAAAAAAAGAAAAAAATGAGATTTTGTTTGCCTCCATCTTACATTAAATTTCAGTTAACGCCCTTCTTTCCATTTTATTTTTTCTCTTTAATCACTTATAAAGCCCCTTTACATCATTCAGGTGAATAATAGACATTGGGCACTTTATTGCCCATTCCAGTCTGGTAAAAACAACCACAAAAAAAAAGAAAAGAAACACGTCAAATAACTCAACGATGGACACGAATTCATCATCTTCTGCCGTGATGAAGCAATGAGCCTCCGTGTCTGAAATTTTCATTGCAGGCGATGAGCTTGACCGGAAACACAAATCACTCCACTCTGACAGCACACCCCACAATGATCCCTGGCAACTGCGTGTTTGCGGCAAGGTGTGATGAGACACAAATGGATCGCTGACACTGAGCATTCCACTTGCATGAGAACACGTTTATTAAATTGACTCTCTGAAATGTACCCTCTCCTCCCTCCTTTTCCTCCCTACCTTTCTTTGCCACCAAACGGCATGCATTCATTCCCATGCAATGATTACAAAAGCAATTCCATCATTATGCTGGCGAGAGGCGCTCTGTGACGAGAAGCTGATTGACTACAAAACCAAGATCTGCAATGAGAGGAGCTGCGCTCCTGCAGCGACGCTGTATTTAATCCCGCCCCGACTGGCCACAACGTGCCCGAGGCGTTTCATGTGCAGCGGAGATCAGCACCACCTTGTTTGTTTGTTTTGTTTGTTTGTTTTTGCAGGGCCTGGCAGCTCGTAAATTACGGGGTTTTTTTTTTCTCTCTTTTGGCTTTTGGTTTTTGGCCTTCCTAATTTATCTGGAGGGGCCCCATTGATTCTGTTAGCTGGAGGGGTGCCTGCAATTGTCAAAGGCACAACGCGCTGTGCTTGGACGTGTTACACTGTGCGCAGAAGTGTTTTCTTTTCTCCCCTTTTAGGACCTTTTATTATTATTTTTTTTCTGGCGCGGGGAATTGTTTTTGAATTTCTGGCGGGGCCTTTTTAAGTTTCCAACAACAATGCCCAAAATCCGACCGGGTATGAGGCGCCCACCACCGGGTTTTGAGCTCATCAACGACAAGCTTGACGAGTACGACACGGAGATGCGAATTGTGATGGCCGATGATCCGCAGCAGGCGCAGCTCCCCGCAAGATCCCGCAAAGCGAAGCGGGGCGGCGTCGCAACGGGCAGCACGAAGGAGGACGTGAAGGAAGGAAAAGGCGCGAGTGAGGCTGAACTGGGAAATTCGGAGAAGCCTGTCCCACCGCTCTGGCGCGTCGCCCGCATCAACCGAGAGCGCACTCGCTACGTTTTTGATGCCTGTTATCACGAGAAGACTGTATCGACCGATGTTTTGAATTACTGCTGTGAGATGAATTTTATTGACGCTGGGCTTGTGCGGCGATGGAAACTCCCGGGGTATGAGCAACTGTGTTGCACCGCGTGCTGCGTCCCCGGCACGGCGAGTGCGGCGGCGCGCACGGTGAACAAGCATACCAACCGTCACAGTCACGGCAGGCGTGAAGGCAATGGCGGCGAGGAGCGTGCGGAGGGCACATGCATTTGCCGCGTGCCGGCGGAGCAACGACGGGTGAAGCGGCTTGAGGGGTGCACAGTATGCGGCTGCACGGGCTGTGGGTCCGGCGAGAAGAGGAAGCGGGATCCAGTGAAGGAACAAGCCAAGGATGCACCAGCGGCGGTGGTCATGCGTGTTGAGGAAGAACCGAAAAGCTAGGAGAAAAACCGACGGTTAGTACCAGTCATTGCCAGACGTCTGTTGGTTTAAGATTAGTTCTGCTGTTGGTGTCATCTTTCTGATATTGATATCGTTAACGATTTTATTTTTGGCTATCTTTTTTTCTCATTTCTTTTTTTTCTTTCTTCCTACCCCTTTCCCTGTAGCACAGTTTTCTTGGCAGTAAGCATGAACGCAATGAATAGTCGTGCCGTGTTCTACCGGTGAAGAAGGATCTGAGACTGCGGTGGTTGATGCCGCACGAATGCGGAATGCCATGCCCAACAGGCGGTTACATCCTGCTTTAGCGTGATGAAGCAATGAGCCTCCGTTTCTGAAATTTTCATTGCATGCGATGAGATTGACCGGAAACACAAATCACTCCACTCTGACAGCACACCCCACACTGCTCCCTGGCAACTGCGTGTTTGCGGCAAGGTGTGATGAGACACAAATGGATCGCTGACACTGAGCATTCCACTTGCATGAGAACACGTTTATTAAATTGACTCTCTGAAATGTACCCTCTCCTCCCTCCTTTTCCTCCCTACCTTTCTTTGCCACCAAACGGCGTGCATTCATTCCCATGCAATGATTACAAAAGCAATTCCATCATTATGCTGGCGAGAGGCGCTCTGTGACGAGAAGCTGATTGACTACAAAACCAAGATCTGCAATGAGAGGAGCTGCGCTCCTGCAGCGACGCTGTATTTAATCCCGCCCCGACTGGCCACAACGTGCCCGAGGCGTTTCATGTGCAGCGGAGATCAGCACCACCTTGTTTGTCTGTTTTTTGTTTTTTTTTTTGCAGGGCCTGACAGCTCGTAAATTACGAGGGTTTTTTCCTTTCTCTCTTGTTCTCCGTGTGAATTATTTTGTCTTCATGGTGTTCCATTTGGATTGGGCAAAAGTTTTTTGTGTTTCACTGCTTTATTTTTATTTTTTCCTGTGGGGATAGGTGTTCCCATTTTGGTGCCGACAAGGCCGTTGGGATAGGCTGTGCGTAGAGAATTTTCTTCTTTTCCTGTGATTTCTCCAAAATGGAAGACGGGGAAGCTCTTGACCTGCAGGATGCACTGAAGCCGGAAGTGAAGGAGCGTCCGGTGCGGCTGATAAAAATTGAACGGCATGATGGCACAAAGGCGTTTTTGAACTCGGTGATAGAGATGGCGCAGGTGGTGCTTGACAACATGCCGCCAGACGCCTGCTACAAAGATATCGCCATTAAATTAAAGACCAAACTTGACGAGGTGGAGAAAGGCACATGGCACGTCATTGTAGGGTCCCACTTTGGGGCAAATGTGACGAATGATTCCGAGACACTCGTGAATTTCAAGATTGACGAGATGCACATTTTGTTGTTCCGCTCTGGTCCACCGGAGCGTCCAATGAGTCTTAATGACGAGGGGTCGTAGACGCGTGGAAGGAAAGTGGTGATGGACAGATGAATGCGCAGCCAACTTATTTGTGTGTGTTTGTATGTATGGCGGTGAGGACTGGCGAAAGCGGGGACTTACTGTACTAATACTACTTCTGCTGCGACGACAAGGACGACTATGATGATGTAGCCATTATTAATGTATGTATGCTCTTTAAAAAAGGTTTATAGAGCGCACCCTTCTTCCCCACTCTTCCTTTCTTTTCCCTGTTGAGGGGGAAGCGGATGGTGTTTGGGGAAAGAAAAGAAGGTGCGTCGACGCCTTCGCTCCGCACGTGCGGTTTGAGCGGTGTGGACTTTTTGTTGTTTTTTTCTCTCTTTACGTGTTTTTTTTTTTTTTTTTTTGGTTTGAGGTTCCACCACACCTTGTGCTGACTGCTCCTTTTCTCTCTTTTTTTTTTTTTTTTTGGTTTGCTTTTCCCGTAGCAAAGTTCCGCCTGGCAATTTTTTCACGTCGCTGCCGCTTGGGGATTTTCTTTTTTCAGAGCCCACACACGCACACACAAATTTATACAATTGATCTTGTTCGTTTTGTTGTTGTTTTTTCCGTCAAGCCGTCGTCGTTTTTCCTTTTGTCCGCATTGGTCCTGAAGGGAGGGAGGGGGCAGACATGAAGGAGCAGCACCCACGGCAGCAGCAACAGGAGCCGCAGAAGAAAAAAAAACTCAAGTCGTTTGGGAAAAATGGGCGCGAGTTAAGAAGGAGGACGAAGTGCGATGATGACGGGAATTGGGTGGCGGTGAACCACCAGGACACATTACGGCAGATGCCCTGCCCCGCGCTGGAGCGGTACTACCGCGACCTGCAGCTCCTCCGCACCCCGGCAGAGTGGGATGCCGAGTTGTCTCTCTTCCGGAAGCCACTTCCGACGACGGTTTGGATAAACGACACAGACCCGCTTGCGGGCGAGGTGCGGCGCTACTTTGAGTCGATGGACTGCTCGCTTGTGGAGCCCATTCCGTGGTACCCTCTTCCCGGCATGGCGTGGCGGATTTTGGCGGACAAGACGGAGTTTCGTAAGCGACCGGAGATGCAGGCGCTGCGGCGATTCATGATTCAACAGACGGCGTTAGGGACTATTTCTCGGCAGGAAGAAGTCTCAATGCTGCCGCCGTTCCTCCTGGACATTCAGCCGACCGATAAGTGCCTTGACATGTGCGCCTCGCCTGGATCCAAGACGGCCCAAATTCTTGTTGCGTTGGGAAGGCACAAGGTGGTGCCGGTGGATTCAGATGCGTCGCCGTTTACTTTTGACTACGAGAGTGAAGGCCTTGTGATGGCAAATGAAATCGACACAAAGCGGGCCAACATGTTGGTGCATCAAGTGAAACGGCTGCGGTTGCTTTTTCCCTTTGCCCTCTTCACAAATCATGATGCACGGTATTTCCCCAATGTGAAGTGTGCGGCGTCCTTGGTAGGCAATGCCGATGAGGATCTTCGCTTCGACAAGATCCTTTGCGATGTTGTGTGCTCTGGTGATGGCACCATTCGAAAAGCGCCGCATATCTTTAAAATCTGGTCTCCCCGGGAAGCCATTATCCTTCAGAAGACACAAATCCAAATTGCCTTGCGCGCCTGTCACTTGTCTCGAGTAGGGGGTCGTGTTGTGTACAGCACCTGCTCTATGAATCCTATTGAGAACGAAGCGGTGGTAGCGCAGATTGTGCACCGCACTCGAGGAGCCATGAAACTCGTTGATGCACGTTCGCTTCTGCCAGGCTTGCAGTGCGCTCCGGGTCTGCAGCGTTGGGTTGTAACTAATTTTAAGGGGGAATTGGTTGTGGCACCGTCGGATGAGGCGCACGAGGCCCTTTTTCCTCCAAATACCCCGGGAGCGTACGCCTCCGCTGCCGTGAATGAATTGGACCTCCGTCTCTGCATGCGACTGTATCCCTCTCACTGCGGTGGTGGTGCTTTCTTCATTGCTGTGCTGGATAAAGTGAAGGAGTTTCGCCTGCAGAAACGTGAAGAGAGCGCTGCGGCGGAGCTGGACGGTCGAAATATTAATGATTGTGAGAAAGGAGAGGGCTCCGGCAGCGATAATAGCAGCAAAGGGGCAACCGCAGGAGAGAGGAAGCGGACGGAAGTTAGGGCAGGGAAGTTGGTCGAGGAGGAAGGCGGCGTCACTCCCGAGAAGCGAGTTCCTCCCACGTACGTGACGGCGCCAGCAGCGATCACGGACGTGGTGAGAAACTTCTATCAAGTGAAGGACTTTCCTTTCCAACAACTTGTCGTGCGCACTGCGACAGGGCAGCGTGAGTTGAATCTTTCAGTCAGTTCGACCTGCTCTATCGTCTCCTCCTCGGCATTGGATGTCCTGCAGAGGAATACTGATTCTCTCCTCGTGGTGTCTGCGGGCCTTCGCGTGTTTGCCCATGAGAACCTTGACAAGGGCTGGCGCATTGCGAATGAGTCCTCCATTCTTTTTGCAAAGGTGATGCGCCAGTCACCGCGACTGCTGCGGGTTCCCGTGAGTTTTGTGGAGCGTCTTCTCTCCGGTGGGAAGTTGAAGGACGTTCTTTTCACCGACATTGACGACGATGCACTGCGGACGCGACTCGAATCGATGGATGTTGGCACCGTTCTGCTGGAGATTGACTGCCCCGCTGCTGTGGGCGGGGTTTTTTATTCCGTTGCCTTGCGGGCACGCACCCGTCTGCAGATGCTGGTAGACCACGAGGATGTCGTCGGGCTGAAGCTGCGGCTGGGCATCGCCGCCGAGCCACCAGTGAACGAGCCCGTCGCCGTAATGTGACGCCTGACGCTTCGGCCTGTTTAATTTCTCCCCTGCGTTTTGTTTGTGTGCGTATGACCCCCGAAGAATCGGGCGTCTGTGTGTCGCCGGGAACGACGGCGGCCGACGAGGAGGAAAAAGGACGTTTTTGTTTTTGTTTTTGTTTTTTTGAGGAAAGACCTGAAAGGAATGCGGCCATCGGCCGGGCACCCTCACACCACTCCGTAGGTGCATGTGTGCCCCCGTCGCACGTCCTGTGGCTGTTGGCTGCGAGGGGAAATGCGGTCAAATCCAACAAACAAACGAATAAAAAAGAGGAAGGACTAAAAAAAAAAAAAAAAGAACAGTAAATTGTGTTTCCCTTGCCGCTTCTTGTCTCTCTCCTCCCCCATTTTTCCTCATTGCTGCCGTGATCACTACTTCCATCTTTTTTTTTAATCAAATGCCCCGCCCCGTTGCATAATTTGGTGCGGGCTTTTCAGGTGCAAGTGAGCGCTCATCCAATTCACCCAGTCACTTGCACAATTGGCACGTTCACCGTCGTGAAGAACAAAAAGACGGAAAGGAATAAGGATAAATAATAATAACAGTAATAATGAATGATTCGAACTGCTTCCCTTTCACAAAGCTTTCCGTACAGGCTCAGTATGAACGCGTGCAGCGTGAATTCTCCCTGTTGCTGCGTCAGGAGGACCCACGAAGTATTAGTTTTGCCACATCGCTGAAAAATAGGCATAAAAACCGTTACTTGGACATCTTGGCCAATGAGGCAACTCTTTACCCCCAGGTCACGGATGCGCCTGGGGCGTCGACTCCATACTACATCAACGGCAACCTCATTGACCTTGACCTGCCCCACAAATTTGTGGCCTGTCAAGCGCCGGTGGTGCAGGGGATACCTGATTTCTTGGCGATGCTTTACGAAAAGAAAATAAGTCTTGTCATCATGGTCACAAAACTGGAGGAGGGAGGGTTTGTAAAGGCGGATCGCTACTGGCCCGAAGAGAGGGGGTCAGGATCCATTGCCGTCTCGGGCAACTGTGGACTCACGATTTCCGAGGACCCAGGAAAGGCGTACGAAGTGGAGGATGAATTGAAAATTACACGACGTTACTTGATTCTTCAGCGAGCGGATGAACCACCTCATAAGTTTACTCAGGTGCAGTACACCGGCTGGCCGGATCACGGGATACCACAATCTGCCACATCCCTTGAAGCGCTCCTTACCAATGTGAAGAATTCTCCTACGACCGTTCCAGTGGTTGTCCATTGTAGTGCTGGTATTGGCCGAACAGGGACACTGATTGGCGCCTATGCCGCATTAACTCATCTCGAACGCGGGACCCTGACCGACACGACGGTTTACGACGTTGTGTCAGCCATGCGGCGACAGCGTTTTGGAATGGTGCAACGGATGGAGCAGTACTTTGTCATTTACCTGACGTTGATGTGTCGACTTGGCGTCGATATCAAGGCACTTGTCGGTCTGTTGAATAGCAGGACTACAGCTGCTGCATCGACAGCAGCAGCAGGGGGAGGAGGAGAAGGGAGAAAAAGAAGTTCACAGAGATAAGAAAAGAAGAGAATTTCTTAAGAACATTCTCTATGCTTGTTGAAAGACCATATTGAGTAAACTTGCAGTCGTATTTATTTGTCTTGGTGTATTGCGTGTGTCTATTGAGGGAGCATTGCAGGCTTTACTGCTTTGTCCACACGGTGGGTAACTTGGCTCCCATCGTCGTTTTCTCCTCTCAGACGGACAGTAAAAGCAAAAAAAAGAAAAAAAAAACAGAAGAAAGAGGAAAAAATAAAAGAACCGAAGTCAGTGGTCTGCAGTGATGCACGGTGGAAATATTACTTTGGGCGCTCTGTTTGCACTACGGCATACGCACATTATCCTTCACGGTCTTTATTTTCTCCCTGTCGTGTTGTTGTTGTTGTTGTTTTTGTTTTTGCTGCCCCATTCTCTTTTGATTCTGCTACATGTCTTTTTCTCTACGAATATCCGCGGCAACAGCAAAAAAAAAAAAAAAAAGGAAAGAAAAAAAGAAAAGGTTCTGTTTGTGGAATTTGTTGTGCGTGCCACTTACGGTAAAAGTTGCGTCTCTTAGAGAGAGAGTGTGTGTGTGCGTGTGTGTGACAATTTATCTACATACTACCTCTCCACCTACATATATATATATATACACACATTACCAGGCAGGGCAACCTGTAGGAGCATGGCGGATAACAGTCCCGGAAGATTGTCTTCCGCAAGCCTCGTTGATCCTGCGATTGAGGCCTCATCGCTTTTGCAGCCAAGTAACGCGCGTCAGTCTCGACATTCAGGCCGCTCGTCGTCTGTGGAGACAAAGACGTCCGTGGTCGTTGTATCTCGCAGAGATAAAACTGCATCCTGGGGTTTTTTGACCTATAACAAGGTTTTCCCTTTACTTGTTGGCGAGGTGACGTCCGATGTGGCCGCTTTACTGAGGAAGGGAGACGAGATTGTTGAAATCAACAAGGTGGCACCAAAAAATTATGATCATGCCATTTATTTGTTTCAACGGGCCCGCTTGCATTTGGAGCTGCGTATACGCCGAACGGTTAGTCAAGAAAAACAAAGGCATCTTGCGCGCAATTACAGTATGGGAACATCAGATGTCGTGCCACATGCAGACGCTGCGGGCGAAGCGATGAAAAATTCCACGTCACCCCCTCCCACAGTAAATAAAAGCGCCACGGATGCCACGCTACCACCTTCTCATGAAACACCACATGTGGGCTTAGAGGTGGGGGCGTCGCGGTACCCTGCAAAGATGTCATTAGAAAAAATCCTGCGAGGGGGGAGAAAGAGGAGATTTGGTTGGGGTAATGCAGAGGTGGTGGATGGAACGCTCTCTCGTTCGCCGGAACATCCCTCTGTGGCTTTTAATGAAGACATCGAGAAGGTTTGGCGTCGTGTGTTCTCTAGAAAACGGGCCCGAGGCTGCAATATTCCAGCGAAGGGTCACTGCAGTGAAGTGAGTGAAGTTCTGCCGAGACCTGCACGACAGGCGATCTATGATCGTCGTAGTTGTCCCTTTTCCGCAGAGGAGGGGTTCACGTCGGAGTTTCACGACGCGGTGCAACATGTATTGACCGCGAACGCGTTGACGCATGGGCGAGAAGGTCATTCTCATGGCCTCGCCAAAGGAACCGTGACGACCAGCCCCGGCAGCCAACATCGCGATGTAGAGACGATGGTGGAAAGTATCAGGAGCAAGGAGCAGCTTCGCGATGAGGAGGTTGCCAAGTATAATGCGGCAAAGGGAGTGGCTCAGTGCCACAAGGAGCTGGAGGCAGTACACAATGCCATGCTGCGCGTGGCAGAGTCTCATTGTCTCATGCGGGAAGAAAGGCGATGCAATGAGGTGGAGAAGTACCGCCAGACAGAGTCGGCTGCAAGGATTTTTTTGGCCAACTACATGGAGGCGGTCTCATCGAGCAAACCGGTAGCGGGGACGAAGCGGCGGAGCCGTCGGGGGTATTCCCGCGACGGCATACACGACGCACAAAAGTATGAGCTTCGCTCCCCACCTTCTTCTGCGGCCGAAACTGCTTGTGATGGTAGCGCCACTTCGCCGCCTTCTTATCAGCTAGTATCTAGCAATGTTTTTTCTACAACTGAAAGAGTACGCCACGCTGGAGGTTTTTCGAGTCGTCTCTTGCGCTTGCCAACACCACCGCCTCCACCACCACCACCACCACCACCTCCTCCTCCTCCACCTCCTCCGCCACCCCCTTCTTCTTCTGGAGGATGAGCCTAGGAAACTGTTGATCTGCGCAACCGCACAGAAGGAGATGGCAGCGGCGCATTTAATTTGTTTTATGATCGTATACTTTATTTATTATGTTCAGAAAGAAAGAAGGAGGGTGAAAAAAGATACGGGAAGAGGGTAGCATGTGTTTTGCCGAGGGTTCTTCTGCTGAGTGTTGATCGCATCCCATCCTCTTCATTTTTGTTCTTTTTTATTTATTATTTCACAGCATGAGCCGCGTCGAGACTTCAATGGAGGCTGTTGTATATGAAGACGCCCCCGATGCGTCTGCAAGGCTGAAGCGATTAAAAGTGGCGATGCTGGCGTTTGCCGGGGTTCCTGCCACGATTCCCGCAGTGACTGCCATTCTCGTTCCTGTTGAGTTGTTGGCAGCGCCTTCTTCATCCTCTGGTTTGCGGCCGGCAACGCTGGCGAGAGAAACTGCAGAGAGTCGATTGCGTCAGGTGTGCGCAGATCGCGTACAAATTAGAAGGTGGCTACAACATGAACTCGGCATCACAATGGACGTATGGGTTGTGGTAACTGTTCTGCCACGTGACATTAACGAGTTGTCCTTACTAGCAAATTGGCAGATGGACCGACATCGATCGCCGTTGCGTCAAGCAGACGCTTTGTCGCTTTCACTGCAAGAAGTGGTGCTGCTGTGGGGGGATGGGAGGTGTCAGGCACCAATGCTTGAGAAGTTTCTGTTGCCGCATCAAAGCCTCCTTCTGGATGTGACGTGTTGTATTGGTGAAGGCGGTCGCCAGCTAGTCAATCCCGCCGTGTTCAGCCCCATACGGGCGAAGCAAATAGCGAAAGGCCGCACATGTGTGGTGGCATTTTATAGTGCCTGGCTGCCGTTGTCATTCAGTACGCGTGGCCTCGCACAATTGCAGCAACAATTTCGCGATATTGCCAGGCATGTTCTTTTACACATGAAACTACCGTTGTCCTGCCCCTACGGTGGGGAGGTTGGGGCGCTGCAGCAAAACCTCGTCAATGTGACCCTCACGCGTCGAAATAGAATTGCAGAAGAGGGGTCCGAGCAGAGATTGGCTGCTGCGCTGTTGGCGACCCGCTCGCTGAAGGATATATATAGTCTTGTGGGCGTTCTTTTTGGCAATCCGCTGGCGAATTACTACGGCGAGGCAATGGCGTTTTGTACCTCCGTGCAGAGGCGGCGACGAGCGGCGGGATTTTTTTGTTACCCCGCCAGTGTGGTGCTTGCGAAACCGGCTGGCGCCACTGGGGCGATGAGGCATGTCGATGATGTGTCCCCCGCTGAACCTCACCGAAGGCGAGGGCGAAAAGAGACGGCGACGGAGGCGGTGGATGAGGGACTGACGTGGTGTGAGGACACCGGGGTCTAAAGTTATTCCACCGCCTCCAATGCCACGTGTGACGCTGGAAGGGAAGCGATGCGGCCAACGAGGAAGGAACACCTCTGATGTACGTTGTTGTTGTTTCACTCATTCTTTTTTTTTTCTCTGTGTTCCTTTTTCATTGTTGTTTTGCTTCTCCCCCTTTTCTTTGTTTTTGTTTGTTTTTTTTTTTTCTCTCTCTCTCTCTCTCTCGTACCCCGGGGAAGCATAAATACACGCAGACGCAGACGCATACACCGATATAATAAAAATATATAAACATATATATTTACGTGTACCTGAGAACGAAAGAACGAAAAGAAAAGAAAAACAAAAAAAACAAAAAACAAAAGGAAAACAAAGAACCCCGAAAGCAAAGAAAAAGGAAAAGGAAATTTGAAAAAATAAAATAAAATATAAAATCATCCTAACGAGTGGTTAATAGCAAAAAAAAGAAAGAAGGAAAAAAGGGAAAAAAAAAAAAAAGGTAGGTGGTGAGTCAATATTGGGAAGGAAGAGAATTTTCAAAATTATAGACACAAAAACACACATCGAAGAAAAAACAGAGAAAAAAAAAAGAAAAGAAAAGGGGGACGAGAGGGAAGTTTGTTAAGGGCGGGTTTTGAGAAATGGATCAAGACCTGAAGTCCTCCAAGTACAAGGCCTACAACCTGGAGGTGTTGCCCGAGGCAGAGCTTTACAGTCAGCATACAGAGAACTTACATGGAGTTGCAGTGAACGGAATTCCACTTTATCCCAATGAAACGCCTGGGAATCCACGACTGAGCCGGTTTGTGGTGCAGGGATGTCAAGATGTTTGGGCTGCAGTAATCTTTGTTGCTATGCTTATTATGTCTGTGGCATGGGGTTCCGCAAATCTGGCGACGTATGAGCCTATTCCTTTAAATTCAACCGGGCACAGAACAATCGCCATAGATGCCAGCAATGTGAAGGTTTCCACATTTGTACTCTTGTTTGTTATCTTTGCCGTTTCTATCCTTGGAGCCTGCGGTTCACTGATGCTAATAGGTACGTTTCCGAGGCAGATTATCTTCATTGCGAACGTTATGACAGCCGTGTTAACTTTGGTTGGTGCAGTCGTGGCATTTATCTCCGGTGTCATTTTTGCCGGTTTCCTGCTCGTTATTGTATGTTTTTTTCAAGTTATTTGGCTGTACTTAGTGCGAGACCGTATTATGTTCTCTGCGGAGCTTCTCAAAGCCTCATCAGAAGTTCTTTCAAAATACAAAGCTGTGTTTTTATGTACGTTTTTCATGACTGCCACTTCTTTTGTTTACATGATATTTTGGAGTGCGATGTGTTTTCCCGCTGCTGACCGAACAAATGCCGGGTATGATAACGCGGGGGACGGATTTTTACTTACATTCTTCATGCTGCTTCTTTTTTGGGTTTCAGAGGTGGTGGCCAATGTCATTCATGTGACAACAGCCGGTGTAACAGCTACCTGGTACTTCGCGGGGGAAGGACGTATGCCAAAGAACCCGACAATTGCCTCTTTTAAGCGTGCCGTGACAACCAGTTTTGGATCTATTTGTTTTGGTTCTCTCATTGTCGCCGTCATACGCCTCTTACGATGGATTGTGGAAAGTACACGTGACAACCAGAACGAGTTTATTCACTGCGTCACAAGTTGCCTCTTGTCCTGCCTGGAATCGATATTGGAGTACTTTAATACGTACGCCTTTGTTCATGTTGCAGTGTATGGGTGTGGTTATATTGAGGCCGCCAAGCGAACCTGGCAGCTATGCAAACAGTGCTTTTTTGCCGCCTATTTTAATGATGCGCTTATTGGCCCCACATTGACTATTCTCTCCCTTGGTGTCTCGGCACTGATTGGCATTGTAGTGGGACTGGTATATACGTCCACCACTATTGGGGCGTTTTCCTTCCTGGGCGCGCTGATTGTGCATATACTCTTCTTTTCTGTGGTGGAAAGTGCAGTGACAACGCTCTTTGTCTGCTTTGCGGAGGTTCCGGAGGGACTGCAGTACTCCTCGCCAGAGCTATACGCCGCACTGCACCACGCAGACCAGAATGGCACGAACAACAACGCCGCCTCCCCATAGTGTGAAGGAAGGGGAACGAGGAGGAGGAAGAGGATTGGGGAGGGGGCGCGGGTCGCTGCCTCCCTTTTTTCTCTCTCTCTCTTTTTCTGCCACCCATCTTTTTTGCTTTGCGGAGCGAGGGAAGGACGACATCCATGCATTTATTTATCCCTACATGAATGGAATACGGTCCGGCACGTCCTGCAATATTTCCATCGAACATGCGAGGTGCCGCGGGAATCCTCCTCCCACCCTTCAGCTCAAGTGCGAGCGGAAGTGGCGGAAGGATGGGGTGGGTGTGTGGAGGAGGAGGAGGAGAAAATAAAAATAAAAGTGAAAATAAAAATAAAAATAAAAACAGACGTCATGAAAAAAAGAAGGAAGAGTAAAACAGTCACGTGCTGTTCACATGACAATGTCATGGGGGACGTCTGTTTAGCGCTTTTTCTTTTTTTATTATTATTATTTTCTTTTGCTTTTCGTTCGTTGTTTTTTGTTTTTGTTGGGAGGAGGGGAGGGAAGGAGAGGCACGTCGGGGAGGGGGGGGTTTGCCTCACGTCGCAGCGACACAACAACGAGAGGAAATGAAAATACGCGGAGGGGAGGGAAGTGAGGGTGGACGCACAGCGCGGCACGGTATGTGCGATGGAGAACGTGAAACAATTGATGGAAGTGAGTGAAGAAAAATAATATAACCAACATATATAAATACATACATATATATATATATATATGTGTGTAGTTATATTTATATATTCGTACTTATGTTTATTTTTATTTGAAGTCATATTTTATTTACGCTCGTTGTAAACCTTTTTCTTTCTTCCTTTTTTTTTGTTTTGTTCCTTTTTTTTTTTTTGTTTTTTTTTTTTTTTTTTTTTTTGTTTTTTTTGTTTTTTTTTTTTTGTTTTTTGAATTTGCGTATTTTATTAATATGAAAAAACTCTGCATGCCGTTTGCTGCCGTGCGCTCCCACAGTTAAAGGGGATAGGAGGAGGCAGGAGGCACACTACAAGCCGAGGATGTATAGCTTTTCTTACCACTCCCTTGCTCCCCCCCCTCCCTGTATGTTCTTGCGTGCGGAGTGGGAAAGGGTAGGCAGCAGGGGGCAAACAGTAGGGAAATAATAAAGAAAACCCGGCCGCATTGCATTGCAAGGTGAAGGAAGAAGAAAATGAAAGCTTAAAAAAAAAAAAAAAGATGAAAGTTTTAGTCGTAAATCTTGCCAATGTGATATCGGGTGTTTCTGTTGTTTTTTGCGAATGAAAAATACAGAGAGTGATGGTGAGTGAAGGAAAGAAAAGGCTGAGAAATAAATTGGACACATTAATTAGCACCAACCCGGTTTTATCCCTTATTACTACCACTCCTGCGTTACGTGACTGGGGTACGGGGAACCGTTTTGCTAGCGGTGTCAGGTAAAATAATATGTATGTATATATATTTGGTTTGTTGTTATTCTTCACTGTGCTCCTTTTTTTTTTTTTTTGCCTGCGCTTTTCGGGTGGCTGAAGGACGATTCCGTTGGGAGGGAAGGAGAAGGACCAACACAGAGAGAAGAGTAAAAGCCGCGGAGGAGTGACTTTTACTTTTCTTTTTTTTCTTTTTTCTTTTGCGTGTGTGCGCTAGTGGGAGGCGGAGGGAAATAGGAGGGGCAGAGAGCGACCGTAAATGTTACGGGGCCACGTCTTTGTTGCCGCGCCTGATGTGCCGCAGGATGTGCGGTCGCTGGTGGCTGCATGCGGTGGTCGTGTGGTGTCGTCGGTTGAGGCGTCCGTCACCCTCGGCCTCGTAGTGTGTGGGGGAGAGGCGAGACTCGACTGCGCGGCGCAGCTGCGGAGCCTGCGCATCCCGATCCTGCGCTCCAGTTGGGTGCGGGCGAGTGTGGCCGCCGGGCGCATGTTGCCCATGAAGCACCCACACACGGAGTATGACCCGGCGCTCTTTGAATCCCTCCGCTTCACAACGACGATGCTCCCGGTACAACTGAAGAGAAGTTTGGTGGCGGCAATTCAGTTCTTTGGTGGGACGTACTTGCCGGACCTGACCAGCGCGACGGACATCCTCCTCCACGGTGAGGAGGGGCGGATGGCAGGAACCGCGGGGAGTCTGAAGTGGCGGTGTGCGTGGGAGTGGGCGATCCCGTGTGTCCATTTCACGTGGCTGCAGGAATGCATTGCCAGCGGACAACTCGGCGCGTTGCCGCCGCCATCATCCCCGCCGGCAGCAGCAACGACGAGGAATGGGGAGGAAAACGAAAGCAGCTGCAGTTCTTCACATGAAGCCGCCGGTGGAAATTATGCCTCCTGCACTTTGTTTATTGAGCGCCAGAAACGTCCTCGTATCGATGCCATTACTGTTGCTTCTGATGCAGGGAGGAACCAACCGCTTCAGTGGTCTTTATAGGTGAACTGTGCGAAAGTCTCCTGAAGGATTATTAAAAGTGCATCTGTGCGTGCATGAAAAACTACAGACGGTATCATAGATGGAAAGAGTGATGTTATAATATAAATGACAGAGCAATAGATCAATGCATAGATAAAAGTACTATACAGATAGATATATACATATACATATACGTTGGAGGAATGAAGAAAAAAAGTTGAGTGAGAAAAAAAAAAATTTGAAGTGTACAGAATCGGAGTATAACTGTGTACATCGCCTTTTCGAATCGGAGTGTTGCATGTGCATCAATTTATTTACTGATTTATTTCATTCCCTTTTTAGCCTCTTTGCCATTTTTTTTTTTTTTTTTTTTACGTTGTTGTTGTCTGTTCACTCATGTCACGTGCCCTCTTGTTTGCCATTTTTCTGTGGACTGCGGCAAATATTGCGAGACGGGTCTGTTGACTTTGCCCCGTTGGTGCAATAATCATTGACGAGCGAAGGGGAAAAAACAAGCACACAACACAACAGCAAAAGGAAGGGAAGAGCCGCACGGCTGTTGTCAGTGGCGATCTGACTGCAAGTCTTAGGAGAAGGGAGGAGGGAGGGATTTGCGGGGGGGAAGGAATGTCGAATGCCGCCGCTCCTAATTTTTTTACCATCGTCTCGGAGTACGTGGATCACATGCTCCCTGCAGACAACACGATGAAGGTCCTTCTTGTAGACGAGGCCACACTCAACGTCATGTCGATGGCCTGCTCACAGACGCTGCTCCTCAAAAAAGGGGTGTTTCTCGTCAGTCGCGTCGACGAGCACCGTCAGCGGAAGGTGATGAAGGGCATGCGCTGCATTGTTTTTATTCGACCGCAGATGTCAAGTGTGGAGGCTGTCGCTGAAGAACTTCGGGCCGCCAAGTACGAAAGTTACGCCATCCACTTCAGTAACGCGGCCAGTCCGGAGCTGTTGGACTGCCTCGCCCGGGCGGATGTGGACAGTCTGGTGACTCGCGTTAGTGAAGTCTTCTGTGACTTTGAGGCTCACAACGCCGACGCATTTGTTTCTGTAGTTTCACCAAGAGCTTTGCTTCCGGCCTTTCTAAGCGCAGCTGCGGTACAGCGCGTTGCGGAGGGCATTGCTGCAACCTTTTTAGCGTTGCGTCGGCGACCACATGTACGTTTCCATCAGAACAACGCGTTTGCCCGCCGAGTGGCACTAGAGTTGGGGGACATTCTTAGCAAAAATGCGGAGCTGTACAACTACAAAAACAAAGACAGTCTGCTGCTTATTCTCGACCGCAGCAGCGACGTCCTTACACCGCTTCTGACGCCGTGGACGTATCAGGCCATGTTGCATGAATACATTGGCATGCAGCATAATCGTCTTCAGTTTTCGGACGCGACTGTGAACGAGGAATATGTCTTCTCACAGCAGGACGACCCTTTCTTTGCGGCAAACATGTTTGCGAACTGGGGTGTTCTCTGCAACAATGTCAAGACGTATGTGGACAAGTGCAAGGCAACGCTGAATATTGATCGTTCGACGGCGACAATGGATGAGATCAAGGAATTTATGCAGAGACTGCCTCAAACCAAAAGCTTGACAGGCTCGGTAACGAAGCATGCCACGGTGGTGTCGCATCTCTCCTCCATTATCAAACAACGAGGACTACTGGATGTTTCACTTCTAGAGCAGGACATGGTTGCATCTTCCAATGCAAGTGACCACTGGAACCGTCTCCAGTCCTTTGCGGCCAAACGGCATAGTGGCGGTGTGGAGGCCACGGACCTTTTCCGTCTCTGCCTCATCTACCACCTGCGATACGAAAAGCCCGGTCAGAACTCACGGGTATCCACGCTCTTAGAAGAAATCGATCCACAAAAGGCGAGTTGCCTGCGAAAACTCGACCAGTACTCTGGGGAGCGTTCCACAGACGAGTTGTTTGGCGCAACCGGCGTTATGGCGTCTATCGTAAAGACTTTTGTAGATGTGGGGAACATTTATACGCAGCATGAACCCGTGTTGAAGCGAACCCTGTTGCAGCTCTTCAGTGGTCGACTTCCTATTGATCAGTATCCGTACCTTACGCCACCTCCCACGTCCGCTGCGAACAGTTCCCAGACGCAACAGCAGTTCAGCTTCAGACCAAAAGAAGTTGCTGCATTTATATGTGGTGGATTCACTTACGAAGAAGCCGCCTTGGTGAATGCAATCAATGCGGGGACGGCGTTTACCGGCTCCGTTGCCAACAACCTTCACCAAGGGGGAGTGCGTGCCTCCATTGGTGGAACTGCCGTGCTGAACAGTGAGATGTTTCTCAACATGTTATCCACCCACCCATGAGTGGGTGAATGGCTCCAGCCGAGGAAGAACACGGAGGCAAAGCCAAAACGAAAATGCATTTACACGAACTTCCCTTTCTTGTTTCCTTTTTTTTATTCCTCCCCTCCTACAACAAGAAAAACAAAACAAAACTTTTTTTTCGTGAAGGAGGGGGGAGCGCACATGTTGGTTGTTGGAAAGGGAAAAAAGAAGGAAGAGTTTTTATTGCTTTATATATATATATATATAAAGCAGTACATATAAATGCTTACATGTGGGAGTATTTTTATGCCCTCAACGAATTTGTTTTTTATTGGTTTTTATGGGCTTTATTGCTTTAATTTGGCTGTTTTTCTTTTTTGCTTGTTTGTTGTCACTTGTCTCTCTCTTTGTGTGTGTGTGTGTGTGTGTTTACGCGTGGCCACTTAATGACATGCAATGTCATTATTATAACAATGGTGGTAGCGAAAGGATGTTAGCGGTATCGTTTTTGGCTGCCCCCGCAGCCACCTCTGTGAACAGGCCTGCAGTGGAAGACGGGAATGGCGCCTTATCTTTGGTGGAGCTGCTGGTGGAGTTATCGGGTTCCCTGACAAGTGGCAATTTTGGGAAATATCGCCGCGGAGAATACGGAAGGATATCTGCGGAAACAGATGGCATTCTGAGAACTGTCTCTGTCCCGCCCTCCAGAGATCCGACAGTGATACGGAGGAAACGTCGGCGTGACGTCATCAATTCCTTTTTTGATTCCTCCACCGCAAGGACGTCGACGCCAGTGTTTTCCACATCACCCGCGGTATTCCGTAGCCGGATGCGCCAGCTCTTTCAGAACGCCAAGCAGAATATAAGAGAAGTCACAGAAACTCATGCAGCGTTGTTGGAGCTTCTTTGCAGCGCTGTTGCTCCGGATATAGACTTGAAAGAAGCCGCCGAGGGCGCGGCGACTTTGTCAGAAGCGTCAGAAGCCGAGTTGATGTTGTACATCATCCTCCGCACCAGCATAGCCGCGGCGCCAACCTGGCAGAAACCCCCCACTATTCCACGCTGTTGGTTGTCACCTTCCATCACAGAGATGGTGGAGCGGTCTCCGACGCTGCAAAGAACGATGCGGTGGTCATGCGACCCTGATCCCGTGATTGAAGCTGCGCTTGGCGTAGATCATACCAGGTACAATCGTTCTGCCTTTGAGCCGTACATGGCATGCCAGTTGCCGGCACTTCTGACCTATCATACAGACTACGCTGGAGTTGCTACTACTGCTGGTGGTGGTGTGGAGAGGAAGCCATATCTCAATGAATCTTTAAAAATGGATGCGGCGCATGGTGTTTTTTCTTATTGGTGCGCAGGAGAGAAGGAGGAGGTGCGATGTCTTTTCAGTAGAAAGCGTCCAATTAATGTCGACACAGAAGGAGAGTTGGATTCACCGCCCCACATGACTCACCACGATTCCTCCGTTGTGCATGCGCCATCTTCGCCGGGAGCCACAGTCAAGAAGTTGTTTTTTTCCATCTTCAAAGAGGAATATCCAACGGACTCTCGTTTTTGTTCCCTTCTTTTTGTTGCCCTGCACCGTGGTATTATTGGGCAACAGGACCCGTACCTCCTACTGCGGCTGGAGGGTGGTGGGATGGGGTGCCCACCACAACAAAGCCTCATGATAACCCCCAGCAAGCTTTCTTTTTCACAGTTCAGTGAAACGGTTGAAAATTCCTCATTCACATGCCCTGTAAGCATTGGCGTCAGTCCGGAGTTTCTTGTTGCGGCGACAGGAAACCACGGTGATGAAGAGATGCGGAGGAGGAGCGGAAATCAAACAGCCCTCAATGAGGGGGGAGAATTAGAGGCGAAAGACACGCTGTGTGCGAGGGGAGTCGTCGCTATGCTGCAGTGGAGTTGTCAGAGTGGAACTCTTTTTTTGCGACTGCATCAGCTGTGTGACGTGTCTGAACGACCCGAGTGGCGGGCGGCTCTTGGACAGTACGGAAAAAGCGCCATTGAGGCTTTGCGTTGGCTTCTGCTGTCGCTACAACGCCTCGTAGCGGATATGAGCGATCGTGCCGGGGGTCCGCACGGGGTGTCGTTCAGGGAACTTCTTGTAGCGCAGCAGAGACTCCGGCACGTTGCGGAAGATATCGCAGTGCTGAGTGATGTTTTTCTTGTGCATGCGGGAGCAAACTGGGAAGCCTCTCTTGTGCTGGGACAAATTTCCTCTGCTACGCTTCTAACTTCACTCTACAGACATTATGCAAAGAGAACTGCCAACAACCAATGGCGTGGTCAGCACCCGATGGTTGCCGGTGCGTCTGACGGAAAAGTCGGAAGACCAGATGTTATCGTTGAGTTGTTTCTTGCCGTGTTGGACCCGCTGCAGTGCATGTTGGGGGCGTGGCTCCGTGCGGGGGAACTAAAAGATCCCTACGATGAGTTTTTTATTTTGCCCTCACACGGCACCACTGCGTGTGGTTTTCTTGTGGATACATCCGCGCAGCGTCTGCCTGAATTCATATCGCCGGAAACAGCGGAGAAGATTCTTCATGCTGGGGTAAGCCTCCGTGTTCTCCGCGCCGCGGCGCGTCACGTGACACTCTGTTCCACAAAAGAAAAAAGGCGGTTGAGGTTCCAAGCCGAAGATATTGATGCTGCCGGGCTTTACCAAGAGCAGGTGGAAGACGCCGAGGACATTAACTTGCTATTACGTGAATTCATGGAGTCGCTGCTGGGTTACCGTTCGTCTTCAACTTTCTTGGAGATGCCTGAAGTGAGTGTTCTGACGCGGAATGGCTCGCTCGCGTACTGGCGGGCTTTCTACGCCGCGTGCAATGATGTGCTGCTCTCTGTGGGAGACGAGATGGAAGGTGGGCAGAACAACGTCACTTTCGGATCCATCCAGCTCGCCCGTGTTGTGCCAGTAAACCTTTTTGATGGGGATGATACGACGAGGAGCATCTGCACCGAAGAACGGGGCGGAGTTGGTGGTGGTAGGAAAGCAAAATCTCTTGTGACAAGCTTGTCGCGCCTCTCCAGGACCACAACTGCGTGGCACGAGGCAGTCTCGGAGGAATTGGCCCAAGTTGCCCATTCCACAAGTAAAGAAGAGGCGGCGGGCAAGACGAAGGAGCGCGCGGCGCTTTGCTCAGAGTACGAGAGGAGAGTAGTGCGCCGCAGAGCCCAGCTGCAGTTGCAGCAATGGAAGGCAGTGCGTCTTTCGTTGAACATGGAGAGAGCAGCCGCGTTGTCAGGGTGCGTTGACAGCCTATTAGAGTTGTACGCCCGCATGCTGAGCCAAACTCCCGCTGAAGAAGGGGAAGAGAAGGAAGACAAAATGGAGGATGGTCGGCGAACGCCCATAGGGAAATTTGTCAAACCCCTTGCCCAAATACCGCCCTCAGCCCAGGCCGCTGAAAAAAGCAATGCCACCAGCGAGGGGAAGGCCACCCTACAACTGGATGGTCAGTTGCTTCTTGGCAACGAAGAGGCGCCCTTTGAGACATCGATTGTTTCCGTGTTTCGAGTTACCCCTCCACCTTTACGTCGCGGAAGTGGCTCTGTGTGGATGGGTAACATGTCGCTATCGCTGCAATCTGAACAAAAAAGTTTTACCCGCTCTGAAAGAGAGCCACAGGAGAGTGCGCACGCGCCGGAAATGTATGTTGTGGCCGACATTAACGACGAGGAATACCTGATGGAAAGAGCTGGGCCTAGTCTGAGTCAAGCGAGCGCGAGGGAATTCATGGTTGCTCAATACGATGCAGCTGAATCAATTGTGAGAAACTGTTTTATATTGAGCGAGGCGTACCAACAGGCATGCAAGGAGGCGGCTATTAAATTGCTTCAAGTTGAGGGCGATCGTAGTTGCAGAGCCGATGGGGATGATGCATGCATGAGTGATTACTGGTGGACAAATCCGACTGCCGACGAGGGAACTCGTTTTGCTCATAAGGGCATCTTTTCTGCGTTAACGAAGACTTCTCATGCATTACACAAGCTGACAGAAGAGCAGGCAAAGAGTCTTCTGCATTGCTCGTCTTACTACCTCACACTGAGCAGCTACACCGCAAGTTATTTGACACATAAAGCACTTCAGGTCATGCTTTTGGGCCCGTACGGCACACTTTATCGGCTGACGCAGCAGTTCCTAGATGTGTGCCTCATGCAGAGTGGCCGTGTGGCGGATCGCATGACAGGAATTTGGCAACGCCTCACGAAGACAGCAATTGAGGAAAGCAAATTTGTTTTCTCGAATTTTATGGCTGCGCTGAATGGGGCATTTGTGGAAGAATGGGAATCATGTGTGCTGCATGGGCGTGACACACTGCAGGTGCAACTTGCTCTCATGGTCCCGGATGACACCAGCGCGGGGACTGACGTCTTTCCAGCAGAGAATGAAGAGGAGGATGGCAATGGGGCCGGTGGAAGCATGTTGTTCCAAGACACGGCGTTTCGAAAGCGCACGCTTTATTCCGCGTCCGAACAAGTGGCGGAAGAAGAGACGCAGCGGGAACATGACGGTGACGGAGCAAAGGGCAGAACAGGAGATGATGCGATTCCGCTTCCAGAGAATCCATTCGATTTTATCTCTCGATTGATCATTGTCTACAGCACGCCATGTGAGGGTTTTTGGCTCCTACCAAAGAATGCAGTTGCCATCTATGGCGATCTCTTCGCCACTCTGCTCTTCTGGAGCTCTGTGACACAGCTCGTGACACGTGTGTGGCAAGTTGGGATTAAGTCAGACGTGGCAGAGGCGTTTTTCTTTTGCAACTTCTCTCGTGCTGTGCTGAGTGCCGTGGCACAACACATGTGGTTCCTCATTGCCAGTTTTGCGCGTGAGTATCGTCACACACTGCGCTTTGAATCGGGCGTTCTTTACTCTTATCGCCAGCTGGAGAGCTTCACGACGGATCATGCTGCATTTCTCGAACGGTGTCGCTTTGCCGCAATGTTGACTCCCGCCTTTGCTCGTGCACGGCGTCAGGTATACGGGATGGTGCGGCAGCTGGAGGAGGTGGAGCAGTGCCTTTTGTGCGCCGCCAGGGAAAATGCGGCGGATACATCCGTCTCTCGATCCGTTTCTCCCGGCGGCAACGAAAAAAAATCAGGAGCGGCAGCAGCCCACATTGCAAGTGGCGCCAAGGGACGGAATGGCAAGAAGAAGACGAGGGCGTCTGAAGGAGGAAACGAACGGGATGGTGGCGGCGAACTTCACGGTTCTAATCGCCGAAAAGAGTTTTCGCCCTCAAAGACATCCAAGTCGTCGCCCTCTGACGTGTCGCCCAAAGTCAAGCAGAAACCCGGCAGAAACTCGGGGGCCCGGCAGCTGCCGCCGACAGAGGAGGCGCGACGGCGTTCTGTGCGGAACAACGTGAGCCGTCGTATACGTTCCTTTGCGGGGCTAACGGAGATTTTTGTGGAGCATCTCACCGCTGTGCGGGATAACCTTGCGGAGGATGCGGAGTCATCGGTTGTTCCGCAGGACAACGAACCTGAGAAGCACAATTCAGCACGAGACACGTGCCGCACCAATACGTGCGCCGCCGCTTTGTCTTCGCTCATTCGCACCCTGGAAATGACGCAGGCTGCCGCTCATGACAAATTCTGAGTCTCTTTCTATCGACCGGCAGGGTGTGGGCTCATTTCGGTCATGAGGTAGAAGAGGAGCGAGAAAGCGAATGGGGTTTGGAAGGTCCTGCCAAGCATATTTTTCTCTGACTGAGCAGGGATGTCCGTCCTTCAACAACTTTTGAGTTGCATGCGTCTTCATTTTATTTTTATCCTGCTTTGTTCTGTTGGCATGCGTGTGAGTTGAGCTTTTTTGTTGTTGTTGTTGTTGTTTTGTGCATGCCACCGTTGGCTCTCTCAGACCTCTGCCCCGTCCATTTGGTGCCGGCCATGGCCGCGGCTGGTAGAGAACAAAAACTGCCATCCTCTCAACCCTCTCTTTTGTTGTTGTTGTTTTTTTTCTCTCTCTGTTTGGGTTCGTGTGTTTACTTGTTTGGTGCACATTACATTTACGAGAAGGTACGCCTCTGTTGCGCTGGAGTAGAGGTCACCTGCGCTCGCGTGTCGATTAACATTTTGCACACACGCACGCACGTCATGTCTAACCTGCAGAAGATTAACGATATCGAGGCGGAGATCGCCCGCACGCAAAAGAACAAGGCGACGATGGCGCACTTGTGTCAACTTAAGGCTCGTCTGGCGCAGCTGAAGCGGGATCTCATTGCCTCGGAGTCTAAGAAGAGCGGTGGCAAAGGTGAGGGGTTTGATGTGCAGAGAACAGGTGATGCTCGGATTGGCTTCATTGGCTTTCCATCGGTGGGGAAGTCCACTCTTTTGACGAAACTCACGTCGACTCACTCTGAAGTGGCGGCGTACGAGTTTACAACACTCACATGTGTACCAGGAGTTGTGAATTACCGTGGGGCGAAGTTGCAGATGCTCGACCTGCCTGGTATCATTGAGGGTGCAAAGGATGGAAAGGGCAGGGGTCGGCAGGTTATCGCCGTGGCACGCACCTGCTCTCTCATTCTGATTGTACTTGACATTGCCAAACCACTACAACACAAACTTATTATTGAACGGGAGTTGGATGGATTTGGTATTCGATTGAATAAACAACCGCCTAATATTGATATTCGCAAGAAGGATCGGGGTGGAATTAGCATCTCGTCCACATGCCCCTTGACGCAATTGGACAATGAAACAATTAAGGCCATTTTGACGGAGTATCGCATGAGCAACGCGGATGTGATGTTTCGCGGAGATTACGCCGCGGATGATTTGATTGATGTCATTGAGGGCAATCGCATCTACATCCCCTGCTTGTACGTGCTGAATAAGATTGATCAGATCAGCATAGAGGAACTGGAGATTGTCGCTCGGATCCCACACAACTGCCCCATCAGCGCGCATCACGGGTGGAACCTTGACGGCTTACTAGAGTGTGTCTGGGACCACCTCAATTTTATCCGCCTGTACACAAAACCAAAGGGTCAGATGCCCGATTATGACGAGCCGGTTATTTTGAAAAGGACGCCGCAGCCGACAGTAGAGCGGTTCTGTCTGCGTTTGCATCGGCAAATGATGAAGAGCTTTAAGCACGCGTGGGTGTGGGGATCGAGCGTGAAGCATCAGCCGCAGCGTGTTGGAAAGGACCACCTGCTGGAGGACGAGGACGTGGTGCAGGTTGTAAAGAAAGTTTGAGCGCCGAGGAGACAAAAACAATGAGAGAAACGAGGAATGTGAGGGTGAGATGTTAAGAACCAACTAAGGAGACAACGCAGAGGCGTGTGTGAAACCGAAGGAACGAAAAAAAAAAAAAAAAAGGAGGGATAAGAAAAAAAAAAAAAAAAAAAGCGACGGTGCCGGCAGCACGGCATTCCACAGACATCAAGTCAGTTCTCTTGTGAATTGCAATGGCACTGCATGTCCCTTCCTCCGTAAAACGCTAATGTGCATGCATGTTATTTTCTTTTTCCTAATTACTCTTGTTTTTGAAGGTTTAAGGCATTAATTAAAATAATAATAATAATAATAATAATAATAATAATAATAATAATAATAATAATAAGGAAGAAGAAGGAATACCTATATAGGGCCGGCTATTAGTTTCCGAATCTCTCTCTCTTTCTCCATCTTCTTCTCATCTCCTTTCTCCCGTTGTAAGATCCGCATTAGCCTTTGTATTTGTGGCTTTTCTCTCACCCTTCTGTCTTTTTTTTTTTTTTGTCTTTTTGGACCTTTTATTATTATTATTATTATTGACACTTCCCCTCTCTGGATTTTATGTTTTGTCAGCCAAATGCAACATCAGACGGATATTCTAATCTTTATTGGCCCGAGTGGGGGCGGCAAGTCGACGCTGATTGCGTATTTGATGCGGACATGGCCACAACAATTTAGCTTTTGTACAAGTCACACGACACGCAAGCCGCGGTGGGGCGAGGTGGAGGGAAAAGACTACCACTTCGTATCGAGGAATGAATTTAGACATATGATTCACGGCGACATGTTTGTCGAGTACAACAGGGTGTTTAGTTCTTCCAGGCAAGAGGACAGTGCGAGCTCTTGCGCTGGCGGCAGTGGCGGAAGCAGCCCCATCGAATCCGCCGAGGATGACGGGGATTATTATGGCACCTCAAAAGAAGAGCTCCACCGCATTCTGTCCGAGAAGAAAGTTGTGGTTTTGGACACCGACATCACGGGGGCCATTAATGTGAAGAAGTACTGTTCCCGGCTGATCACCAGCGGCAATGGTGCGCAGGCGGCGCCACTGCGGGTTAAGGTTATATTAGTGAAGATACCCAGTCTGGATGTACTCAAGCATCGTCTGCGTCTGCGTGGATCGGAGTCCGATGCGTCGCTGCAGAAGCGCCTTCATGCGGGCCAGAGGTGTCTTGAGTGGTGCGCGGCGCATCCGGAATTTTTTCAGTGTGTTCTTGTGAACAATTCCTTGGACGCCTGCCAGAAGGAGCTGCGTTCGTTTGTGATGAGAAACGTGCTGAAAGTTGACAGCATGCTGTGAAAAGAGGAGGGGCTGGGAAGTGGGATGTTTTGTTTGAGGCGGTGAATGGACATTGGCGCGAGTAAAATAATTCACACAGCACGACAACGTTAAAATAAAACGGAAAATTAAGCGGTTAAAAAACACTTTTAAATGTAAACCAACACGATGGATGAGGAAGAGGAGGGTTTGAGCAAAAGTTTGCTCTTTGCTTATTTAGTGAGTTTACTGTGCTTGCATGCAACATCGGTGTCTCACCATCGAATAGGGGAGAAAAAAAAAAAAAAAACGACTGGAGCTTTGGGATTAACATGCCGTCTGCCGTGGGGGGGGGGGGGGGGGGGATTTTGAGCATAATTAAAGTAGCATGAGGCTGCTCCTTATCTCTTTCTCTCTCTCTCTCTCTCTGTGTGTGTGTGTGTTCTTTTTCTTTTTTTTTTTCTTTTCTTTGTATTCGGGGAGAGGTGGTTTTTTTGTTGTTGTTTTACTTTTTCTGTCCAAAGCTGCAAGAGATTCCGTTTTTTATCCAGGCAGCATAACTCCCGCGCATGTCAGTGCACACACACAAAAGAAATAAGAAATAAAAGAAAATAATTCTTTTTTTTTTTTCTTTTTGAAGTAATTTCTTAAAATTCCTCCAAACTTCTGCCCTCCATTGCGTGGATGTGCTTTTCTGTCTTTGTGCCTCCCCTTGGTTGATGTGTTCTTCAAGAATTGGGATAATTAGGTGGCAGTCGTTTCTTGTTCATGCTTTTCTCTTTCCCCCCGACGCACACAAGAATAATTAGACGGACCCATTAGAAGCCCAACACCCTTTGCGCGCTCGGAAGAGCCTTTTTTTGTTTTTTTTTTTCTCTCATGTCTTCCCAGTCGATGGCTGTTGACGTCCTGGTCAAGGCCTGCCAGGATGGCGACGCGTACAGTGGTCTCCAGACTTTTAAAGCGGCGCTGCAACGCAAAGTTAGACTTCGCGATGAGGCGGCGGCACACGCCATGTTGCTCGAGGCTTTTCAGCAGGCAGCTGTTCCATTCCGCTCCGCGGAGACGGCATCGGAGCTGGTCTCCAAGCTGTTCCCAATATTGAAGGATTTTGGACACAACGGCGACCTTTGGGGCATAGAGAAAGTGCGTGCCATTATCAGTTGCTTTATGAATGTGCCGGAGGGAGAGGTCTCCGTAGCCTGGTGCCAATCCCATGTGCAGTTTGTTGTAAGTGCGCTGGGCTGGTGGCGAGCTGGCAAAAATCCTCAGGATTGCGTGGATGGAGAGACTTCGATTAACTTTTCCGTGTTTTTGAATGAAGCTCTCTGTCACGCCAACATGCGTCTTGCCCATTGCACGGAGGACGACGAGGAGGCCTCGTGTGAGGCGCTTGCAAACGCGTACAAGGCAAGTCTCTGCTGCGCCCTGAACATGGAGCTCATCCTGTCGGTGGTGATGGAGCTCCGCTGCAGGCTCACGGAGACGGAGAGGGTATTCTTAGTTGCACGCACCATACACGGCCTCTTGTCGGCCACGGGTGAAGATATGGGCGTCTCACCGCGCAGGGCACTCGACACCGCGAGGTCAATGCTCTCTCACGAGGCGGTGCCGGCTGAACACGCCGCGCTTGGGAGTTTTCTTCATGACGTGTTATTCATATTTGACTCTGTGCTAAAGACACCAACCCGTCCGTCAGTGGAGCAGCTTGGAGGGAGGGTGATTGAGGCGCTATGCAGAGCGTACGCCACGGCCCTGGAGCCTGTTGCGGACTTGGATTGGGTGGCGCTCTTGCACGCCCTTTGCACGGAGAGTGAATGAATTGTTTCACGCAAGTAGAGTCAAAAAAAAAAAAAAAAGAGAAAAAAGAGAGAGAAAGAGGAAAGGAGAGATACGAGCAGGAAAAAAAAAAAAAAAAAAATTTTTTTTTTTGTGTGTGGAGGTCACGTGCGTCTGTTGAAAAGAGAAACTCAAATAAAGTTGAGAGGTAAAAAAGAATTTAAAAAGGCAAATTCATGAGGGGTCAAACAACACTAAGAAAAATAACAGAATGAAATGTTTGCTTCGGGTTTTAAAAATGATGATTCATTGCCATTAATCCCTTTTTGGTATTTCTCTTTTTGCTTGTTTGTTTGTGTGTGTATGCGGGTTGGAAGGTTTTCCTCCGCGGCGGGGCTTGAATACATACACAGATAGACAGATATCGTCTGCACGGCTAGTGTGGGGAGAGTAATAGTGGTAGGTGGAGGACGGGAGGGAAAATCGTCTCATACGCACACGCGGCCTGATTGTGCTGTGAGGCGTATGGAGGGAGGAGTGACGAGCAGCGCATCCCACGCCCGTGGAGACCTCGTCAGCGGCGATGATGACGCGGGAAGTCAAGTGCAGAACGCTGAAGCGTTGAATCATGACGTCACGCGTAAGGCGTCGTCCTCACCCGCCCCCACCAATAGTACCACCACCGCTGCTGCTGCTGCAGGGACATTGTCAGCGGCGAAGTCCCTCCTTGACATTCGTGAGCGTCGGAATTGGTTAATTCATCAATTCTACGTTCGCCAGGAATATGCGGATTGCCTCAATGTTATTGAGACCCAGCTGCAGGAGAGCGGAGGGGGTTGCGAGTACGCCCTTTACGTCAAGGGACTTCTCAAGAGACGCACTGGGGAACTGACGGAATCCTTCAATCTCTTCCAGGCGGCCATGCTGATCAACCCGCAGAATCCAGCGAATCGGAGGCAAGTCGCTCAAGCCCTTTTTTTTCTTGGAAGACACCGTGCAGCAATTGACATGTTCCACGATGTGGAGCGTTTATGCGAGGCCAACGGCATGGGCAACGACTGGGTCATTCAGTATAGTATTGGTATTTGCTACATGTACCTCAAAGACTACCAGAAGGCGGAGGCGGCATTTGTAAACTCCATCACTATCCAGAATCACGACTGTACTGTGATGCAGTTGGGCAAAGTGCTGGTGCTGCAGCAGGATTATACCAGAGCCATTAGCCTCTACGAGAAATACTTGCTAAAATTCCCCGACAATGCGGATCTTCTGACAGCGTTGGGGCTGTTGTGCCTGAAGGTGGAAAATCCTCCCCAGGCCTTCCACTACTTTGGTAAGTGCCTCACCCTAAACTCATCGAATCCCACGGCGATTATGGCCGCTGCAAGCATCATGCAAGATAACGGGGACTTCAGTGTGGCGCTGAACAAATACCGCGTTGCCGTTTCTAAGCTGCCACATTCTGCACGTTTGTGGAGCAACATTGGAATGTGTTTTTTTGCCCAGCAAAATATGCACGCCGCTGTTGCTTGTTTACGGAGGGCCGCTGCATTGGGGCCCTTCGAATGGCGAATTGCGTACAACATGGGGCTTGTTTTTCTGCATTTGAAGCAATATGCCTCGGCGTTTCACCATCTTTCCGCTTCAACGTACCTTCATGGGAACTACGCCCCTGCCTTTATGCACCTTGGGGTTTGTCTTGCACTCATGAATGATGTGGATAACGCATGTGCAGCCTACACACGTGCACTCTCCATAGAACCGGACCCACTCATCTTGCTGAATTACTGCATCACGCTGCTAAACTGCGGGCAGGAAGAAAAGGCGCGGGAACAACTTGCCAAATTCATGCAGGTATGGCACGAAAAATCCGAAACGCAGCAGCAGGCCTTTGGACCGACGTTTTTACGGATGGTAAGACTCCTCACGGAGCGACTATGTGGCCGCAGCGAGGACGCAAACAGTTCAAGTAGACTACCAACTGAGTGAACATACAAAGTAAAGAAACGAAAGGTGGGGTGGGGTGGCGAGAAGAAAAAAAAAAAACCCGGGAACAAAGAAGAAAAGACGTGATGAACGGGCAGACGGGGCGAGACATGCGACCGCAATGATACAAGATGCGGGTGAAGCCGCCTTCCCTTGTGGTCTTCTCTTTTGTGTGCAATGTGGCGTCTTGGATTTTTTGCTCGGAGAGTTTTCCATGCGCCGCCAGGTCCCTTTATCTTATCACTTGTTACATTCACAAATGATATCATCTCCCTTTCTTTTGGGGATTACATGTCCGTATGAATCTGCGGTGTTTTTCTGCCTCGGATTTTATTTGCTTTTCTCTTCTCCCACCCTTTTTTTTTTTTTTTTGTATTTGGTAACGGGCTCCAAGCCCAGGAAAGCACGTGATCGCGTTACTGGCATAGCTGCAATTATTATACCCATTTTGGAACATCGAAGGAAAACACGTCCGCAAATTTGGATTAACAAACAACTTTAGTAAATTGAGCGAACAAGAACAGAAAGACCGAAATAGAAGAAGGTGTGAGAAGGGAAAAAAAAAAAAAAAGATTTATTTTGGGCGCAGATAGTGAATTTGGTACAATGCGTGTACATCCTGGCTTGGAAATGGATGCAGTGTCTTTGATCCGCGAGGAAATTGTTCGTCTTCGCGAGGAGACCGAGCGGAGCTCTTGCCTTTCGGATGAAAGTTTGTTTCGTGACGCCCGTTCTTCCCTGCTAGGTCTCCTGAACAAAGAGTACGGCGGGTCCTATTTCAAGTTTGTTGTTGGCTTTATGTTGGTCCCTTTTTTTGTGCTCCTCACTGTCATACTTCTGTACCTCTCCGCAAAGATGCTTACTGAATGGATAGCGCTGAGGCGCATATCAGGGCGGATGAGTTGTCATCCTCTCATTCGAGAGGAAATGCACGCTCGGGAGCTGAGTCAGGCGTCGCGCCGCTCCGCCCGTCGACGCACTGCCTTTGTCGTTACATTAAAGTGCGTGATTGCGTCAGCTGTGTTGTTTCTCTTTGTAGGATCACGTGTCATGATGGAAGTGTTGACGCGGGGGTGGATAAAGGGTCTGTTGGTTCCCCTAAGCACCGATGGTTCTTTTGCTGCCACCGAAGATGACTTTGACCCGTGGCTTGAGCTTTACTCTGGAATTGCGATGCTCCTCAGTGTGGACTGGTTCAGGGATATTCAGGGTCTTCTTATCTTCTCCCTGCTTGGTTCCAGCCTCATGGTGGTCGGCCTGCGGCTGCTACGATCCGCCTCGAAGGATGTTGTGTCAATGCGAACCGACTCCATTTCATCGCTGAGGCTGCTGCAGAAGATTGATGATAGGCAAAGGGAACGAGGACAGGAGATCATGCGGAGGCAAATGGCGAGTCTCATATCCATGTTGGCGGAACAAGCAGCGTCGCGTCCAGAAGTTCCAAGGAATGGCAACGTTGTGCCACCATTGTCGGTGGTGGAGAATGGAGGGAACTCATCGGGGGAAGAAGAGGCAAACGGGACTTCCGCGGAGACTAATAGAGAGGAATGAAACCAATAGAGGAGAACAGCAAGCTGTTATGAAGTAAAAAAAAAAAAAAAAAATTTAATATTTATATCTAAATGTATGAATGTAGATGTTCTGCATCTACGTGTGTATGTTGTTTGGGCATGGACGATCCACATATCTCTTTTTCTGCCTGTGGTTCATTTTATGACGCCGCAATGGACAGAGAAGGGGGAGGTGGTTGATGATCCTTTGCATGTATTTGGAATTATTCTGTTTCCCTGTTCTTTTTACATGTGCATTTGTGGGGTGAAAAATGTAAAAGAGGTGTTGATTGGTGAGGAAATGTGTGCGTAACTCTTTTTATTTGGTTCTCGTATTGAATTATGCCGTTGTCAGTTGTTCGTTTTGGTCTTTTTTTTTTTTTTTTTTTAAGGGGAGGGGAAATGTATTAAATGGACGTTTGTTTTTTCATTTATTATATTATTATTATTCGGACTTCTTGACGATATGCAGACGAATAAATGATTTGTGCATGTTCTCGCACCCGGCCCCTAATGATAGCTCGCTGCTGTTGGGTCAGTTAGAGCGTTTTTCCCTCCATCCATCCTTCACCCCATCCACCCAATCCCCCTCCTTCTTCTGTTTTATTGCGCTTTCTCTCTCCCTCTCTCACTTTCTTTCTTTTTTTCTTTTTTTTCATACATGTGACATAATTGTTCCTATCGATTACTGTCAGGAGGGGTGGTGAAAGGACAGGCCGCTGCTGTTTGTAGTGGCGGTGGTTATAGAAGAAATAGGCATAAAAATAAACAACGTGGGAGCTCTGATTCGATATGAACCGCATGGGTGGGTCGGTGTACGCAAACGCCATGGCGCAGTTTGCGATCTGCCGTCAGCCGTGGAATGAGTACATTAACCTCCTCACCAAGCAGGACTCCACGCCCTACCACGTGGAGCCGCAGGAGAAACCGGCCTACCGAGGTCGTAAGCGTGGACGTGAGGGTTGGCTGTTCGGTCAGCAGGTGCAGCTCCATTACCATCGTTTTCCTGACGAGCAATTACTCACGAACCTCACCCGTTGGCGTACAGGGGAAACAGTAGGCGACATTGCCCTTCAACAGTTTCGAAACGCCCAGCCGTTTGATATTGAGGATAAGGACCCGCAGGGGATGCAACGCCCCTCCCCTGAAGTTTACATGAAACTTAATTACAAGAATCCGGCCACCATTTCTCGCTTCTTAACTCGCACAGGACACATGTATCCTGCGGACATTCTTCCCTTAAACCCGGAGGCCGTCGCAAAGCTTCGTGTGGCAAAGGCGCAGGCCGTAAGAATAGGCCTTTACCCACGTTTTGGAAATCCATTTTGGTTTCGCTCGCAGAAGTTCCGACCAAAGGCGTACCAAGAGAACTACGACCCGACGACGTACTCCACTAAGCACACGATGGAGCACTTTGCCTACAATTGGGTGCAGACCGACCGCATTCGGCGATACTTCAAGGAGTTGGAGGAGCTGCAGAAGAACGCGTCGAATGGTGCTCGCGGTGGAAGTGCCACGACGGCGGAACAGAAGCAACAAAATCAATTTTACGCCCCGGAGAATCAGCCTATCTCTATGCATCGCAACAATATATCGTACATGGCGGAGGTGGAGCGTTCCATGAAGAACCCAACGGTCCCGGGACTCATGTCGACAAAGGGCATGAAAAAGAAGTTTCACAACTTGTACTCCTCCACTTCGACGAAACGCATGGGCTTTTCCAACCCAACGTTAGGAATCAAAAAGGTGTGAGCCTTCTTCACTCTCAGGCGGTATTCGTACTCTTGTCATGGGTCCTGTTGTTGGTATTGCTTTTGTGGCACCTCAATAATGGAAGTGTTGGTCTTTTCTGTAGATGAAGTTGCCTTTGTTTTCTTCTAATGCATGCTTTTTTTTTTTTTTTTTTTTTTTTCTTTTTTTTCAAATACTTTTCTTTGTTGTTTTTCTTGTTGCTCCGAAGCTTATTGCAATCTGAGAAAAAGCAAAGCGAATCCACGCATATATTATTTTTGCATTGCCAGATGAATATCAAGGAACTCAGCCTTCATGAACTGTGCGAGGAGCTCAAGACTCCAGCGTGGAATGTGCCGCTTACCTTCGTTGGTGATGTTGGCGGAACGAGCGCCCGCATGGGTTTTGTGCGTGAAGGAAAGAACGATTCTGTTCATGCTTGCGTCACGCGGTACTCCATGAAGCGCAAGGACATCACAGAGCTTATTGAATTTTTTAATGAGATCATTGAATTGATGCCTGCATCGGTAATAAAACGGGTGAAGGCGGGCGTCATCAATGTACCCGGGCCTGTCACGGGCGGTGCTGTGGGTGGACCGTTCAACAATCTGAAGGGAATTGCGCGTCTTTCAGATTACCCGAAGGCACTTTTCCCGCCGGGCCGCAGTGCCATTCTTAATGACCTTGAAGCAGGGGGCTTTGGTGTGTTGGCCGTCAGTGATGCACATGTTTTTTCGGAGTACTTCGGAGTCATGTGGGAAGGCACACAGTGGCGCACGTGTGAGCAGGAGCCGGCAGGGTCCGTTATTGGCCGTGGTCGCTGCCTCGTCTTGGCTCCTGGTACGGGGCTTGGTTCCTCCCTCATCTACTACAATCCCATGAACCAGCAGCACATCGTCGTTCCACTGGAGCTTGGCTCGCAGACTATCCCGATGCGGAAGGATATTGACTACATCCAGACCCTCCACGCAGAGCTGAAGCTTCTTCCCAACTACGAGAACATGGTAAGTGGGGCAGGGCTGGAGTTCCACTACAGGCAGGTGGTGCGTGGGAGCAGGCCGCCGTGCTCGGCCGGAGAGATTGCGAAGCTCGCAAGTGAGGGCGACGCGAACGCCTGCAAGGCAATGAAGAAGTACCACGAGTACCTCATGCGCGTTGGCAGTGAGGCGAGCATGGCCCTTTTGCCTCTCACTATTGTCCTTGTCGGAGACAACATCGTGAATAACGCGTTCTTCTATAGAAACCCACAGAACTTGAAGGAGATGCATCGCGAAGCACTCAACCATGAGATGGAGCGCTTCGGTTTCCAGAGTCGTGTGACGTACCTGCGGCAGAAGAAGTTACTCAACCTGAACCTGATGGGCTGCTACCGGTGCGGTTTGGACCTCTCCGTGGGGAAAAAGCAGAAGGCGCAACTTTAGTCATGCCGAGAAGAAAATCTCCTGGACGCATTCACGTGTGCGAATGAAGTTACACCTGTTTATTATTATTATTATTATTATTATTTTATGCAAATGGACAAAAGAAAACGAGAAAAAAAAAAACAACTTTTTAATCAAAAGACGAAGAACAACAGGAATATATATATATATATATATATATATATAAAGAGGGAAAATGGACAATGCATCTTTTTTTTTTTCTGCCCACTCATTCACTGTGCTTTTTCCTTTGATTTTGATGCATTTTGTGCGTTCCCCCTGTTTTTATTATCATTATTTCCCCGGTTACTTTTTTTTTTTTTTTACGTGCGTCCATGCGTCTGTGTGTATGCGTGCGTACTTGGGTGGGGTGGTTTTTTTTGTTTGTTTCTTGTTTTACATGTATTATCTTACCAGCAATTGTGGCTACATCGTATGTGGCGTTGGTAGGCGACGATGGAATGTGGGCGGCGTTGATAAGTGGCCCCATATTTTTTCTTTTTTTTTGTCCTTTTGGCCGGATTTCATTTGAACGCCTTCCCTCTCTCTCTCCACACACACACACAAAAAAAAAAAAAAAAAAAACATCTTCCCCACTAGGAAAACGAAGAAGAAGAATAATAAGAAGAATAAAAATATTTTTATTTTGCTTAAAAAAAAAAAAAAAAAAAAGGAACCCTCTTGGGTTTCCCTCTTGTTATTTTGTTTTGCGACTTGTGGGCCGACAGGCAAAAAGAACGGGAGTATGAGCACACACTGGACGGAGACGGTGGAATCGCATTGGGCGGTTTGTTTGTTTTTTGTTTTTTCAATTATTAGCACGACGTGGTGTGCCGCTCAGAAAAAATTGAGGGAGGAAGAGGAAGAGGAAAAGAAAAGAAAAAAAGAAGTAAGAAATGTTAAATGGGAATTATTGCGGGATACCCGCTGGGCCGGTGGGGGATCTTCCTCCTTTTTACGTTACCTTCTCCCTGTGTGTTGGTGCGTAACTCCAACTCGCGTTGCTTTTTAATGAAGCGTTTGAAGAGCCGTTTTTTTTTACTGTTATTTTTTTTTTTTTTTTTTTTGAATGGTGACGTGGGCGCTGCGCACGGCCTGATGGTCAAGAGGGTAGGCAATGGACGAATCAAAACTGGTTCCCGCGGACCTTGCGAGGAAACGGGAGATGTGGGAAGATGTTCAGCGGCAACTGGCGGGTCTTGTTCGCGTGCCACACATTTTGGAGTCGTTGGAGCAGTGCACAGAAGAAGACACGAAAGAAATGATCTTTTTTACTCCCACATTTGCGCTTCCGCAAGGCCTATTGGATGAGTTTTACGCGTCTGCCGTACTTGGCCCACAGTTGCGGCGTGAGGCTGAGAGCAGGAAACTCGCATTGCCTTCATCTCTCTTGCCGCTGCGGCACGTGGGTGGGGTAGACGTTTCTTTTTTAAAAGGGACAAATCTCGCTGTGGCCTGTCTAGTTGTCATGGAGTACCCAAATATGCGGCGGTGTCGCACGGTTTACCATCAGTGCGAGGTAACGGAGCCTTATATACCGGGATTTTTGGCCTTTCGCGAGGTTGTGCCACTCGTCGAGCTGATGAATAAATTTCGAGATGGGAATTGTGCAGAGGATATGTCTGTTTATCCGCAGCTTTTACTTGTGGATGGTTGTGGAGTTCAACACCCGCTTCGCTGTGGACTCGCCAGTCACTTGGGTGTTGTTTTAGACATCCCCACGGTTGGCTGCGCGAAAAACTTTATGGCTGTGGACGGCATGACACGCAAGTCCATGCAGTGTCTTTTTGAGGCCAATGACGAAGATGGCGGTGGCTCTAAAAGAAGGACGATGGCACCGTTCGTGAAGTCAATGATTGGGCAGAGCGGAACGCTGTGGGGCTATGCTGCCACACCAAACGCCGGTGTGAAGAAGCCCATCTTCATCTCCCCTGGTCATCTTGTCGGATACGCTGAAGCAGCCGCGTTGGTGCTTTCCATGTGTAAACACCGCATCCCTGAGCCCATTCGTGCTGCCGACTTTAGTTCCCGCGAGTACATTCGCCGGATGGCTCGGAAGTGAAGTGAAAAACGGAGTTCGCCGGAATGTGGCTGGCTCTGTTGCGTCATTGTGTTGGGTGGCGTATTGCACAATAAGCTTCCGCGAGTGGGTGAGAGGGGGACGAAAAGAAGACGCGGGAGGGAAGCGTTTGTATGATTTTCTCTCTTTTTAGCTTTTTTCTTGCCTTTGATTTTGTTGTTGGGCTTTTTCCTTTTTGAACAATTAAAAGAAAAAAATAAAGAATAAACTGTAGTTTTTTTTTGGGGAGCGGGGGAGAGCGGAATGATTTTTTTTCTCTTCGTGTGCATCACGGGGTGGTTCTTCTGGTCCATTTATGGCTGCTTTGCGTACCGCTGCAGGTCGGTTGCGGGGAAAACGGTTCTGATCGTTGGTGGCGCCTCGCTGGTGGGTGGATGTCTCGTCAGGCGGTTTATGCAGCTCAATGCCAATGTGATTGTGTGGGATAGCCAGAAGAAGAAATTGGATCAGCTTCTGCGGGAGTTCGGTTGCACCAACGAGAAGGAAGAGCAGGCGGAGACGCGGGAATGCTCTCCTAGCGGCGACACACCGAAGAAGTTAAAGGGGGGAGAGATGGGCGCCGGGACGCAGCTCACGGCAAACTTGGTTGATTTGACAAACCGCGTTCAATTGCAACGTGTAGCAAAGCTACTGGGGCCTGTTCACGTTGTTGTGAATGTCGCAGATGCGTGTGTCTCGAGACATTTTTTTGAACGAAACGATGAATCTAGTGAAAGGATCCTGTTGGGCAATGTACTCTGCTCGATTGTTCTTGCTAGGGCATTATTGCCTGGCATGCTGCGGCAGAAGGATGGTCACTTTGTCACCATAACCAATGCAGCAGGGGTGGTGGGAGTCGCAAGGCATCCTGACTATGCCGCCTCGCACTGGGCCTCCGTTGGGGCACACGAAAGTCTACAAATGATGATTAGGGAGATGGGGGGAAGTGGAAAGGTGCGCACAACGCTGTTTTGCCTCTGTAGTGATTTGCGAGTAGCCCCGGCCGCATCGTGCGTGTCAACTAGCGATGACAACAAGGTGGTTGATGATAAAATGGACCCAAAGTCTCCCACAGGAAGTCTACTTGTCGTATCGCCCTTCTGTAAACGCCCTGTCACTCCCGAAGACGTGGCGGAGCGCTGCATTTGGGCCGTACGTCATGGCGTGGAGAGAGTGTACATGCCACGTATTTTTGTCTTATTTCCGCTACTTCGCGTATTGCCTGTGCCGTGGCTTATGTCGATGATTTCTCCGCGTGCGTTGTGGAAGCCTTCACCCAAGAGTTGAGGCCCACATGTCGCCTTCCTGCCACCTTAAAGGACGAAGAAGGTGTAAGAATGTGCCGTTAAGCGATTTCATCTCACCCGCATGTTTTTTGCCTGTTTTATGCGCGGCACCGCATATTTCTTTTTGTTGTTGTTGTTTTCCAACCTTCTTTTCCCCCGATGCTCCTGTTTTTGTTTCCCACCCACCCGCTCCGTCTCTCGCTGTTGGAGGAAGACACGAGAGAACAAGGAAGGACAAAAGAGAGACGGAAATAAAAGAAGTGGCCAAAAAAAGAAAATAATAATAAACAATGGAATCATGGAAGGTGCTGGAACCCTCGACGATGTCGAAGCGGGGTGTGAACACACTGGAGTGCATTACTCTCCGCAAGTCCAAGGCGCCTGCCAACAAGTCTCAACTTAAATTCTCCGTCGGCGATCCCACGCATGACGGCAACCTTGTGGCGCCGCCCTCTGCCGTTGACGCTTTGGTGCGGTGTGTGGAGGGCAACAAGTGCAACGGGTATCCGCAAATGACGGGGCGGCCAGATGCACGCGAGGCGGTGGCGCAATACTGGGGAAAAAACTTTGCGCCTCAACAGTCAGCGCACTGCAAGGGAGAGAATGTTGTGTTTGGATGTGGCGTCTCGGATGTGTTCATCGTTTCTTTGACGTCATTGTGTGACGAGGGAGACAACATCCTCATCCCGAAGCCGTGCTTCTCCTTCTATGATTTCGCGTGTGAACTCTACTCGGTGGAAGCGCGCCACTATCTTTGCAATCATGAGAAGGACTGGGAGATTGACTTTGACCACCTGCGGAGCCTCGTTGACGGCAGGACGAAGGCGATTCTGATGAACAATCCGTCGAACCCATGCGGCAGCAACTTTTCACGACAACACATTGCGGACCTCATTCGTGTTTGCGAGGAACTTCACCTCCCGTTGATCGCGGATGAAATCTATGCGGGCCTGGTGTTTTCAGGCGAGACGTTCACCTCCGTGGCGGACTTTGACACGCCGGTGCCGCGCTTCATTTTGGGAGGTCTTTCAAAAGTTTTTATGGTTCCCGGATGGCGCCTTGGGTGGGCTCTTCTCATGGACACGCACGGCCACGCCGGGGATGTCATGCGTGGGATGCAAAACCTCAGCACCGTGGCGCTGGGCCCATGTGCAGTGTTACAGGGGGCACTGCCGGAGATTTTGTCCCAGACGCCGGAGTCGTACTTTAAAAGGAACGCGGAGGAACTGCGTGAGAACGCCGTTGCGCTTGCAAACGCGATTCAACAATGCCACGGCCTATCGTGTGCGGTACCGCAGGGATCGATGTTCATCATGGTGGGGGTCGACACCAAACTTTTCAAGGACATCACGAATGACACGGAGTTCTACGAGATGCTCGAGGACGAGGAGAATGTGCAGGTTGTCCCTGGCGAGGACCTTCACATGCCGGGTTACTTCCGCATTGTTGTGTCGCGTCCAAAGAAAATTGTGGATGAGGTCGCTGCACGCATTCATGACTTTTGCGAGCGACACAAAAAAGCGGTTTAAAAGGGGAGAAAAAAGAAAAAAATTCGGGGAGGGGTGTGAAGGAAAAGAAGAAGAGAAAAAAAAAAAAAAAGGAAATGTTGTGAACACGCGGTGCGGTTGAGGGAGAAGGAGATGGAAGAGGGGCGGATGTAAAAAGTCCCAGCAAAAGGTCATTCCAATACACATGGATACGAGCATTTATGTACGCATCTTTATAGTCAGTGGATATATGTGTTAAAAGGGGTCCGGGCTTCTGTGTGAAAAGCGGGAATTGGCGCTGCGGAGAAGGAATTCGGTAAACACACTCACATGTTAATTCGTTGGAAGGGAGTTTACTTCTTGTGCAGGCTTGGAACAGTTATTTCATGCCCATGCAATTTTTATCCCCCTAAACCTTTTCACTCCTCCTCTACGAATCGTTTACTCCCCCTGTCTTTGTTTTTTTTTTACGTTTGTCTGTTGTTGTTGTTTTTGTTTTATTTTTATTATATTTTTATTTTTTGTGAATTAATTATATATTAATGTATACATCAATGGGTATACATACATTGTTTTTTGGCAAATACAATGCCCGCTAACGTGGTGGTCCCCTCACCCTCCTTCCTCTGGGATGTCGCTGTCGATGGGTAAAAGGATTGTAGGCATTGCCATGGCGCACAAAATTCTCTAAGATTTCATGTCTGTGTCTTTGTGTTTGTGTGTGTGTGGGTGTCTAGGGAGAGGGAGAGGTAGAGGGAGAGTGGTAAAAAGAAAGAAGGAAGCAGATATTGGATGCGTATTGACGAGAAGAGTAAAAAAGGCATTTGTCACGTAACCACAGCATCTGTCCTTCATCAGGCTTCTCCGCAGATCATATCCCTATATCCCTCTCTTTTTCTTTCTTCTATTGTTGCACATGCACAAAAAAATAAATAAAAGAGAAGCATCATTGTAAAAACAAAACAAAAAGTTATAATCCACAAATAATTACTTGTTAGCAGCCACAACATCGTAATCTACTCATCGGTATTCAACGCAAACGTTACCGGACGGGAGGAAGAAAGAAAATGACTGAAGGGAAAAAAGTAACCATCAAGATTGGCATCAATGGATTTGGCCGCATCGGCCGAATGGTCTTCCGCGCCGCGCAACACCGCAACGACATTGAGATTGTTGGCATTAACGATCTGCTGGACGCGGATTACATGGCGTACATGCTGAAGTATGACTCCACGCACGGTCGCTACGGCGGCATGGTGGAGGTGCGGGAAGGCGCTCTCGTCGTCAACGGCAAGAAGATCCGCGTGACAAGTGAGCGCGATCCCGCCAATCTTAAGTGGAATGAGGTCGGCGCGGTGGTCGTGGTCGAGTCGACAGGTCTCTTCCTCACCGATGAGACCGCCCGCAAGCACATTCAGGCCGGCGCAAAGAAGGTCGTCATGACAGGCCCGCCAAAGGACGACACGCCCATGTTTGTCATGGGTGTGAACAACACGATGTACAAAGGACAGGAAATCGTCTCCAACGCCTCGTGCACAACGAACTGCCTTGCGCCGCTTGCGAAGATTATTCATGAGAAATTTGGCATCGTTGAGGGTCTCATGACGACAGTGCATGCCACCACGGCAACACAAAAAACAGTGGATGGTCCGTCGCAGAAAGACTGGCGCGGAGGTCGCGGTGCGGCGCAGAACATCATTCCGTCCGCCACCGGAGCAGCCAAGGCGGTTGGGAAGGTTATTCCCGCGCTGAACGGCAGGCTGACCGGCATGGCGTTCCGTGTGCCGACTCCCAACGTGTCGGTTGTCGACCTCACCGCGCGCCTGGAGAGGCCAGCGACATACGAGCAGATCTGCTCCGCCATCAAGGCAGCCTCTGAAGGGGAGCTGAAAGGCATTCTTGGCTACACGGAGGACGAGGTTGTTTCCACTGACATGAATGGCGTCACGCTGACGTCAGTATTTGACGTCAAGGCCGGTATTTCCCTCAACAATCACTTTGTGAAGCTCATCTCCTGGTACGACAACGAGACTGGGTATTCCCACAAAGTGCTGGACCTCGTTGCCTACATCTCAGCACACTGAAGCAGCGGCCGGAGGGAAAATTTCAAAAGGAAATAACAACGGGTTTGGCGGGGGTGCCAGGAAATGAATGCAAATAAGAAGGGAAAAAAATGTATATGCGAGCAATGAGAGTCATTTAAATGCAAAACGAAGGTTCAAAAACAAGGATCATACTTTGGTTGCTGACCTGCCACAACGGGGTGGATGAAGAGGGCAATGGACGTGTACTGCGTGTGCGCTTGAAGCTGTTAGAGGCCTCTATTTTTGTTATTTTATTTGGCTTGGGTCTCTTTGGTGTGTCCTTTGTTGCTCATCTGTGGCCGTAAACTGAGTTATGTGATTGTGGTTGAGCGGGTGTTGTGCGCAAGTGGAATGGGCGGTCTTTCCGCACCGCCAGGGGTCAGCTGCGTGTGCGATCACCCACGCACTCCCCGCTAATGATCTCGCACTGCGGCAGCACGTGATGAGGAGCTTCTTATGTATGTAACTCGGGAAATCTGAGTGTGTCACTGAAGAGCCAACGGAGAAATCGTTAGATAGTGACGCTGATGCCGCCCAGCCCAACCGCCTCCACGAGACCGTGCCCGCCATCCCCTTTAATAGCGAGCGGACCCTCAGTGCGTCACCGCGAGCCGCTTGTCTACACCGGGGGGAGAGAAGTGAGGTGGGAGAGAAGAGGACAGCAAGGATGTCTGCCGCCGCTGTGCACACACCGACACACACACACACACAAATAGTGCCTGTTCCGCTCCGTACTTGACGTTTCTGTGCCTTTTTGTTTCACATTGCGATATCTGTTTGTTGATGTGTTGTTACGCTTTTTTTGTTTGCACCGACTTCCCCTGCTTCCGTGCGGTATTCCTCCGTGGCATTTGGGTGTTGTGCAAAGGTTAGGTTTAGAGAAGCATCAGTGCAACCCGTAACTGTGGAAAGTAAATAAAACAATAAAAACATCGATAAAACGCAAAATGAGCTCGTGGGATGTTTCCATGTCGAACCATGCGGGTCTCGTGTTCAACCCCATTCGCACCGTTTCGGACAACGCGAAACCGTCGCCGTCTCCGAAGCCGATTATTAAGCTCTCCGTCGGTGACCCGACGCTGGACAAGAACCTTCTCACGTCGGCAGCCCAAATCAAGAAGCTGAAGGAGGCGATCGACTCACAGGAGTGCAACGGCTACTTCCCGACGGTGGGCTCCCCAGAAGCCCGCGAAGCTGTCGCGACATGGTGGCGCAACTCGTTTGTCCACAAGGAAGAACTGAAGAGCACGATCGTGAAGGATAACGTGGTGCTCTGCTCTGGCGGGTCGCATGGCATTCTGATGGCCATCACGGCGATCTGTGACGCGGGTGACTACGCCCTGGTGCCCCAGCCGGGCTTCCCCCACTACGAGACGGTGTGCAAGGCGTACGGCATCGGCATGCACTTTTACAATTGTCGGCCGGAGAACGACTGGGAGGCCGACCTTGACGAGATCCGGAGGCTCAAGGACGATAAGACGAAGCTGCTCATTGTAACGAACCCGTCCAACCCGTGCGGCAGCAACTTCAGCCGCAAACACGTCGAGGACATTGTGCGGCTTGCCGAGGAACTGCGTCTGCCCCTCTTTTCGGACGAGATCTACGCTGGCATGGTCTTCAAGGGCAAGGATCCAAACGCGACCTTCACGTCTGTGGCTGACTTTGAGACCACGGTGCCGCGCGTGATTTTGGGTGGCACTGCGAAGAACCTCGTTGTTCCCGGGTGGCGGCTGGGATGGCTGCTCTACGTGGATCCACACGGCAACGGCCCCAGCTTCCTGGATGGTCTGAAGCGCGTGGGGATGTTGGTCTGTGGGCCATGCACGGTTGTCCAGGCAGCCCTTGGCGAGGCCCTCCTCAACACTCCGCAGGAGCACCTTGATCAGATCGTTGCCAAAATCGAGGAAAGCGCCATGTACCTGTACAATCACATTGGTGAGTGTATCGGCCTGGCTCCGACGATGCCGCGGGGAGCAATGTACTTGATGTCGAGGATTGATTTGGAGAAGTACAGAGACATCAAGACCGACGTGGAGTTCTTCGAGAAGCTGCTCGAGGAGGAAAACGTGCAGGTGCTGCCTGGAACCATCTTCCATGCACCAGGCTTCACGCGGTTAACGACGACGCGGCCCGTTGAGGTATACCGTGAGGCTGTTGAGCGCATCAAGGCGTTCTGCCAGCGTCACGCGGCCGTTTAGCCGCAGAGGGTTCATTCCGCGACCGGCGTCAGGCAACACGACGCATCCAAGGCGTAATTAGTGTTTTCCATCATCCATTTATTTAATGAAATCATTTACCTGGTTAATTTTATCTGCGGTAGGGCGGGGGTATGCGTATGTGTGGACGGGAGTACTGTTTAACACTGCGGCTTTTGTGTTCTTTTTTTGTTTTGTTTTGTTTTTGTGTGGGGAATGGGCTTTACTGGTCCGTTGAGCAATCGTGGTAAGAAGTAAAAGAAAAAAAAACGTCGAATCTCTTTTGGTTTAACATCTTTTTTTTTTTTTTTTTTTTTGGGTTTTATTTTATTCCTTATGATGTGGGGGGGGGGGGGCATTTTTGTCCTCTTACCATTTTCCTGCTTGACATGCCGCCTCTTTTGGTCCCGGATCGCTGCCCGTCCGTGCGCCCGAGTGTGTGGCATTCCAATCTTTTCCTTCCTCCTTTCCCTTCGCTGTTTTTTTTTTTGTTTTTTTTTTTTTTTGTGGACCCACAGTCTGTCCCGCAAGGAATTGTTGTAATGGCTTATTGATTTGGCAGCACGTGCCCTGTAAGGCGTGCCCCCAGACCTCGTGGTGCTGTGCCGTGCCCCAGCAAGACGCAGCTGGTCCGGGCGCTGGTTTTGATGCCGTCAGCCCCGCGCCAACAACGACGACCCCGTGAGGGAAACATTGCTGGCTCCTGGCTTCCCCCGACAATACGGAGCAATTGACCCTGGCACCACGCTGAGGCGGCCGGAGGGAAAATTCCGAAAGGAAATAACAACGGGTTTGGCGGGGGTGCCAGGAAATGAAGGCAAATAAGAAGGGAAAAAATTGTATATGCGAGCAATGAGAGTCATTTAAATGCAAAACGAAGGTTCAAAAACAAGGATCATACTTTGGTTGCTGACCTGCCACAACGGGGTGGATGAAGAGGGCAATGGACGTGTACTGCGTGTGCGCTTGAAGCTGTTAGAGGCCTCTATTTTTGTTATTTTATTTGGCTTGGGTCTCTTTGGTGTGTCCTTTGTTGCTCATCTGTGGCCGTAAACTGAGTTATGTGATTGTGGTTGAGCGGGTGTTGTGCGCAAGTGGAATGGGCGGTCTTTCCGCACCGCCAGGGGTCAGCTGCGTGTGCGATCACCCACGCACTCCCCGCTAATGATCTCGCACTGCGGCAGCACGTGATGAGGAGCTTCTTATGTATGTAACTCGGGAAATCTGAGTGTGTCGCTGAAGAGCCAACGGAGAAATCGTTAGATAGTGACGCTGATGCCGCCCAGCCCAACCGCCTCCACGAGACCGTGCCCGCCATCCCCTTTAATAGCGAGCGGACCCTCAGTGCGTCACCGCGAGCCGCTTGTCTACACCGGGGGAGAGAGAAGTGAGGTGGGAGAGAAGAGGACAGCGAGGATGTCTGCCGCCGCTGTGCACACACCGACACACACACACACACAACTAGTGCCTGTTCCGCTCCGTACTTGACGTTTCTGTGCCTTTTTGTTTCACATTGCGATATCTGTTTGTTGATGTGTTGTTACGCTTTTTTTGTTTGCACCGACTTCCCCTGCTTCCGTGCGGTATTCCTCCGTGGCATTTGGGTGTTGTGCAAAGGTTAGGTTTAGAGAAGCATCAGTGCAACCCGTAACTGTGGAAAGTAAATAAAACAATAAAAACATCGATAAAACGCAAAATGAGCTCGTGGGATGTTTCCATGTCGAACCATGCGGGTCTCGTGTTCAACCCCATTCGCACCGTTTCGGACAACGCGAAACCGTCGCCGTCTCCGAAGCCGATTATTAAGCTCTCCGTCGGTGACCCGACGCTGGACAAGAACCTTCTCACGTCGGCAGCCCAAATCAAGAAGCTGAAGGAGGCGATCGACTCACAGGAGTGCAACGGCTACTTCCCGACGGTGGGCTCCCCAGAAGCCCGCGAAGCTGTCGCGACATGGTGGCGCAACTCGTTTGTCCACAAGGAAGAACTGAAGAGCACGATCGTGAAGGATAACGTGGTGCTCTGCTCTGGCGGGTCGCATGGCATTCTGATGGCCATCACGGCGATCTGTGACGCGGGTGACTACGCCCTGGTGCCCCAGCCGGGCTTCCCCCACTACGAGACGGTGTGCAAGGCGTACGGCATCGGCATGCACTTTTACAATTGTCGGCCGGAGAACGACTGGGAGGCCGACCTTGACGAGATCCGGAGGCTCAAGGACGATAAGACGAAGCTGCTCATTGTAACGAACCCGTCCAACCCGTGCGGCAGCAACTTCAGCCGCAAACACGTCGAGGACATTGTGCGGCTTGCCGAGGAACTGCGTCTGCCCCTCTTTTCGGACGAGATCTACGCTGGCATGGTCTTCAAGGGCAAGGATCCAAACGCGACCTTCACGTCTGTGGCTGACTTTGAGACCACGGTGCCGCGCGTGATTTTGGGTGGCACTGCGAAGAACCTCGTTGTTCCCGGGTGGCGGCTGGGATGGCTGCTCTACGTGGATCCACACGGCAACGGCCCCAGCTTCCTGGATGGTCTGAAGCGCGTGGGGATGTTGGTCTGTGGGCCATGCACGGTTGTCCAGGCAGCCCTTGGCGAGGCCCTCCTCAACACTCCGCAGGAGCACCTTGATCAGATCGTTGCCAAAATCGAGGAAAGCGCCATGTACCTGTACAATCACATTGGTGAGTGTATCGGCCTGGCTCCGACGATGCCGCGGGGAGCAATGTACTTGATGTCGAGGATTGATTTGGAGAAGTACAGAGACATCAAGACCGACGTGGAGTTCTTCGAGAAGCTGCTCGAGGAGGAAAACGTGCAGGTGCTGCCTGGAACCATCTTCCATGCACCAGGCTTCACGCGGTTAACGACGACGCGGCCCGTTGAGGTATACCGTGAGGCTGTTGAGCGCATCAAGGCGTTCTGCCAGCGTCACGCGGCCGTTTAGCCGCAGAGGGTTCATTCCGCGACCGGCGTCAGGCAACACGACGCATCCAAGGCGTAATTAGTGTTTTCCATCATCCATTTATTTAATGAAATCATTTACCTGGTTAATTTTATCTGCGGTAGGGCGGGGGTATGCGTATGTGTGGACGGGAGTACTGTTTAACACTGCGGCTTTTGTGTTCTTTTTTTGTTTTGTTTTGTTTTTGTGTGGGGAATGGGCTTTACTGGTCCGTTGAGCAATCATGGTAAGAAAAGAAAAAAAAAAAACGTCGAATCTCTTTTAGTTTAACATCTTTTTTTTTTTTTTTTTGGGTTTTATTTTATTTCTTATGATGTGAGAGGCCCATTTTTGTCCTCTTACCATTTTCCTGCTTGACATGCCGCCTCTTTTGGTTCCGGATCGCTGCCCGTCCGTGCGCCCGCGTGTGCGGCATTCCCGTCCTTTCTTTCCTCCTTTCCCTTCGCTTTTTTTTTTGTTTGTGGACCCACAGTCTGTCTCTCAAGGAATTGTTGTAATGGCTTATTGATTTGGCAGCACGTGCCCTGTAAGGCGTGCCCCCAGACCTCATGGTGCTGTGCCGTGCCCCAGCAAGACACAGCTGGTCCGGGCGCTGGTTTTGATGCCGTCAGCCCCGCGCCAACAACGACGACCCCGTGAGGGAAACATTGCTGGCTCCTGGCTTCCCCCGACAATACGGAGCAATTGACCCTGGCACCGCGCTGAGGCGGCCGGAGGGAAAATTCCGAAAGGAAATAACAACGGGTTTGGCGGGAGTGCCAGGAAATGAATGCAAATAAGAAGGGAAAAAAATGTATATGCGAGCAATGAGAGTCATTTAAATGCAAAACGAAGGTTCAAAAACAAGGATCATACTTTGGTTGCTGACCTGCCACAACGGGGTGGATGAAGAGGGCAATGGACGTGTACTGCGTGTGCGCTTGAAGCTGTTAGAGGCCTCTATTTTTGTTATTTTATTTGGCTTGGGTCTCTTTGGTGTGTCCTTTGTTGCTCATCTGTGGCCGTAAACTGAGTTATGTGATTGTGGTTGAGCGGGTGTTGTGCGCAAGTGGAATGGGCGGTCTTTCCGCACCGCCAGGGGTCAGCTGCGTGTGCGATCACCCACGCACTCCCCGCTAATGATCTCGCACTGCGGCAGCACGTGATGAGGAGCTTCTTATGTATGTAACTCGGGAAATCTGAGTGTGTCACTGAAGAGCCAACGGAGAAATCGTTAGATAGTGACGCTGATGCCGCCCAGCCCAACCGCCTCCACGAGACCGTGCCCGCCATCCCCTTTAATAGCGAGCGGACCCTCAGTGCGTCACCGCGAGCCGCTTGTCTACACCGGGGGAGAGAGAAGTGAGGTGGGAGAGAAGAGGACAGCGAGGATGTCTGCCGCCGCTGTGCACACACCGACACACACACACACACAACTAGTGCCTGTTCCGCTCCGTACTTGACGTTTCTGTGCCTTTTTGTTTCACATTGCGATATCTGTTTGTTGATGTGTTGTTACGCTTTTTTTGTTTGCACCGACTTCCCCTGCTTCCGTGCGGTATTCCTCCGTGGCATTTGGGTGTTGTGCAAAGGTTAGGTTTAGAGAAGCATCAGTGCAACCCGTAACTGTGGAAAGTAAATAAAACAATAAAAACATCGATAAAACGCAAAATGAGCTCGTGGGACGTTTCCATGTCGAACCATGCGGGTCTCGTGTTCAACCCCATTCGCACCGTTTCGGACAACGCGAAACCGTCGCCGTCTCCGAAGCCGATTATTAAGCTCTCCGTCGGTGACCCGACGCTGGACAAGAACCTTCTCACGTCGGCAGCCCAAATCAAGAAGCTGAAGGAGGCGATCGACTCACAGGAGTGCAACGGCTACTTCCCGACGGTGGGCTCCCCAGAAGCCCGCGAAGCTGTCGCGACATGGTGGCGCAACTCGTTTGTCCACAAGGAAGAACTGAAGAGCACGATCGTGAAGGATAACGTGGTGCTCTGCTCTGGCGGGTCGCATGGCATTCTGATGGCCATCACGGCGATCTGTGACGCGGGTGACTACGCCCTGGTGCCCCAGCCGGGCTTCCCCCACTACGAGACGGTGTGCAAGGCGTACGGCATCGGCATGCACTTTTACAATTGTCGGCCGGAGAACGACTGGGAGGCCGACCTTGACGAGATCCGGAGGCTCAAGGACGATAAGACGAAGCTGCTCATTGTAACGAACCCGTCCAACCCGTGCGGCAGCAACTTCAGCCGCAAACACGTCGAGGACATTGTGCGGCTTGCCGAGGAACTGCGTCTGCCCCTCTTTTCGGACGAGATCTACGCTGGCATGGTCTTCAAGGGCAAGGATCCAAACGCGACCTTCACGTCTGTGGCTGACTTTGAGACCACGGTGCCGCGCGTGATTTTGGGTGGCACTGCGAAGAACCTCGTTGTTCCCGGGTGGCGGCTGGGATGGCTGCTCTACGTGGATCCACACGGCAACGGCCCCAGCTTCCTGGATGGTCTGAAGCGCGTGGGGATGTTGGTCTGTGGGCCATGCACGGTTGTCCAGGCAGCCCTTGGCGAGGCCCTCCTCAACACTCCGCAGGAGCACCTTGATCAGATCGTTGCCAAAATCGAGGAAAGCGCCATGTACCTGTACAATCACATTGGTGAGTGTATCGGCCTGGCTCCGACGATGCCGCGGGGAGCAATGTACTTGATGTCGAGGATTGATTTGGAGAAGTACAGAGACATCAAGACCGACGTGGAGTTCTTCGAGAAGCTGCTCGAGGAGGAAAACGTGCAGGTGCTGCCTGGAACCATCTTCCATGCACCAGGCTTCACGCGGTTAACGACGACGCGGCCCGTTGAGGTATACCGTGAGGCTGTTGAGCGCATCAAGGCGTTCTGCCAGCGTCACGCGGCCGTTTAGCCGCAGAGGGTTCATTCCGCGACCGGCGTCAGGCAACACGACGCATCCAAGGCGTAATTAGTGTTTTCCATCATCCATTTATTTAATGAAATCATTTACCTGGTTAATTTTATCTGCGGTAGGGCGGGGGTATGCGTATGTGTGGACGGGAGTACTGTTTAACACTGCGGCTTTTGTGTTCTTTTTTTGTTTTGTTTTGTTTTTGTGTGGGGAATGGGCTTTACTGGTTCGTTGAGCAATCATGGTAAGAAAAGAAAAAAAAAAAACGTCGAATCTCTTTTAGTTTAACATCTTTTTTTTTTTTTTTTTGGGTTTTATTTTATTTCTTATGATGTGAGAGGCCCATTTTTGTCCTCTTACCATTTTCCTGCTTGACATGCCGCCTCTTTTGGTTCCGGATCGCTGCCCGTCCGTGCGCCCGCGTGTGCGGCATTCCCGTCCTTTCTTTCCTCCTTTCCCTTCGCTTTTTTTTTTGTTTGTGGACCCACAGTCTGTCTCTCAAGGAATTGTTGTAATGGCTTATTCATTTGGCGATTTGAGGTGTTCAAAACGTGCTGAACGTTGTCAAAACAAACTGAAGTCTTTTGTGTCTGAGTTGCTCAGCGCCTCAGCTGCTGGTTCATCTGGAAAGGGTTTAATTTCGCTTGCGGTTGGAGATCCCGCGCTTGATGGTAATTTTCTTCCGCCGCCAATTCTGACGTCGAATTTTGTTAAGTGCGCGAAATCCAATATCTGCAATGGATATTGCCCATGTTTTGGGCTTAATGAGACGTGTAAGTCCATTGGAAAGTACTGGAAGACGAATTTCGCCCCGTCTATGAAGGGAGAAGTCGCTGCTGACCATGTCATTGTGGCGTCGGGTTCCTCAGATGCGTTGTCGATGTGTTTTGGTGCCTTGTGCGACGATGGTGATAATATTTTGCTTCCGGCACCCTTTTTTGCACACTACGATACCATTTGTTCTTACTATAACATTCAAACGAGGTTTTATCACTGCAATCATGAGAAGAACTGGGAGATTGACTTTGACCACCTGCGGAGCCTCGTTGACGGCAGGACGAAGGCGATTCTGATGAACAATCCGTCGAACCCGTGCGGCAGTAACTTTTCACGACAACACATTGCGGACCTCATTCGTGTTTGCGAGGAACTTCACCTCCCGTTGATCGCGGATGAAATCTACGCGGGCCTGGTGTTTTCAGGCGAGAAGTTCACCTCCGTGGCGGACTTTGACACGCCGGTGCCTCTTTTTGTTGTGAGTGGTCTCTCCAAACGGTTCAACGTGCCAGGGTATCGCTTTGGCTGGGTGGTTGTGGTGGATCGGGATGGTTACGGCGCAAAACTACTGAAAGGGGTGCGAAAACTGGCCACCCGTACTCTGATGCCCAACTCGCTCTTGCAACATGCTGTCGTGAGTGCCCTTGAGGAGACGCCACAGAGTTTTTTTGAGGACTGTGCGAATCGCATGGAGGCGGGGGCGATGGTGCTTTACAACGGCCTCAAGGACTGTCCCGGGCTGAAGTTGGTGCGGCCACGTGGTTCGATGTTTATGTCTGTCGTTCTCGCCTTTGAGGAATTGGACTGCAGCGTACGGTCGGACGTGGAGTTTTCCAGGAGGCTTGCGGAGGAGGAAAATGTTCACGTATTCCCGGGCGAGCCTTTTAATATGCCAGGAGCTTTGCGGATAACTATTTCTCGATCCTTGCCAATGTTACACGAAGCTGTCCAGCGCATTCAATCCTTTTGTGAGAGGCATCGGCGCGCCTAGTGAGAAAATGAATTGGTTGCGATGCTGTGGTATAGAGAGGACTATGAAAGCAGTTAAAGTTAGCAGATGTTAGGGTAATCCTTTCCAAAAAACTTTTGTTTTTATTTTTTAGTTATTTATTTTTATTTTTTTCTTTTTACCATAACGGTAATGGGGAATGGGTGTTGCCTGTGGATGAAGAGCTCGCAAATACATGTACTCCCTTTCTCGCCCGCTCATTTTATTTTTATAACAAAAAAGAAAAAAAGAATTAAATGTTGTTTTCGTTCTATTATTGGTGTTGTAATTGCGTGCGCGTCTGTTTGTCTTTTTGGTTATTGTTTGTTGTTTGTTTTTTGTTTTTTGTTGTTGTTTTCTTTTTGGTTGATATTGTGTGCACATTACAAATGCGGTGCATTGAAGCAGGTGAATGATGTTATTCCATGCGGGGAGACGGGGTGCCTCACGGAGGAGAATCTCGTTGACTGATGGAAGGGGTTTTAAGTGTCGTTGCCATTATGTCTAATTGTGTTGTTGTTTATTTGTTTGTTTGTTTGTTTGTGGGGGCAAGGGCGGGCTTTTAGGGCAAAGTGGCTCTAGGGCTCTGCAGGTATCTCTAAGAGCACCAGCAGTGGGGAAGCCAAAACTATTCTTATGGTTCCGGGGGCGGTGCGCCGTTTAAATGACCCGGCGCTCTTATTCCTCACTCAATAAGCGTTGGGTGTTTACCGAACCGCCGGGGATCGGTCGAGGACTGCAAGAAGAAGGCCGGGATTATGTTGCCGTTGTGACGCAGGCCTGTGCACCAAACTTCACTGACACGACGGCGCATGATGCATATGAGAGGAGCCGACGCTTTATTGTGAGGCTCAAGCAGAAGGATGCTGGGCGGGGAATCCGCGAAACGGAGGCGGTGGTTTCCCTCCCGGCCTCGGTGGACTTTGGACTGGAGGAGGATTACGCAATGCCGGATGAAAATTGCTCTCTGCTTTTCAGGAAAAAAAAGAAAAAAAAACAGGTGCGTTGATGTGAAATTTTTCTGCCGTCGTTATTTATAAATTTATAAGAATGTTTTTTTGTTGTTGTTTTTTTTGCTTCTGTTTGTTTGTTTATCCCTCCTTTTTTATATTTTTTTATTTCCGCATGAACGTTGATTGTATCATCCCGCAACTTTCATGTGTCATGTGTGCCCGCCATTCTCCACTCACTCCGCTTCTTTTTGTTGTTGTTTTAATTGTCCCCCCTCCCTAAAAAAAAAAAAAAAAAAAAAGGGACGGAGGGATGCCGCACGCTGCGCCCAAAACGGATGGGCGAAACACAGTTGGATTGAGAGCAGGCAAGACACCCGTTAAGATTTGTCTCGAACCGACGCCGCTGCAGATGGCACCTCTCGTGCCGAAGTGTATGGTGCAGCATGAGTGGGAACTGCCATGCAGACCGCACGCAGAAAAGGACATCACGGCGACTGTAGACGGAGAGTTTGTTGTGCCCCTACGCTTTCACGATGTACTTCTGGAGCGGCGTCTTGGCAGCAAATTGAGCAGGCGGAGATGTGTCACGGTGCGGTTTGTTCCCGTTATGTGGGACGCGGGGAGTATACTTCGACTGAAGTTTGAAAAATTGACTTCCGCGAACAGTTGCTTCTCTTTTGTCTAAAGAAAAATTGTCACTTGTGATCTTTTGTGTGTGTGTGGGTGGGGGGAAGGGAGGGAAAGGCGTCTATCACGCTGACACAAACAAGCTCTTGCTGTCTCTCTTTATTTCTGTGCCCGTGCTTCAGGATGTGAATGCGCATGCGTGGATTTTCTGGGTGCATCTCAGGCTGTGGGGCTTCCTTTACTCCTCCTCTTCTTTTTTAATAGCTTAGGCCCCTTCCCGCTCGTCCAGATAACAAAAGGGGAGGGTGTGACGGAGGCGTGGAGCTCCCTGCTGGAGAAAAAGGAACCGTGACGAGCCGGCCATATTTGGGCGCTTGTGTCTGATTCCCAGTTGAGACATTGTCTTACTTTTTGTTGTTGTTTTGTGTTTCCCTGTCGTCCGTTCATTGTCGAGCTTCTGTTGTTCCCCGGCGGCATATATATATATATATTGCGTGGGCGTGATGTGGGCGGAAGACCATGTGCTTCTGAGTAATATGTTGCGGAGCATCCAAACGACCAGGGCAAAGGAGGAGGGGAAAGAAATGAAAACGATGGCAACAATGACTGTGCAAGACGACGAAAAGGACGCGGTCGTGGAGGATTCGTACGGTCGTGTGTGGGATCGACTGTGGACCGTGTGTCGGAATTTCTCTGTGTGGGGATCAAAACTTGCCTTCTCCCTCGCAGGGGAGCAGCGAGTGAATGAAGAGGACCTCTCTTCGCAGGCGCCGCGGTATGCCGAGTGTATACTGGAATAAAATAAAAGAAGATACAAGGAAAAGTTGTTTCAATCTGTTTGAAACAGGCCTGGCATTAAGAAGGGGAGGCGTTCTGCTCCTTTTCATCCCCTTTAAAACATACACACACACAAAAAAAAAAAAAAAAACTGATTTTATTTTACTTATACTTTGCTTTGTTGTTTTTGTTAGCCTTGGTCGGTTGTTGGGCTTTCTTCCTCTTTTAGTATTATTATTATTATTATTGTGCGTGTTGCCTTTTGGTCTCTCAATGTAAGACGAAAAGGAAATGAAGTAAAATGGTCGATGTTCTCACCTGCCGAGGCATTTGTCTCAATGATAATAATTATAATAATAACTTTATTTGTGTTTTTTGTTCTGTTTTTTTTTTTTTTTTTTTTTTTTTGGCCGTGTCCGTTTCTCCACTCTGAAGAAAAAGAAGGAGGGGGGGGGAATGTATACGTGCAAGTTGGATGTATATTTTTTCAGCACAAAACAAAAATGCGGTTGTTGTGTGTGTATGTATGTAAATTTCTCTCTTCCTCTTTCTCTCTCTCTCTCTGTTGTTGGGGACTTCCTTTTTTTGGGTGTTGGTTTCTTGTCCATTTCTCTCTTCGTGTGGGTTGTCATTGAATGCGCCTGTTCCCATCTTCTTTCTGCTGTTTAACCTTTCGGCGCGGCCACAGAACTGAGAGTACCCCACCCACCCAAGAAGAAAAAAAAAAAAAAGGCGCAGCAGAGGGAACGGGAGGGGGCGTTGTATGGAAGCGAGGGTAATTAACGTGTATTGACCGCGTTTCTTCTGTCTTTGATTATTTGTGGGTGAGTGTGTTTTCTTGCCCACACATTGGCTAGAGGAGCACGATGTGGAATGTACGAATGCGGACCCTTGCGCTACTGGAAGAGAGTTTTTCGGGAAGTCCTGTTCGCCTCGTTGCCGATGGTCGTAACGACGGTGGTGTGGGAGGCATTGAGAAGTTGAACGGGCATAATGAGGCGTACTTCTGCCCCGTATTTATTCCATCGAAGGCGCGATACCACAGTGAGCGCGGGACAATATCGCTCCTGATACAAGACAAGGTGCCCTTCACGCTTGTCGTGCAGCCAGAGGAGCTCACGTTGTACGAACGGCTGGTGGATCGGTTGGTTAATAAGTGGTGGGGTGATGTGCACAACAATGGCCAGGGCGGTACGGAGGATGGTACAGACGGTGATGAGTTGCGGTTCCTGTTTCCGCGTCATGGGTTGCAACGCAATTCAACCCTCTTGTCGCAGGAGCTGCTCTCCACACGGCCCTGTACGCCTCCACCCCCACCACCCTTGTCACGACGACGAGATGCATCCGATGTTCGGCACCTTGTTAAAATTCATGCATTGCCGCTTTCCGATCAGGGCGTCTCTTATGTGCGGAATTACATTTTGACTGAACTTGTTCCGAGAGCTTTGGCGACATCTTTACCCTCTTCTTCCTCCGCGCCGCGGGCAGCACAGTGGTTTTGGGTAATGGACGACGACATTCAACGGTTCTATATGGCGTGGGATGAAAAGAACCATGTCATCACTCCCCGCGAACTCTTCACTGAGGTCTACAGTCGCATTCAAGAGTTACATGGTAACATCTGCGACATGAATGGCATCGCTATCTTTTCGCTAGAATACCCCCGTTTTGCCTACACTTATGGTGATAGCGACGTTGCTTTGAACAGCTACAACAACATTGCCTCACTGTTTCGTTACGACCTATTGCCACCCGACTGCAAGTACCGGTTCCGTATCCGAGAGGACTATGACTACACGCTGCAACTTATAAATCACGGGATGATGACTGCGCGGTTCCGTAATCTTTCCTTTGAGGTGCCTGGAATGGCCGAGATGGCGGGGGGTATGACGGACTACTACAAGACCCAGAAGGAAGATATCAGATTGCAGAACAAGTTGTTTCTCGAGACTTGGCCGGCCGTGGCACAGGAATGCATCAAGGGAAAGGGGGCATTGCAGCGAGAAGACATACGTGTCCGGTGGGATCTCCTTCACCCAAAAAGGAACCCTGACCCCAGTGCCACTTTGCGGTGCCGCACGCCGATGCAGAAGAAGGCACATAAGCCTTTGTCCAATGGCATTGATGAAACTGAGTCGATGGCGAAAAACGGCTGTGAGAATACAACAACAATTGGAATGAGCACAAGAAATTTGAAGGACAAGAGGACTCGGTCGTCGGAGGCGGCGCGAGGGGCGAATAAGCAGAGAAAAGAGAAGCAGAAGCAGAAAATGACGCTGAAGAGAAACACCAGTTTAAATGGGAAAGAAGAAGAAGCGAGGAGGAAGAGGGTAAATTGTGGAATCAAGCGACAACCACCAGAGTGGAAGGGCTACGCCCTCGAAAGGTGGAGGTATCTTACAGTTCATGAGGCGGAGCGACTCCACTTGCACCTTATTCCATCAGAAAAGTTGCGTGTTGGGCAAACCGTTGCAGTCGTCCCACCAATGTTTGATCAGAACCCCTCTGTTGTGGAAGCGGTACTTGTCGACAAGAGAGTTATGCGAAGGCGCCGATCTGAAAGGAACGGGGAGCAGGGCGCCACGGATGCCAAAAAGGGATCTGAGGTGGATATCGTTGTTGAGTGGTGTGCGGTGGCACGTGGCCTACCTCTCCTGTACGTGACTCGTTGCTACGAACTGCCTATGGAGGGTGTTGATGTCGCCGCGGCCGCCGTGGATGCGTTCTTTGAGAAGGAATGGGAAGAAGAAGAAGAAGAGGAGGATGGTAAGGTAGAGTAAAACAGGAGCAATAAGGTGATGGTGGACAACAGGGTTTCTGTCCGTCCCCAATCACAAAGAAGTAAAGGATGAAATATTAGAGGTGAACCATAGAAACTGGTTGGGTACCGTGTTAATGATAGAGCAACCCAACGAATAATAAACAGCAATAATGATAACAATCATACTACGAATACTAATACAGGGTGTCCTTTACTTCACTGACAAGTCCCCCACCTTTCCCCCATCCATTTCCACCACTATATACGGAATAGATAATGTGGTCGGCAGAATTGGGAAAGGAATGGATCCTTTGTAACGTATATATATATATAATGGTAAGGCACTGACAATAAGATTTGATGTGTGTCTGTATTGATCTTATCTTCCTCTTTTGGGGGGAAGGATGGGGGGGGGGGGGTTGATGTGGGGGTATGTCTGTATACATATATACATATATATATGCATGTATTTATGTACTTTTATTAATATTTTTATTGTATTTTTTGGCCAACTTTGCAGTTCGGAAAGCGAGAAAGAGCGAGTGTATATTTATACATACATATCTGTATATCTTTATCTCTACCTCTCCCCCTTTTTTTTTTTTTTTTTTTTTTTTGGTTGCCTTTTGTTTTGCTTTTTATTTACTCCTGTCATGTCACAGCAACGGGGTATACTCTTTGTGTCTACTCGCGTCTCGTTTTTTTTTTGTTTTGTTTTTTGTTTTTCCTTTTCTTTTTTCATAATTTATTCAAAAGGCATTTGTAGAGAAGATGTGAGTGTCAATAACACAAATAATCTTCGATGATACTAATGCATACATGTGAGGCGAATATGTACTTTTCCCTGTATCTTGATTTGTTTGGTGGCGTGAGCACTCTCGGCCCTGCCGCCTTGGCATCCACCACATCTTCTTGTTTCTGTTATTTTTATTGTTGTTGTTTTATGCGTCCATTTTGTACTTCTTTTTTTTTTTTTTTCCTTTCCTTCTTTTGTTTGTTTGTTTGTTTTTGTTTTTTTGTTTCTTTTTTCAAATTTTGTTTGTTTACCTTCCGGGGTCCTCCCACCCACACAACTACGGCAATACGTGCAACGACTACATTTTATCCGCAGCGGGTGTCCCCTCCCTTGCATTATTTTTGTACTGTTCTTTCCATTGGTTTTTTCTTTTTCTTTTTCTCTGTCTGTCTGTCTGTTGTTGTTGTTTTTTTTTTTTTTTGTTCCGGTTTTTTTTTTTTTTTTTTTT